AGGGATGAGACAAGATCTCATGTCACAAGATCCCTTTAGACAAAATCACCACAAGATTGTGCACACATCCTGAAAATAATGTAAAAAGAAAATTTTCCCCCCATGTTTTATGTTTGGCTTGGATAAAAAATATGGATGTAAGGCATTCAACACTGTTAACCATCACACGCTACTAGAAAAGCACACTCATTTCAATCTTTCAAAAATACATTTAAACTGGCTATAATCTTATCTGGCTTTGAGAAAGCAATGTGTCTGTGTGCATAATATGAAATCTTCAACATCTCAAAACAATCTTGGAGTGCCTCAAGGCTCGATACTGGGCCCATTGCTGTTCAGCATGTACATTAACAAGTTTTTCCTCATGCGATTTTTACTTCTTTGGAGTGCCTGGATTCTGTTGTGTTTAATGAACATTAACGACTTGTCCCAAATTTGTCTATCTAATGTAGTCTGTCAGATGTACGCTGATGATGTTTTGTATGTTCTGTCTAAAAACAAACAGCAAGCTGTGCAGGACCTGTCAGTTGCTATGTCAGAGTTTAGCAGTATCTTGTGTTACATTGGGCCCACAGCTACCGTTTAAATATGTCAAAATAACAGTGAATAAAATCAAACATAATTTATCCAATTTCTGATATACAAGAAATAATTTACCAACAGACAATGATTTTACCATACCTAAATTATTGCATTACTAGTTGGACCCTGACAAACAGAACTACTCTAACAAATTCCTTAATTGGGGCAACACAATCAAATATGCAGATTTAATTTTGATATGCAAAGTTTTTAATAATCTTGCTCCACCTCCTCTAAAGAGAAACTCAACAAGAGCAGGTTCTGGAGGTGACTACTCTATGCTGTTCAGGAAAAGTGCTTATGGACAACTCTGTTTTGCTTATCAAGCAGGTCAAACATGGAACACAATGCCTGCTCATATGAGAACTTTCAACACTGGCAGCATAAAGCTTTAAAACAGTGGTGAAATATGTGACCTTGTCTAACAAAATTACATTTTTATATTGAGGAATTGTTGGTTTTACTCTTGACTTCGAACTTCAAATGACCTGTCTGAAATTAACTTTATGTATAGTGAATGTTCTGGTGTTACAGCAGTTCTACAATACAATACAGCAGAATGATTAAATAAAGTAAATTTAAAATGGTGAACCCAACATTGGGAACCAGATAATGCACACAGTTTATTTATTATTAAGAATGTCAAAATCTCTGTTTCTTTCTCGTAGATCCAATCTCGTGTCTCGGCTTATCTTGTGGAAATTATATCTCATCCTACACCTGTTATTTAATCATTATTCACAATCATTTTAACCATGACAACAAACAACAAACAACAATGGAATTTTACATTTTATTCATGTAATTTACAAATCGTTATTCCTCGACCAGCTTTACAAAATCAAACATACTGAATGATAAAGTAATGTTTATGTGACGTAAAAAGTAAAGCACTTTATGTTTGTGAGAATTTAGTGATGTTTGAATATTGTTACCTCTTCAAAAACATACCTAGAGTTGTGTTTTGTTTCATTCACACATTTTTAAGTAATCCTGCATTTTTGGGTTGTCTACATCACCAAAGCTTAACAAGCTCTTTTCCACCTTATGATGTCATGACGCAGTAGTTTTCAAGTTAACAGTACCTTTTACCTTTAGTTCAGGAAACATTGGCAATTCCAGGGCTGAAATTATTCAAACAATTCTAGTGAAGGTGTATATAGTGCACCACATGACATCACGAGGTGGGACAGGGTGTTTTCTGTTTAAGAGAAGGACTCAGCCTAAATATGCAGGGTTTGTGTGTGAACATGTGTGAATGAAACAAAATACACCTGCAAGTATGTTTGTGATGTAAAAACAACATTATGAAATACATTAGAAAATAGCATAATATGGCATCCTATAATGATATCTGACGTGATCTACTGTATATAAAAAAACGTTTTTCCACACCAGGTATATCCTTTTTAGAACAATGCATCCGGATTGGCACGTTATATACCACTTGCTAAAAATTGCTACACCATTTTATAACAGCTGTCCAGATCTTTAACAGAATACTGCCCCTAATAACAATTCCAGGACACTACCAACCCATGTGTGTTAGCCATAACAGGATGCTGAGTGCAGAGTCATGTCTTTGCAAATGTGCAGGTGGTCAAAAAGTGTATGTGAAACCCAAAACTCATAAAGCTCTGCCCTTTTTATTAAACCAATGGGAAAATTGGGCACAAAGCAAGGAAATCCTCTGACTTTCATTTGACAATTTCATTTTCCGCTTAATAATATTCGGATATTTAGACTTCGGGAGCTCCACCTTCGAACTACTCATCATCTATATTGACTTCCAGAAAGTTAAATGTGTGGACACACTTGAGTCCAGCTTTGTCTGTTGACCTCTATGATTCAGTCTCTCATCTTATTAACCACTCACACCTATTAGAGCAATGTGATAAAAGGACTTGATATGTATGGAGCAAAACAAAGAGAGGTTTCTTCATGCTGGACAAAACAAAAGATTAGCAGCAGTGATGTCGTTGGTTTTCCCCTTTTCAACACAAAGCCCTGTACAGTTTATAACAGATTCCTAAAAGATTGACTCAGACCACCCCCCTCTATTCAGTCGCCTCTCAGTGGACACTTCCAACAGCCTTCCCATTTGTTACAAGGGAAGTGATGTCAACTAAGGATGCATGGAGTACAGGCCTACAGTCAGATAATATGAAGATCATGGTGAAAGGTTGAGACATGAGCGCCAGACAGGGGGGTGGTAGACTGTCTGTGCAAGTTGCTGACTGGTGGTCCCCTCCATAATGATTACTTTACATTAGACACAATGCTTTACAGTGTCTATGGGATTGAGACTTGTAGTTAATAAAAGGATAACATTTCACTGCGCGTACACAAACCTGCTTTTAAGTGACATTCCTGTGGCTTGTACCTCTGTGAGTTTGTCCCAGTCTCTCATTAAGGTTTTTGTGGCTATGTTTAAGAATACAAACAGTTGTCAACCTGGGATTGACTACTGTATTTAAAATATTCCTGACACTGTAAATTGAATTTGGCTTTGAATAAAGTCTTTTCAGGAACATCCAGAAAGTATTTTGTCACCATAGTCTGTCACAGAAAATAAAGAAGGGCATACTGTGGACAAGGGGTGTGCAAAAATCTAAAAAAAAAAAAAAGCAATATATCACAGATTATCATATCTATTATCAGATATAGTGATAATATCGTATCATGAGCCATGTATCGTGCATCGTATTGAATCGTGGGGGACCTTGTGATTCCCAGCCCTAATGTGGACAGGAATGAATTATGTCAGTGTGATGAGATATATATAAATGGACATAGCTAATCTGCTAGCCACCGTGTTCCAAATAGGAAGTGAGCATGGGGGTATTTCTGGCTCCACTGACTCTGGTTACAGTTAATTTTAATTAATTGTCACTCCTGTCTCTGCAACTGCTGCTGTGTGAGCCTCATCATTTTGGTCATGAAATATTCATATTAACCCCCTCTATATGATCCTGGAGTTTTTATTTTGCCATTTTGTCTGTAAATAAATTTCTATTCCTAATATGGAACCCTGGTCCATATTCCTCCCTATAACTACTAGCTAGAACTTCATTTGACTGGAACTGAATGCTATGGGTGACTTCACACTCCCTTAGTTCACTTCATTATACAATCTATGATGTGAACTGGTATGACTGGTAAATTGTGGCATTATGATGACAATGATGAGGCAAGGTGAAAGCTTATTCACTTATTCACTTAATTTACTTGTCTATAATCATAATCTGTGAGGTTATAAATTCTTATCATTGCAAAAAAATTGCCCTTTGGGGATATAATTAAGTGAAGTTGAAGTTTTAATTGGCCAATTAGTGAAGCAAATATGCCTCGCTGACTGAAGGTGACTGCGGATGATGAATGATGTTAGAATGTTGTTACCTCATCAGAAACATACTAGAATTGTGTTTTGTTTAATTCGCACATCTGAGAAATCATTTATTATTAGTCCATCTACATCTCCAAAGCTCCAAATGCTCTCTTCCACCTTGTGATGTCAAGAAGTGCTAGTTTTCAGGTAAACGGTTACCTCTTACCTTCTGTTCAGTACAGTCAGTAGACACTGGCAATTCCAGGGCTACAATTATCCTACAGATCCTAGTGAAGGTGTATGGAGTTTAAAAACGCAGTGGAGCACTTCATGTATTACTGCAGTCATGGGACAGAGTACTTGCTATTTGAGAAAAGAACTGAGACTAATTATGCAAGCTTTGTGTATTAAATGTGTGAATGAAACAAAACACACCTCCAGGTATGTTTTTGATGAAGAAACATTATAAAATATATCAGGAAATACTATAATATGCTCATAAAGCACTAAGGAAAATGCAATGATTAAAAAAAAAATGTCATGTGGATTACAGACAGGAAGTAATAACTGCCAATCTGACCTTTATTGTTATATTGTGATAATATGCCTGTTCAGTATTAGCCCCATCCACCTTTTGGGTTCTTCTAACCTCATATCTATGGCCTGTCTGGAAGGCTCTGTGTCTCCTGCTGCTAAGCTACAGTGATAAGCTTGTCAGACACATTCCTTACCTGCTGTATCACTATGGAGCCTACAATTAGCTTTCCCACCTGTCCTCCACCCTCTCGCTTTCATCTCTCCTTTCGCCAAGACTTAAACAGAGAGAGGCATTGATTCGGCGCTTGCCAACAGACTCTAACTGCTGAAACAAAACATTAGCTAAGCACACTTCTGTGAGGTCTAATCACATGGCAACAATGCTTGTTTGGGGGTGCACCGAGACTGCAGTTGTTGATTCCAGATCCTAAAATACACCTTGGCACCAGCACAAAAAAAAAAAAAAGAAAAAAGCAAAGAATAATAAACACTACCTCAAGTAAAGTACAGTTACTTAGGCTGGTGTAAAAAGAAAGAGACAAGCATACCTGGCTTAAGAGCACATGAAAAAGCTTTATTCTCACACCAAGCTTCAACATAAGCAACTTTAAAGTTTGACTTCAGGCTTGAATGTGTTAACTACTGTATGTAGCAATGTCACTTTAGGGACAAATAAAGAACTTTCTGTCAGACAGTGTATAACTTACATAATAAATATATTCATTTGGCAGGATTTGTTAATAGCGCAGGAAAAATAGAGTGGCTGAGGTACATTTTTTTTTACTGCAAGTGGCCAAAAGAGGCAAAACAAAACTTTTACAACAGTAGCAAAACAGATTTATAATAATATCTGCCTTTACATGGAGTCTTTGCACATTCAGCGTTCACAATACAACAATATAGCACTGGAGATCTGAATCACAGGAACTTCAAATAGAAAGAAAACACAGGGGAGGCATTAGAGGGGACTGCCTTGGCAACGCACACTCAAAGGTTTGTACAATGTGATGCGGTGTCCACATACTGTATTTCAATACATTCTTCAATGTAAACCAAGAAAGAGTTAAATACTTCTTCAATATTTAATTACATTTTAAATACATAAGAATTGTTTTTGTGATAAACTCATTTGAAGGTGTAAAGTAAACAAACCATACTGAACAAAATGTTTTACTTTTGGCAACCTACTGAATTTAAGCATAAAAACTGGTCCATTACAAACTGTTAGCGCTCAACCATAATGGATGTCCACACTTGTGCCAGGGACCACATGAAAAGTGCCATGTATTATTGATTATGTGCTGTTTCTTAGTGATGAATACATGTATGCAATTGTAATTCATGACACTTCAGATAATTAAGATATAGTCATACAATAGATTTAATTAGTACCCACAACTACTCATGTATTTGTTGAATCAATTTATAGCAGCTGTGACGTTTTCAAATAAAAAAAAACATGTGAAAATATTATTTTTATTATTTAAAATGATTTAATATGGAGTGGGGGATTTTACTTTTTAATGGTGGAGGCAGGACATGGTGAGAAGGTCTGTTTTATGTCTAAGAAAACGATTTGATATAGATTTGTATTTCTAACGAAGAAAGGAAAACAGAGCTACATTTATCTTGGCATAATGTCTCCTTCTCGCCCCATTGGATTTGCATGGTACTGATAACAGAGGCTTTAACACATTTTCCTCACACAAAATTTTACTATTTTCTAACTGGACATCCTCCCACTTAAGAAACTGAAGAAAAACAACGCTTGCCAACAGATTCATGTTGACACAGTAAAATCGCGGAAGGTCTGGTTTTATTCTCGTTGACAGACAAGCTTCCACCAGTTTTCAAGCCTGGGAAAGATGTATAAAAAGAAATGTATTTTTAAAAGCAAGAGGTGCAGTACTTATGGAAAAATAAACTGAAAAACTAAAATGTGTTCAATAGATTATAACACATTTACCTTTCAATAAATGCATGTTTGTGCAGCATATGAGTCCGAGGCACATATTATGGACACAGCTGTGTTGGTAGTTAATATATAGACAGTTCAGTTACTGTATAGGCCAAAACTATAAAAACAATATAATTGATTTTAAAAATGCATTGGTAATTTTGCCATGCAAGTCAACACTGCCAATAACACTTCATTCATAATAATACATGTGAGGGCTTGGTGTGTTACAATTTTCAAAATCTTCAAAATGTCTGTTTTCCAAATTTGGCTGTATAGCTATATTTTAGGTAAATAAATATAAATAAACAATATATAAAACAAAACTTTAAGAGACAGATGTTTAAATCTATATACGAGTGTCAGTAGACAGATGGTCACTTCTTAAAATATAAAAAAGTGCATGTTAGTAGTTAGTGCTGTGTGCAGCAGTGGGTGACTAACAGTTGTTGTGGGGGTTTGTGCATTCCTTCATTGCACAGTGGAGCGTGGGCGACCGGTGAGCCCTGCTTGGAGCTACGTACATGTTCGTTAGTGTGTGGTTTCAGAGCTGCAGATCAGTAATTACATAAAACACACTATCTGCGTCACTGGATCTTCCCAAAACAGTCCACTGACACAGAGAGGACCAAAATATTTTATGGACTGTAGTGACCAGAAAGGAGAAGAGAGAGTCACGTCACAAGGAACATTTGGCAACATCAAGCCTATATCATGGCTTCCTTCTTAACTCAGCAGCATTTCACATCTGACTTATATATTCTAAAAAATATATATATATATATATATATTTTCGATTGCACTAGTATATTCCACTTATTCCAGGTTTTTACTAAGTTTCAAAATCAAGATTGTTGCTAGGCAAGCAATTGTACAGTATTAACACTAATATCAGCAATAGGCAACTTCATTATAGATATTCTTCATTCGTTTGATGGATGTAATAATTGATAATGAAAGATTACATTGTAAAATGTAAGAAACAAACTCATAATGAACTCATGACTGGCGACATATCAATCACAAATATTGACATTAAGATTACACTGAGCATACTATAACTGTTTACAAGAGTCTCAAGGCCAGTGAACTCAAATAGATTAAATAGGTTGATACAGATGAGTTAGTGTGAATGTAAAGTGTAACAGTAACAATGTAAGTCAGTGGGGGGTACCTGTCAGACAACAGTGTCAGACAACATTGTTAGACTGGTTGTTTTATGATTGATAATAAAAGGGTGTGGTGTGTAAATGTTGGTCTCATAACATGTGGGAACACCACCGCAGAGGTGAGCTGTGGCTGATGACGTCATCGGCCGACAGCGATGGGGATTCCCTAACAAAAACATTCTTCCTTCAGCCCCTGCGTCGCTCTGTTTGAGACACAGGGGCTGGGCCTGTTTTTCTTCCATTCTTTCTGTTGCCCTAGAAGTAAGGGTTCAAGACGGACGTAAAGGAGGGGGTGGATGAAACAGTTCACTATTAAACCAAAAGAAGAAAGACCTACATAAACACAGAGGGAAGTAGGAAAAGTAAATACAGAACTTTAGAGCACTACATGAAATGTAAAATATGGTGACAATCATTTTTTATAACAAATTTGTATGCTGCCCTCTAGGGGCAGTAATGGAATTTGCAAAGCCCTATTGGAAATGAGAGGAAAGAAAAAACAAAACAATGGACCCTAGGCATACTCCAAGAGCCACTGGAACAGGGGGGTTCGGGTGGATTCTCTGCCTGCCTGGAGACCCTCCTCTCTGGGCAGAGGCTGGCTCTGTGCTGGGCTGTCCTCACAGTAGCGCAGCAGAGTGTGGAGCAGCTCCCCCACCCGCCACCTCTTCTCACGCAGCCTCTGGACCACTGCTGGCAGCTGAAAGAGCATCACTCACTTAGACAATCAAAGATAATAAGCAAATGTAACATGATAACCAACATATACTAGGCTTGGACCAGAATACAGAGATCCAGTTTATGACTACAAATGAAGAAATGCATGAGAAAGGAAAAGAAAAAACATCTTTCTAAAATAAACAGTAGAAATGCAAAGTAAATTAAAAACAAACAATAATCTCGTAGAACATGTTTTAAATGTTTGATAAAAGTTCATTTCAAATGCTTATCAAATTAAAATTTAGTTGGATTTTTTTTTTTTTTTTTTTTAATAGTTCCACACCAAACTTCTACACTCAGGGGAAAGATTAGTTGTTATTACCTGCTGCAGTTCTCTGTCTGGAATGAGCTGGATCTGGGGTATGTCTACCATGGAGGCTGCCACCCACTGTAGGAGGCTCCTGAGCTGGGGGTCAAGAGTCATGTTGGAATGGCCCCGCACACGCTCCATAACATCCGTGTTCAGAATGACCAATGCAGTCCTTGGAGTCTGCACCTCTGTCCTATCTATGCAAACTGTCCCTGTAAAACAAATGTCCAAAGTTAATATAATTTTTACTGACCATCAGCGTCATGATAACAGCCAAAAAGATGTTTGGTTTCCCACAGTCACAGAGCCTACCACAACGGCGCCCCCCTTCTAATGGTTTTAAACACACCCACCAATAAAGCAGAGCGAGTGACTGAGGAGGGAGTGGAGGCATGAACGAGCAACATTGTGGCTAAATTTGGGGGTGTAGAAATCCCCCAAGAACATCACATAACAGACAGGCATACAGACTGATACAGCTTGCAGAAATCATAGTTTTTTTTTATACTGACAACTGGTTTTACAACTCAAATTTCTCCCAATGCTTAATGTAAGGTCAAAAAAAGTAAAAGTAAGTAAGTTCTTACCACTAGATTCATCCTTATTCTCCGTCTCCTTATCCTCTATGTGGTCACTATTGAAAAAACAAAAACAAAAACAGAACAAAGTAAAGATTAATAGATTACCATAATCAGACTAAGTTGAAATACTTTTGTGTATTCTGGTAAATGTAGTTTCAAATAACACCTTGTGTCAGTAAAGACATGAGTCAACACTTTAATGAAAAATTAATGTACAAGTCTAGCCAACTTAACACACATTTTTGTCACTGGTGAAGATATTTGCTATGTGACGAGCCAACAGGTAAACACCATTCTCTACTTTATAAGACTGATAATGACAGTCTTGTTGACACAGCCCCTGGCTACAGACACAGAGACTCTGCTCAACTTTGATACAACGATATGTATCCCAGAACTATAAAGTTTACGGACAAAAATCACCTGAGGTCAACACTAGTCATGCAACACAATTGTGAAACACAAGCAAAGAAATTAAAAGTAAATTCATTATTTAGGCAATGGTCTTATACCACATAATACCACTTTTCATGTTATGCATGTGAAAAGAACCAATAAAAAAGTAAATAAATAAAAAATACTGTGCGTGCCACTAAATGTTCAATGGAGGCACTGGAATGGGGTTAAAATACTTGAAACTTATGTAAACAGTTTGTATAGATAAACATTATGAGTTTAAAGCTCAATTGCCAAAACACTGTAGCAAAAGAAAATGCAAAAGACAAAATCAGCACAAATTACATGCGGCACTAGCACTAACAGGACATAGAAGGTAAAGCTTATATTTATGGACTTAGGCCAGGTCATGCATTGGTTTGGTGGCTCCTAGCATGAGACAATATACCATAGAACAGAATATACATGTGGTTGTAAATATTTATGTCAAATGTTCTACCACCTTATTGTCTCATTATAGAGGAGTCACCTAAGGTTTAAGGTCATTTTAGGAAACAGCAATGCCAACCAGCTGCGGACCAACCTGTCTGAGGGGGAGGACAGGCACTCCTCGCACGCCTCTCCCTCCAAGCCCAGACTGCTCCAGCTACTGCTGTTCCCATTGCTGCTGAGGAGAGAGCCAAGGTGACGCACCACAATACCACACAAATTCCAACATCTCACTGAATTAGGGCAGGGTGAAAAAAAAAATCCTCATATTGATCTATCATGTTTTTTTTATTTTATTATGTCTCATTAAAGGTGCACTATGTAACTTTTTGGTTCGGGGTCCATCACTTGCTTGTTTCTATGGATATGTCATTGCTCTGTTTGGAGTGTTCAACAGTGTGAGATTAAACAGCTCTACCTTACATTTACTCAACTTAATTCAGTTTTATAGCTCAAAAACTTCTAGAGAAACAAATACCCTTACTGTGATCGGGGTTGCCTCTCCACAGATCTGGCCTGCAATTTGTCTGGTTTGGTCTCCCTGAAGATAGAATGGTTTAATACCATACTGTGAAACATTCCAGACAAAGCAGTAATCTCTCCATGGAGAAAAGCATTTACAGACCCTCCATTACTCAATGCACCTTTAAATACAAATAAACTGGGTTCCATATTAATTTCCTGAACATAAAATACTTTCATCATTGTAATTTAAAATGATTTCTTTTATTTCTTCCTCCAAATCACATGCTTTTAGCAACAGAGGATTGGCTGTAAACATCTTGAATAAAAAGCCCCAAACAGGTTAGTAACATTAAAAATGACTGAATCTCGATTAAAATTAGACTAATTTCGTAGCCCTACCCTGAATCATCTGCAGTGAAGACATATTGTAGTGCTGTTGTAGGTATAACACATTAGATCACTGTATTTTTGCTCCTGCTAAATTTCACTTAATCCTTTGATAACCATCTGCCAACAAAAACACACAGCATAGGTGATCTGTAATTAGATGATACTACTAAGCCTTTGAGCTAAATTCTGTGCATAGTATGGCCTCTTTCGAAATCCACTGACAGGAAATCCAAAAATAGACCGACAAAAATACTCTTAAATCTGCATTACCTCAGCCTCTGTGTGGTTCTAGTGACAGATGTGAGAGGTACATCTTTTAACACAAAGCACTCTTCAGTGTGTGTCTTCAACAGGATGTGGATGTCAGTGGCTTTTCAAGTTTGTTAATTGATTACACATGGACTTGGCTCTTACAAAAATTGCTCATAATATAAGAACACTTGCTCATAGTAGAAGAGCACTTAACACAATAGAAAATATTTAAATATGTATCTATCACTGCTAACAAAGCCTTTCTTTCAATCTCAAATATGAAATAACTAAGAAAAGTAACAGCCTCTTAGTTATGCACTGATTTGTTTACCAACACATTGGCATCCAAGTTTAAAGTTAAAAGATGATGTATGTAGACAAATATTAAACATTTTGAATGACCAACATGTTACTCGCATTGATGAGCTAACACAGATAATACTGTGGGTGTACCTGTCACTGAGATGGAGGAAGCTGCTGTTGTCGTCTGGGTGCTCATCCTCAAAGCTCAGGTTTGACCAGCTGCCCAAACTGTCATCCCCCACACTCAGCTGCTGGGACACTGTTGACTCTGTGACTTCCCGGCCCTGAGAGCTGTGTGCATAAGAAGTAAACAAAGACAGAAATAAACATTGTGTTCCTTTAGGCCATCTAAATTTATTACATTGAGAACTGCATATGCCATGTACCTGCTGCTGGTGGCCTGGCAGACGTTGGTTAAAGCAGAGGTCATGATCTCTGCAGTCAGGCTTTCAGCATAACTTGTGCCATCGTATCCAATACCACTATCTGCATTGAGACTGGTGTTACTCAGCTCACGTTTGGCCACCTCCATTGCCATCGAGACCATTTCTTCAGCAAATGCTGCTTTACGGTCCATATCTATGTGTATTTTAGGAATGTCCATGCTAGAGTGAGGTGGACCTTCTGGCCCCCTTCTCCTCTTGAACACAGAGGGAAGGTGGTGGTGAGAGCTGAGCTTGGAGCAGAAGGGGCGCTCCTGAAGCTGACAATAGTGACATGCTCTCTCCCTCACGTTGTGCCCCAGCACTGCTGCCTCAGACAGTCTCTGTGTGTGAGTGTGCCTGGTGTGCTCTAGTATCCGCTGATGCTCCGGAATGGGACCAATGGAAGCGAAGCTCATCTTTAGTGTATCATCAACAATCTTCCGAGCATAATGTTCAATCACTTGCATCATCCTGCTGCTGTAGCTGCTGTCGTAAAGGCTGCCCGTGCTGTGATGGTGTCTCCTCTGACCCTCTTTGGATAAAAGCGGGCAGGAAAAAGAGTTTCGTATCAGGTTTTCAGCAATGTTATTGAGTTGGGACTTTTTATAAAGACAAGAGTCAGTCAGAGACTTTGGCAGGCGAACAGATGAGCGATGCATCTTCTGTGAAACATCACAGGTGATATTGTAGGCCAGGGACTCTGCAAAGTTCACCAGGTCCACATAGTCTTTCTGATTTTGCTCTTCTGACTTACAACTACACTGAGACTCCTCAGCAGAGGGGCTAATTCCTGACACTGGTTTCTGTTTGGCTGAGAATGTCTCACTCTTCTTTGATTCATCTGTCAGGGATTTTGATAAACTAAGACGTGCACCAGAGGATCTATGCTTTATCTTTCTGCTAGCATGAGCCAAGCCCAGCTTTATGGAACGGTAGGCTAAGCGGCTAGCATATTGATCTAGTACAAGTTCCCTGCTGTCTCCTTCCTTCTTGAGCACTTTTATGAGATAACCAGCGTATTCATCTGTCACACTCTCACAGCTGGGATATTCAGACGACAGCCCTGAGCTCGAGCTGGAGGCTGTGCTAGAAGAGGAGGGAGTGGAACGCAGCACAGAGGCTATTAAATCACTGGACCACTGCTCTGCCAGTCTGCCGGCCCTGTTCTGCCCTGTGTGAATGGAGCGCTCAGAGGTAGACCTGTCGTAGCTCCTCCTCCTCATAGCTGTGTGATAAGGACACTGCGGTCCCGAGCTCACCATTCGTTTGACATCATTGATAACCTCTCCTGCCACCTCTCCAGCATACACCCACAGCGCATTCAGAGTCTGCTCTGAAAACTGAGCCACGCTATCTCTCCGTCTTGCTCCGCTCACTTCTTCTTCATCAGACACTCCGAGAGTGTCCATCTCTGTTGCCATAGAGACAATATGGCAGGCTAAACGTTCAGCATAATGAAGAGCTTCTTTGTTAGTCATTCGGCGGGAAGACTTGTGTCCCATCTCTAAACTTCTGTTTTTGATACAAACCACCGACTCTTCTGGCATTTCTTCATCGTCTTCATTCTCATTACCCTCTGCCTCCTCTGAAAGAGATCTCATGAGTTTTAGCATAAATTCTGCCTTTTCGGCCTCTGGAGATGGATCTTTCAGTTTAGGATCTGGCTCGGGTTGATAGTGTGGCGTGGGAGGTGGAGTGGCTGGGGAGAACTCTTTAGCCAGCTTGGTTTTCAGTTTTTTGGAAAATTGTTTTATCTGCTTCTCCTTAGATACTTCACTGTGCTGTTGAGGTGTGGATGGAGGAGTGCCAGGGGTTCCACCAGACTTTTGGCCTGAGTTTGACTCATCCACAGGGACTGATCTCCTCCTTTGTGTACTTACAGTGGGAATGTCTAGTGTGTCTAACATGGGATGTGTTTCACCCATACTTCTGATCCTGGGGTCAATGTGACTTCTGGTTTTCCCTTGACACAAAGAGGAACTCCGAGAGGGTCCAGGTACATGTTGTATTAGACCGCTTTCTTTACAGTCATATTTGAAAGTGTTTCTATTCTCCACTGACTGTAATGAATGATCTGGATTTCCTTGATCTGAACTTTTTTGACTTCCAATCTTACTAAAAAAATCTGCACAGTCACCAAAGCTCTTCTTTACCTTTGAGGCAGTAATCAGCTCACATGCTTCTGTTACCATCTTATCAACCATGTTTCCAGAGAAGTTTTGGAATGGAGACTTGGCTTGGTCCTGTTCATGTATAAGGGGAGGAGTTTGTGTGGATGTGGTATTGTCAGGGGCACAGTGTGGGGAGTTTTCTGAAGAACTTGCCTCTGGTTCATAAACATGAGAGAGAGCATGACCTGCATTAGGCACAGGAACACAGCTAGCCATACCAGACACTGTGAGCAAAGCTTTCTTTACTGTACATGTGGGGTCTTTCTTTGAAGAGCACTGGATGGAGCTGGTTACAACTTGCTGATTAGCAAATGTACTACTAGTGTGAGTGTTCTCTGCACTCACATAGCACATATTATCCACAGATAGGCTGATAGCTGCTTGGCTGGTAAAGGCTACATCAGCCTGGGACAGTTGAATAAAGGCTTCCTGTAGAACTGACTCAGAGAGGTCAGAAGCATAAGAGGAAACTACCTCCTCCTCCTCTTCCTCTATTTCTGAGCCCAAAGCAAAGGTCCGATCACTGGGTGTGTGGGGAGTTGATGGGTGGGAGAACTGGCACACCTCCATAATGCCTTCAAACACAAGCTCCTCTGCCAAATCAGCAGCAAAACGTGTGACAGTGTTGTGAAATATTTGCTTTTTTACTGTTAAAAATTCTGTAAGAGCTACAGACAGTGCCTCCCCCACCAAGAAACCAGCTAACCCATTGATGGCTCTTTCTTTTAACACATAGGCATGTCGCATCCCAATCTCATGAAATGCCATTTGGAACACTGACGATGTCAGTCTTGCGGCAAGATGACACAAAGTTGTGGTGCAAGAGGAGACACTGTTTGAAAGATCTCGGAAAGCACTGCCCAAGCTCATTTCCACCAGATCTGTAGCAAACCTCTGGATGCCGTCCTTCAGAGATTGGGATGTCTTCTGCAATTTGGCAACAGTCACTGTCTCTTGGATTTCTGACAGTTTCATCACATGACCCAAAGGATTCTTGAACTCCTTGTGACAGACACAGCTGAGATTTTTATTGTCACTAATGTCGACAGCAGACTGGAAGCCACAAACAGACTCCATTATTTCTTTGGACATGTTGCTGGCAAAGTCTGAATATGTTTTATACAACGAGCAAAGATCTTGGGGTTTACGCAGCTCTGTGTTTCCTTTGCCATCTTCATCTGTTTTCCAAAAGTATTCCAGATTTCCACTGCCATCTGTGAGCGGACTGAAGGCCGATGAGCTGACAGGGCTGAAGAGTGGACCTCCGTTCTCATCAGAGGGCGTGTGCACTGGTCTGGGAGACTCTGGTAACTCTGAATGGTGTGAATATGGAGAGCCAGGCTTGAGAGGAGTGGGTTTCTTCACATCAGCAGGAAGGGTGGGGGCTTCAAAACGCTGAGGGTTCATTCCTTTAGTCGAACATCCCCTCGACACATACTTAGTTGCTGCCCGGCCAGTGCTGGCATCAGCAGGCTTATTTTGAGTAGCTGGTGCAGATATAGGATCCAGTGGCAGGGCCAGAGTGCTCTCAGTGCTCTGCTCATCCAGGTCATCAAACTGGTCAAAACTGTCAAAAAACTCACTCACCTCTGAATCAGAGTCTTCCACCGGGTCTCTGGGACCCCCTGGCACCTGAGGAATGTCCAGTTTAGCTAAAAGACTTTTTTGGTAACCTACATCATCCAGGAAAATAATTGGACTAGGACTGGAGCAGTCAGACTCCTCTGACTCACTGAAGTGGTCAGATGGAGAGGGTAATCGAGCTTTGGGGCTACAGATGGTCCACTGGGACTCCACCCCCTCTGACCTCTGCACAGTGACAGACACGTCCGGACTAGACTTGTGTTTAGCGGGTTTCACTAACGCTGAACTTATGATGACTCGAGAGCCCAACAATTCCTTTTTTCTCTTATGAGATGGAATGGTCTGTGATGCCACATCACGCTTCTTAAAATACCGAAAGGAAGCTGCACCTGTCAAAACAAAAGAATAATAAAAATAATAAGAGATAAGAGATAACACAGATTGAAAAATATTTGTCACTAAGTAATTGTGTTATTGAACAGAAACAGAAGTTGAACTCTAACTAGATGCTGCCATCTAGCAGTCAGTAATTATTATACAACTTCTGAAGGATGGCAAACCTATGGCTGAAGTAAAAGTCTGAGAAATATACCAGGGTTGTCTCCTGTCTCATCTTCCTCCAGATGCTCCAAAGCAGTCACAAAGTCATCTTCAATAGATGACACTGACTGATTGGTGTCGTCCTCCTCCTGATGACTGCTCCCAGAGAATCCTCTTGGAACATGCTGTTCTAAAGCGAATCGGATACCTGCCATATAACAGCCCAGCAGGCCCAGGAGATGAGAGACACCGGACTGAGGGGATGCACCTGTAGGACTATGCCTCATCACACACACTGCTTTACACAGAACCTAAGGGGAAAAACAGAGAAAGTAGGTCAGTTATGATGAATAAAAATGTCAAAACAAATATGTGATGAAAACGCATGAAAATACATTTGAAATAGAAAATGTAAGTTTTTATTTTCAAAGTGTTATGTCTACACTTGTGACAAGAATGGGAATAAGCAGGAGAAATTGTGCAAGTTAGCATTTTAATTCAAGAGATGGGTGATCTCCATGTCTACAATGGACAAACAAAACCACAGATTGAGCTGCAAGGCTTATGTGAATCCAAACACAACACATATGGCCAGGAAACACAAGACTGTAACCATGGGTGACCTGGGATACTGCAAGTGTGAGAAAATGCCTGGTTTGTATTGTTTTCTACCTCCTGCTTATGACAATTGTATTCCTAACACTTTTAAATGTACTGATATTATATCTATATATAATGAAATCATTTCAAAATCAACCTGAGAAGCACCATCCTTGTGGTCCAAAATGCGGCGATAGTCTTTGAGTAGCAGAACCTCATCCTGTTTTAGGTTTTGGATATGATGTGGCCTGAGGAGCTCACACAGTCCCACTGGTAAAGACAACAGAGTCTAAAAAAGACACCATTTAAGTTAATAGAAAGGTTAAGGAGAGGTAGCTTAACATTTTAAACATTTTGTCCTTTCACCTGATGACTGGCCTCCTCTCCTTCACACTGACTTGGCAGACACACAAAATTAATCTGAAAAGAAAATAAATGGCAGTTTATAACATTGCCAGTTTGAGGTTTACATTTCCCATTGGTGCCGTTTTTTCTGACACAAACCTCTGTCAGCCTTGCGGTGTCTCTGGTCGGCAGTTCTAGGCAAATGCTGCATAGATCTTTTTTGTTTCTAAAAAGGCTCTTAACACTGTGCACTCCACTCTCACGCACAATCTGAAAATACAGAAGCATTCAGGGTTTAAAAATTGCCAGATAAAATAAACAGAATGAGACATTATTCAAAAGTCTTTCATAGCTTTGCGCAGGAAGAAATACTGTGTTTTCTAACCATACATTCTTAGAACAGCAGCATGCAGAAGCACTAAAGGTAAACAGCATGTGTAGATGTTGAACAGCAATAGGGTCCATAATGCATGCTCATTCATACATGTGTACAGCAAGACAATATATGATGCTATATGATATACTTGTAACTCACCTCTTTTCGAACAGTGGCACGAGACCTAACTGGAACTCCTTTAATACGAGCACAAGTATCCATGGCCAAAAGCTGCAGGTTCACTGGCCCTTCACCTGAAAATAGAGAGACAAGTGAAATTAAAGTTCACCCAACAAGATATACAAGTCACAATCACTTATGTCGACACTTAATGCCTTTGTGCAAACTAAGCTACTAACAAAACAACTATTATATTACACAATCCACACTCCTAGCCCTGGAAAGGAATAGCCTGTTACCAACACTCGTGCTAGTGCAATATATTTTTTGAGCCATCTTCAGAAAACACATGTCAAGTGCAACTGTCATTGAGGTGAAACTGTGCTATTTTTGAGGATTTGAGTGGTCATTGTGTTTGAGAAGACTCATCACAGTCTTGACTGAGGCATGGTCAAGAGTGGAAACATGCAAAATTGTCATGTTTATCCTAACAAATACAATAAACCCATATTAAAATAACAATTTAATAATTGCAAGTATAAGTGCTGACTCCTTTGTTAGAAATAAAACACATAAATAGATAAAATAGAACAACATTTTAATAGTAGGCCAACTGCAGTTCTAATTAAATAAGTTCTAAGGTCCAGTGTTGTTAGAAAGGCCTGCACTGAAGATCAAAAAGCAAGGCTAAGAGATCAGAGTGGTGCGTTTAAAGCTGGAAAAACAGAGTTGGTAAGCATGAGAGTGTGGGGAAAAATCAAGCAAAATATTTACAATGTACAAGAAGGAAAAGTTTCCCAGGAAATCCAAACCTCCCTTTTGAGGTAACTTCCAACATTTAAGTCTAGACACAAGCAGACAGGCACATTGATCAGCTCATTTTGTATTTTGTGAACAAGGAGGGTAGAGTCCACAGGCTTCCTCTGCTGACCCTGGACCTCCTGGCTTCTCACGGGTCCTTTGGTGGACTTTACAAAAACAACACTGCTGTCTAACCTCAAATATCTAGTGCAACTCAATTCACTTACAAGGAAAGCAAGCACAATGACGTCCATTATGACTAAAATCCTCTGAAAACAAGTGGAAAAAATAGCCACTTGGACGGAGATGACAGGCAGCTGTTTTTATTTAATGGGAAATTCACAGGACTAGCGCAATATTTTTAATAACATTTCAATATGGTTGCAGGTAGAGAAGAGGTCAGCACTCTTGCCTCACAGCAAGACTGGTGCAGATTATGTTTCCAAGAAATGTAGGTATGTGGAGTTTCTATGTTCTGTGTTCTTTCAGTGTCTAGGTGGGTTTCTTCATCAACCACAGTCGGAGGGCTTATCCTTTAGCTGGCCAGGAGCATAGTTCAGTTGGTAGTGTGGCCCACTAGTTTCATCTGTGACTGACTGTGATGGATCAACTTAAGAGGAAATAATTCTCTAAGGGGAAGTAAACCAACATTAAATAGAAAGTTCATTCTAAGGAAATAGGAAAATGTTTTAATAAAAAAAAAAGAATTATTATTATTCCACAATGTAAGTAAGCTAATTCGATAGTATGTAACTTTTTTTTTTTTTGCCAAAAAACAGACTAAAATAAAAGCGTGTTGCATATATTATTTTGTTGTTGTTGTTGTTTTTTTCATTGTGGATATTTTAATTGCAATGAAAAACAAAAACACACACACAGAATAAGCATGCAAAAACCTTTGTTTGTGGAAAGTTACATGCTATTTGTGTCACATAATCTTAATATGAAACATGAGGCCAAATGCTGATATTTTCTCATGTTCAACTTATTTCTTGAACGAAAATGCATCCCTGTTGACTGTATAATGTCATGTGATTCCAAGTCACACTGAACCTCAGCAATAAAAGCTGAGGGGCATGGCCTTGTTAACCTGTATAAAATATGTGGATTACTTATTATTTATTTATTCATGATCTTATGTATTGGAGTTTGTAGCAATGGTAGTTATTCAAGAGCAGATAGTTTTATAATAAATATATATCTCTAAGCTCCAGGCCCATCACCGCTGCAGCAGGAGGCCTTGAACATACGCCTTTGGATGCTGATGTTGACCACTCCATCACAACTGGCCATTGCTTAGAATGACACAGATATTTCGAATACACGCTTTATTTCTTACAAAGTCGCCAAATTAAAAATAAATTAATAAATATAAATAAAAATGAATGCATTACTGATCTCCGAAACCAGGGCCTCCCAGCTCCTGTGATGTCATTTTACGTACATCCTGCTAAGAGCTAACCTAGCCACCAAAAACATTAAAAGCTCGACGTAAAGCAAGCATAAACTTCCCAAATGTATTGATTTGGCGTTTAGATTAGACTACCTCAATGATAGGACCCCATTAGACTTTATTACATGTAAATTACGCATATGCTACATCGCTATGGGTAATGCGGCGAAAACAGGCCATTATTCAAAAGGATGCTATGGTTTCCCGTTGTGGTTAACATTATTTTAACTAAATGGCACGGGCTTGGATTCAGATGAGGAACAGCTAGAGGATGCTGAACTAGATTTTCTATGCTGAAGTAAACTGAAAATGGCAACATAGGGGCTTATCACTGGTGGGTGGCTGCAGCAAGCGACCAAGCGCAATTTCAACTGAGTGCATTTACAACAAGTGACAACAATCTGATAATAGTATAGGGATAAATTAGGTAAATTAATACTTACTGTCTCGTATTTGGTGTCACTGCTCTAACATCAACCTCTCCATTTGCCAGAGCCAGCCAGCAAGCTTTTCCATGAAAACAAGACGGTGTTAGGCATCACCAATCGCACACAGGAAAAGCGATCTAGGGCGTGGTGTGGAGGGCAGATAAATCGAACTAAAGATATGAATCTTCCTTCCCCTTGGACCTTGATCCAATCTGCCTTGATCACTCTGTTAATCTATGAGGGGGGTGTATAGGCAGGCTTTGTCATTGTAATTTGGATGTATTTGTAGTCCACAGTAAATTACTTTTATGTATAACAAGGGAAACAAGCAAGTTACCTCACTTGGCCAGATTACAGTTCAGGTCTGTGGACCCTCACCCCTATTCACAGAAGGAATTATTGTTTTTTTGAGCAATAGAAACACCCATAAGGAATAAATACTAGATGCTATGTTTAATGTCATACCATGGAACATTCCAGGCAAAGCAATAACATCTCCATGGACACAAGCAGGTAGTACACCCTCCACCAGAAAAGTTGCACAGTGCACTTGTAAATACATTTTACAGTCAATACTTTTTCCTTTTCTAAATTTGAGAGCTGCTACTTTCGATTCACACTACAAACTGAAAAGTAAAAAGAAGACCTTCTTTCCATAAGGTTTGAGAGGTTATTTTTTGATACATTCATCGTGACCTCCTGCCTAAAAGTGTTCAAGTTCCAAATCTGAGTATTCAATATATCAAAATACATAGACCAACATATAAGTGTATTTAGTTGCTTGCTTTTTACTTTTTTACTCTTAAAGTAGGGCCTAGATATGTACTTGGGTTAGCCACTATTTCTACTTTATACTTGATTAATTTTACTACTGCACTCACTTCATTGTTGGCTCTGCACTGTACATTACAGCCATTCATGTTTTGTGGGATGTCTTTGTTGCACTAATGAAGCCATTTCATACTTCAAGATATTACAATAAGCAGACTACAACATAAAAGGGTACATCCTTTTGAATAAGCACCTTGTTGCCAGTGTTTGAGAGGTATTACATTCTATCTGTTAAGAGGATAACAGGGTTAGGCAAAATATGTATTAAACTTCAGCCTAAACCTCTTTGCTCTGTAGAATAACTAAAGTATTATGCATTATGTTATGTGTTTTTCATGAGTCATTGTAACATACTATATACATACAACAAAACTGTATGAGCCATACTACAAAACTGTAAAGAGTAAGTTTTGTGTTAAGAACCGATCCGACAGTAGCAGTATCAATGTCAAACTTCAATTCAATAAACTTGAAGAATGAGACACAAAGGCACTGCATATTTGGTTTTATTGAAGAAGAAAGATATGAATTGGTAGCCTGTTTTAAGGCACCTTCAAATGTACAACAAAAGCTGAACCATTTATCATCCAGAATACAAAAATACACATCTTGGTGACTCCAAATAGTAATAAATAGTTATAACCATGCATTCTAACCATAAAAAGGCACAGAGAACAGTCACTTATAGTAGTCATAAAAACGATAAACTACTTTACCAAAATCATCCAGATAGTATTACAGGTGACAGGTGTAACAATATATTCCAATTGTGAAAAACACAATACACATCATATCATTAAACCTTACACAATAAATATGTCAAATTTGTTGATACCTTCATAGATATTCTTACAAATTAAAACTGTGCCATTGTAAACATAATGTAAACAAAATGAAACTCACTTTTCTCCCACCATTATAGGAATTATACCAAAGACTATATTTGTAATTATTCCGTCAGTAGAGAATCTTGCATGAGTTAGTTGGTTTGTGGAAAACCAGGCAGTTTGCAGCATTATTTACAGACCACTGGAAATATCAGCAAGGGTACATTGTGGCTACCTTATCTACATATAAAAAGCCCCCCAAAAATGATTCTTATACTCTGGCAGACAATGAACAAAAACAGAATATATTTTGAGAATTGGTTTGGAATGGAGTTTGGCATGTAGAGATTAAGCTAAACAAGGCAGCAGACTACTGCAGTTTTCACCACTGCTTCACATAAAGCACATACTTAGAAAGGCTTCTCTGGAAACCTCAGTCGTCCATTCATGGCAAGAAAAAGGCATCAACTGTAATGATAATTATAAGCTAGTAACAAAATTATACGTCACATTTTTATGAAACTAAATGTCTTCAGCTCTCCAATGTTCAATATCAGTCTATTGAAGCATAACAGCAAGACAGAGATTAAAAGACGGCCCTCTAGTGCTCTATTTTGGAAATTACAAAACTACTCTAACCTTCACATTCTTATAAAAGGGACAGTTTGTTATTAATTATAACACCCATAAGAAATTAGAAATTAGCTATAAAGTGTGACTTTAAATTACACAGTAAAAAGTCAAAAGCGAAGCTATTGACTAAAAAAACATATAGCAGGTTGATACAGAAGAACAAACGAGTACCAGCAAGTATGAAGTTAAACAAAATACAGTAACTCTGCTAAAATACACCACTACTCCTGCACACTCACCTACACATAAAGTAGGCTTTTAAGTAACATAAAAATACATATTAAGACAACAGTCATGTCTGCCTTCGCATTTCACGCACTAACATTTTAGTGTATTATATTGGAAGCACAGAGAAGAGAAACTACTTTATTAGTAAACTGCTGGAAGAAATCTGGACTTGATAAGAAAGTCAGTCTGTTTGGGGCTTGCTTCTAAATCTTTATGAGCATGAGTACAAAACCTTCCCCCATTGAGAAATTTCAGAAAGCTGCAAAGACGGTATCAAAACGATAGATCAAATATTGCACCATTATTAAAATACACAGCATCATCATATACAAGATTAGAACCACATCAACAACACACAACTGTTATGGTGTAATATGCACGCAATCAAATGTGTAAGCTGTTCATAATGCATGCGATGTATGCAAAGAACAAACACATTAACTTTAACACTTACAAACATTGTTTGCATACACTGGGCCTTGGGTACTGAATATATACTGTGCAAATATATTTATGTACATATATAAACTCTAATGAACTATACCCTGTAATGCCACCAGTCTTAAAGAAACTAAATTAGTGTTTTACCCACGCTGTATTTATGAAGAAAAAAGCTGTACTTGAAAACAAGACAAGATGCTAGTCAGCTGCTGTATTAGATATTGAAAATTGATATATGTAACTATTCTCATGATTAGTGTTAAATACTGCTACTAACAGTAAAAATCATTTGAGGTGAAAATTGTGACTGTAAATTCTGTCTTGATATGAATATTTGAACTTGCATAACGCAAGGAGTAAAAGTGCCTTAAGTATTCCTTAAACATTCCTATAGGATTAGAAGTTGGCTTGAATCCAACTATTTTACTACTGCCATTATTTCTCCTAATATCAACCCCAACTCATGCCTGATGGAATAACACCTAGGACCTACTGGCCGACTGAATAAAGAGTGACATTCACTTTGGTACAGATACTCACATCCAGAGAGACGTGTCAAACAGATATTCACTCAATATACTTAATATACTTCAGCAAAATGCTAAAACTTGTCTACTAAATAAACATTTTACAACGTGTGATCCATTATGTGGCACTTGAAATAGAGTTTTGACACACTTTTGTCATGCAAACAAAATAAATTAAAGTTAAAAGACTGATTTAGAACAGGTGGGGCTGTCAGTAGTAACTTATGGCATTGTAATACTTACATCATAAAATAAAACATATTCAAGTGTACGTTGCACTTAAAATCAAGTCACTAATCATGCACTTAAATATACTGAGCAAGTGTAGCATGCAGCCCATGTGACCAACTGTGTTAGACAGCACCCTCCACTGGAAAGCAGCATCACCAAAACCACCAAACAAAATCAGCTGCAACTCTTTAATGTGAGGAACATGTCTCACACTGAATTGAAATGAAAACTACACCTCTGGGACACTCCTGGAAGTCCTGTTTTTGCTACTGCAGTGTTGCTAAACAACACACTGTCTGCTTCCATATAGTTTGTTGCATAACTGATAATGTTCTATGAATGGACCATAAATGGCTTATTATACAGTATATTTTGTCTGTTACTTTCGTTTACTGCACCATTCCCGTTCATTTTGGCACCAAAGCACAAAAAACACAAATCTACTTTGTTCACGGCTTCACAACAGTTATCACCACAGGGCGATTAAATCCTTGTCATCTTCTCTCACGATGGTGCTCACAAACGTCCACTGAGGTTGGGGAGCTCTTGGCCCCCCTCTGCTGGAGCTTCTGCTCAGGTTTAGAGGTCAATCATGGAGGTCTTGGCCAGATCCTTAGTTCCCTGGAGAATTCTCTTCATATGGCCCACTTTCGATATCCCCAGGTCCTACAGGGTCAAACATATCACTTCAGGGACAAAACAAAACCACAGCTGTTCTACACTGCTGCAAGAGAGGATCACTGTTATTTAGTTTAGACAGTCAAACATCACACAGTGTAATGTAACTTTACCAAGCTCATTAATAAAGTTCATTTTGCGAATTTAAGCCACAGTTATTTTTATGATTAGTGTCTATTGGATTAAACCTGTCTGATTAGGACTGCTTTAAATTATTTTTCAGAGTAAACAGGAGTACATTGTTTTGTAGATTTCTATGTGATATACATGTAGAACTCCAGCTGTTTGCTCACCATCTATCTTTGCTTGTGTTTAGATCACACTTTACCTAGACTATGAAACCTTCCCCTTTTAGCAGTGTTAGTCATTTCACCAAGCAGCAATAGAAAAAGCCAAGCAGAGCAATGCAACACAAGAAGTGTCAAAACACGCCAAAGTCTTCATGGGTGGAGAATATTCAGACAGAAAAAAGTGATTGAAGGTTCACACACTAACACAACAGGAGTGTCCGTACCTTTAGGTCCCGCCTCTCCAGGTGCAGCAGCTCTGAACCGCGGATGTCGTGGCGAATGAAGGTTTCTCTGTACTCCCCGAGGCTCAGCTGCTCCAGCCAGACGCCCACCTCCTCTGTGCCCCATCTCTCCACTGTGCACGCACCAGCACACACACACGCAAACACACACACAGAGGGTAGAGAAGAGAGAGGCTCACACATCCACACTACACGGACTGACAATATATCCTCACACCCAACTGTGGTAAATCAACAGTGAAAAGTTTTCAGAAGGGAACCAGAGGGAAAAGAGGGAAGCAGCACTGGCAGCAGCAGGATTTTGACAGAGGCCATAGATCATTCCAGGAGGGTTTAGGGCATGCTTACTGTCAACACATATTTGGACATACAGAGAAAGTGGGAGGGAAGGCCAAGCCTGTGGTCTGCAGGACAAAATGCCCAAATAGGTAACAAGAATATTTTTGGAAATGTAATGGACAGTAACTGGGATAATTGTCAAACAATCTGGTGATCTGGTTTCTCTGATTTAAAAAATCTACATACAATTCAATCACTGCAGTTTTGTATCATATTTTTTGGTAAAATATTTTTTACATTAAGTAATACCATAAAAAAGTGCAAAATCTCAAAACCTTTTCCCTCAGTGAATAGATACTGATTTTCACAGTGTTGGTCAATGTGAACAGGGCTGTACCTGACTGAGGGCTGGTCTTTTTGGCAGCCTTCTCCTTCTTGAACTTGGGCACTATTCGAAACATGCTGGAGCGACTGTTCCTCTTGCCGTAACCCAGAGAGTGGTCCTGGTACATAAGCACAGTCAACCTATAGCCTTTCATTTAGCTACTCAGCTCTGTCGTGAAGATTAAGTATAAGAAACAAGCATTCATTTATAGTATGCAATATGCATGTCAGTCACTTTTTAAATGACATGTTTGTGCATCTATTTACCTCTTCATCATTTGGCTGCAGGATGTGGTAGAGCCAAGGAATCTCTCCTAGTTTCCCCATCTCCAGCTCCACACTCTGGAGGGCATTTGACAGCTGCTCCTCTTCAGGCGGCTCCAGTTGCTATTAGAACAAATATAGAAATGTTAATTTTATCATATGGTTAACACAAGGGGTACTGTATGAATTGTAATAACCTACCAGAGAAACTCGACCCACAAGAAGAGATTCAGTCTCATTGTAGAGTGCTTTGACGGTGCTAGCAACCTCTATAGCTGTATTTCTGGTTAGGCTCTATGGACAGATATATATTAGTTACTGTACTGTATTATACATTAACTTTATTGTTTATATGATAAATAGGGTTGCACAATATATTGCAATTTGAATTGGTGCAGTAATCAAACCTCTGCAATTACTTAGATAATAGAAACTAGAATGTCCCCTGTAAAGAACAAAATATTCTGTCTTTTTATAGAAAAATCATGTTTTGTAGTTTAGACCTCTTTAACATGTTTTGAAATGAATGAAAATATTGTATTAGTTCGTATTTCAGTCTTTTTTGTTTTCAACATTGTACACTCCTAGCTGTAAACAAGTTTTTGAACAAACCTCGGGAAACTTGGGATGAGTTTTGTTAATGGCGTGAGATGCTGCATTGACAGCATGGGCCAGCTCCTGCTCCAAAAGTCCATTGGTTTTGGCAGCCTCACATATCCTATGACAGATACAAGATCCCACTCAGTTTACATTAAAAATGTATGTACATGTATTTATTTTTCTCTTAAAAAGGTGCTATGTACAAAGATACATTTCTGGTGGAAGGTCTGCCACCTGCTTTTCTCCATGAAGATGTGATGGCTATACAAAGAATGCTCCACAGTATGGCATTAAACTTATGGAGACAGTAAGTGATGCCAACAAATGAAGTTACAGGTCAGATCTGTGGAGAGGCATTCTCACTCACAGAAAGAATGCATGCTTGTGATGGAGACAAGCAGATAGAGGACACCCAACCAGAAAAGTTACATAGTGCACCTTTAAATCAAGTACAATGTTGATTACCTTGTGATGAGCTCCTCTGCTGCTCGAGCACACATCTGCACCAGTCCTGCCTCTTCTTCTGTGGCCAAATCCACTGACTGTTGTGGATAAAGGTGAGGTCTCAGCGGTGGCTTATCATACTTCAACTTATCCTCCCAGGACTTCAGCGTGTTTTCAAACGCCTGCATTCAAAGAGCAACACAGCATTAAGCAGCATATCTACATCACCCTGCCCTTTACAAAGTCCTTATCTATGGGATAAGTCTCTTTACCCGATCTCTGGTGAGCATCTGAGCGCGATTCTTGTGCTGAATTTTGATGACACCCGGAGGCTGGATCCAGGCCTCTCCGTCCACCTGAATGGGAACACCTTCGTCTCCCAGGATGGTGATCTTCACTGTTCGACACTAGATCAGCAAAACACTTACATATCAATATAGCACATAGCTGTAAAGAACGTGTATTTTTGTAGTTTCATATTTGCATTACCACAGTGAAATCAAATCACAGCTTTAGTAATGTATTGTAATTATACATTACATAATGTAATTTTAACTATATCTACACCATCACCATTTTGACATACAGTTGTACAGTTGAAAATTGTTAAGTAGTTTATCCAAACCTGTGCAATGCGATGGTGTTGTAGCTTGATCACTCTAGACACAGCCATTTGCATGCTTCCAAATACAGCTACAACTTCAAGAATTTTATCATCAAAAGATGGAGCACAGAATATCTACAAGAAAACACAAAGAAACTTTGTATTTTAATATTTAATATTCATTATAATATATTACATATACAACAAACCTACTTGCAGACCTAACTCAAAGATACATACATTAGTTGGTTAATTTTCAGAGAAAATTATACATTGTAAATGTTGAGTGGAGTGTAGCCACTAGGGGGAAACAAAGGACAACCTTTTGGTGTGCAAACATTTCTACACGATTTTTAAACATAATGAACATGTCTTTGTAATCCAGGTAGTTTCCATAGCAAAAAATAAATAAATAAAAAATCTATTCTGTGAACTGTCAATATTTAATTTTCTTTTGATAATGTAGGAGTGTGTTTTATTCTTAGATTCTTAGAGGTACTGTGTCCTTTATCATTTAAAATTAATAACAGGGTTGTGCCAGGAAGATGATACACCTAGATGATACAAATGTTTGTGTGATTTTTTTTGTATGCAAAGAAGCAGGTGAAAAAAACAGAAGTATAAATGCTTGTATCTACTCTTGAGTAAATTTAACTAAATGTCCTCTCTCTAATTTATTGTCCCTTCTGAGCATGACAGTTACATAACAGCAAGTGCACATCCAGTATTTGTGTGTCTAAGGGTGACTTCTGGATCACTGTGTGTGTATGTGTGCATGTGTGTGCGTGTAGGCGTGTGTGCATGTTTATGTATGTGTGTGTCCGTGTGCGCGTGTGTGTGTATATGTGCAAACTGACACTGCAATCCCTTGGCAGCCCTTGTGCTCTGAGCCTTGAACAAACAAGCGCACACATTTCTCTTTGCTTGCCTCCCCCTGCACCTCAAGGCCAGTGGGGTCAGGCCAAACCAGGATCATGGCTCTCTCAACATGGCTCGCCAAAGGGGAAAGAGAAACTGTGATGGATAACGTTTCCCTTCATGTACCACCGCAGTAAATATTTGTTTCTCCAGTTTCTATACTTTTACTATATTTCAAATTTTGGGAGTATTTAGTAACATAGTAACATTTAGTAACAACTATAACAAACATAGATCACTACGAAATGGATATATGACATTTTAGAACCCTACATGTATAATCCAGAGTCCGAATTTGTTTTCAGTAATCAGTTAAGTTTTCACTTGAATAGGGGGTAAGTGAAAACTGAAATTTTCTGAGCACTCAAGTCTTGATATCATACAGGATTACTTAAACAAGGATGAATTAATTCTAAAACAACTTTGAGCAAGCTTATGATGAGGGAACACCTTTATAAAATGTTTAAAAACTTATAAGTTGATTTTTTTACATAATATGTGTCCTTTAAAGGCAGTAATATAATTGTGTTTTAGCCAAAGCATGGAAATACTTACATCGTCCTCTTTGGTTCCTCCCCAGAAGTTGGTCCCTCCAGCATAACTAGGAATGTTTAACACTGCAATGCCCTGTAAACTCGGCAGAGGGATGTACTGACCATCACACTAGAAAATAAATATTACCAGTTAGATTTATCTTATATTACAGAATATTAAAAGTTCATTTACTAACCTCTAATTGAACTTTCTGCTCCAGATTTTTGTAGGTTCTCTGGAGAAGCTCCTTTGTGCCCAAAACGCCATACCACATCATGTTCTTTGTGCGACTCCTGCATTAGAGACAAAAACAATTTAAAAAAACAAAACAAAAACAACAAAAAACATACTGTGGTGGTAGTTAAATTATTAAACGCCAGTATGCAGTGAAAATAATAACCTGCATTTACCTGCATTTTTCTGGGTGCTCTTCACGCTTATTATTAAACTCTAAGGAAATCTTGGCATCCAAACCAATACCGAAGTAGTTGTTCATCACACACTTTTCCATGTACCCCTCTCTGGATAAAAACAGATACAAAATTTTGCATTGAATTTTAACAGGATTTTAGACACAAATTAGTACCATGTTTAGGAAGGAGCAAAGCCTTACAGTGAGTCAAGGTCAGGGTCAATGAAGGGAGTGGCACCGAAGGGGTCAATGTTCGCCAGCAGCATCTTACTAATAATGGAGCTACCGGCGATTGAGGCAGCCAGACCAGCCCGCAGGCCTACACAAACACACACACACAAACACACACACAGGTCACGCATGTGAGAGGAGATGCTTGGGTAATCCTCTCTTATTAGTACTGAGTGCAATTTGTATTAGTATTTGTATAGTAAGGCTGTAATCAACTAAAGAAATTCCAGGTTGACTAAAGCTTGTACTTTGCGTCAATTAGCAAAAGCTCTATCTCTATTATCTCATTCATTTAATTGAACCAAAGTGGCCTAGCAAGACAAGTACAATTTAATTACATATTTGAATGTAAAATGGCAGAAATAATTAACAGTTTATCTCAAATCTTCACTTGTCACATTCCATGCCCTCTCTTTTCTACTTTGGTTCATAAAAATCCTTCATAATCCCAGTGAAATAATTAGTCAGCCAATAAATATGTTGGTTGAATAAAGTGCTACTGGCAGATTAAGCAAGATTTAAGTCTTACAGCCCTAAACTACAGCACACATCAAACGACATAATAAGGTGCAGTTGTTGGTGTGTGTGTGTTAATACCTGGACAGATGATGCGAGTGTTGAGCACTGGCAGATTCTCCTTGCTGGTGGTGAAGGGGGTGATGGTAAAGGACTGGTAAGACTGGGTGCTACGACTGACTTTCCGCTCTGTTGGGGAACATGGACTCTTGGCAGCTGCACACAGAAAAAAAAAGAAAAGAAAAGATTTTTATGTTAGGTATTGTTGTATTAATCTTGTTTATTCTTTTATAGGAGAATTCAAGCTATCCAAGAAACTCAAGGTTGAATAGTAGCCAGTAACTTGCAGTAACATATATAAACATCCAGTCGAACTTTCATTTACAACAGTTAAGAGTTACCAGTTAGTTCGCAGTAAGGTGGAAACCATGGTAATACAATGAGGACACGCATCTAACCCATAACTTAAATATCTTTAATTGTTTAATCCTGAGTTTTAGTAACTTTTTAAATAAAACATTAAAATTCCCCACTGTTTAAAAATGAAACACAAACACTATTCAACAAGCGGAGAGGTAAGGTACTTTACTATGCTATACATCCAAGCCCCATCCAGTGACAGCACTATCTAATGAAGGGGGGAGGAATTCATGAGCAGGTCAGGAAAGAGTAAGGAAACCCGAGGACGCTCAGCAGAGGATCTGAAGCGATACCCCCCAGTCTTTCCTAATGGCCTAGAAAATGCATGGAAGGAAGCTGCCCCATGATAAACAGGAAGAATTCTGCTCCTAAGACAATAAAACATCCTGTAACTTAAGCACAATCATACGCACTCACAGTATCACTCATGCACTTTACTCACTTTATTTTCAAAACTATTCAGAACAGCTATTTTTGAGTAACACTGTTTCTGCTCGTACTTCAGCAACTAATCCTTGAGTTTATTTATGACAGGAAATATGATTTGCGTCAGAAGCACTTTTTCCATTCGCTGTTCATTTTGATGATTGTGTTGCAAGGATTATATTAACCACAAGGGGGCGACTTTTTAGTCCTTTATGGTTTTACTTTTCCTTGACCTTGCATGAACACTGGAAAAATGTGTGAAGGTATTTGTGTTAGAACATCCACTATAAAAGGTTAGCTGGCATCGCAAGCCTAATTAATTACATCTTAAGTGCTTGAAAACAATGCCAGCTGGCGATGTGAGGAGATCAGGCAGATGAGGATGGAAAGGTTAAATGCTTTGGACACAACCCAGGATGGAAATAGTTTGTGTAAGAGCCAAGTTGGTAAAAGGGATTGTAAACAGGTCACATAACAGACTAGGAGCCGAGGCATTAGAAGACTTACATGGCAACAGCTCCAGCTCCTTGGTATCTTCATCCTTTTCACTGTCGCGGTTCTCCTCCTCGCTGTCTTTTCTGAACTCCAGTGGAGATGTCAGCTCTGTCTCCTCAGTGTGGGCGTTCTGCTCATCCACCACTGTAAAAGAGGAGATAGATCTTTACGCTTCTGTGTTTATGAGACATTAATGAAAAAGAGGAAGGGAAAGACATAGATCACAAGCCAAAAACCTAAGCCAAAGCACACATCTCATGCTACAGCTCCATATTTTGTGCTCGGCTTGGTCCAAAGTATCATAGCTAGAATATTGTAACTATTGTACATGTGTTACAAAAAATCCTTAATTTTAATGTGTTTGGTTAACTTTTACATTATGCAAACAGGTTTTAGCTTGTAACCTCTGACCCTGACACAACATTAGTGTATTCACCGCTTTCAGCTTGTTCAATGATCTGCCGCACAGCTTTCTTTAAACTGTTGGCCCGGAGCATGAGTTGTTCCCGGCTCTTGAACATCTGATGCGGTGAAGTGGCTGCTCCCTTCTCAGTCTCTGCCTGCTCCAGTTTCTCCTTCAGCTCGGTCAGGCTTTCCTCACTGGGCTCCTCTTCCTCCTCCTCTTCATCCTCTAGCTCCTCCTCTACAATGGGGGGCGTGGAGTGGGGCAGTGGGGGCAGAGCGTGACACTCGGTCTGCAGAGTCTGGAGCAGGGAGTCCAGCTTCTCATTCAGGATGGCACACTGATGACACATGTGTGAAAGTAAGTAAAAACAAAAATAAAATAAAATAAAAAGATTTAGGGGGTGTTTACTACGACGTACTTTAAGAGACATGCTGTCACACTCATCTGCATTTTCACTGCTCTTCTCATAGGCCTTTCCCACTTTGGCAACAAAATCCTTAACTGTTTCACACAGGATCCTAAACAAAGAAAAGTATTTGTTTAAAACATTCTTTCCTTACACTTTCAATGTTTAGGTTAGATGCGTGTGTGTGAGCTGATGTGAGGTATTGCGTACTTGGCAGAGGAGATGACCACAGAGTGCTGATCAGAGTTCAGAATCTTGGTAAGATGGGCTGCTACTGAGTCTTCATAAGCTGAAATATGAAACTGCAGCGAGAGCACAATAACAGTTGTGTAAACATGGTTTTGTGGTAAGCTCCAAAACTATAAATAATTCAGAGGAACAAACAATTAGAAGACAAATTGTACAAGTATTGGGTTTTATTTAGTTGAAAGACATTAGTGTGGGCGTGATCTGTCATGTGCTGATCTGTTATTAGGCTTGTTTGAGATGAACTGTGATATGATCGGTGAGAGGAGGAAGCTGCAGCTTTGAAGAAAAACGCCTGGAACCAATCGGGCACTCCACAAAGCTGCGAACACCTCTGCGGCTTCAGATCACCTATCGTCCTATGGGGTAATTTATTAAAATTGAATGGATACAATTAGTCTCAAAGCCATATTTCATTAACACAAACATGAACTTTAGGTATCATGAAAGCTAAGAAAGTGCTTAGATATCAGCAGCCACTGCAGCTGCTCTGGATGAACTGCAGCCACTGCACCCACCGGTCAGTCTCGTTTGGAGCTTTCTGATGCCTACGTACCCATGACATGTGATCAGCACTGATCCATACCAATCGGATCTGCAGTTTTAATTCATCTCAATCAAGCCTTGTATTTATATTTGAACCCTGTTGGCTCCTGGTGTTACCTGGCAGTCGTCGCCCCCCTCAGGTGTGGTGGGGCAGCTGTGTTTAGGAGGAATCTTGATTTCATATGTCATGATGCTCCAGCGGTCCAACATTTTGGTGCTGGCCCGCTCTAACTTCTCCAGGATTTGAGGCAACTGTGTGTCATCATCACATGATGGACCCCAACCCAGGACTCGAGCCAGATCATTCCCTGTGCCCAAAGGCAGAACTCCCAGCTGGCACTGCAACACATGAACAGAGATCAAAATACATATGTAATATATGCAAGCATAGTCAAAATGTGATCAATACTTTATACATCATCTCCTTTGCTCTACCTACATTCACACAAGGATTGTTCATATGCCTGTACAAGTTTACATTTTTCTTCAATTATCCACTTGAGATAACTGAAACTTCCAGAAGCCTGTTCTGAATCATTACTTTGCTGTTATGTTGTTTTTCTTTGATTCGTTTTCTGAAATACCTGTTTGTGAAGGTTGAGTTTATCAATCTCAGACAGGACCCAGCCCACACTGCCGTCGCCTCCACACACCAGGATCCGAAAGTTGTCAAACTTTTGAAAAAGGCGTAGACTGAAATGCATGAACACACAGAATGAAGAAACTATTTATTTTACTGTGAAAAAGTTGTAACTTGTATACGTTCTTACCCAAGGTGTGGTCCGCCATTTACGAGGTCAAAGACTTGGGCCGGGTTGAGGAGCTGCTTGAATCGTCGCAAGAATTTGACTCCCTGATTGTCTCCACTTTTAGAGTTTACAAACACGAGGAGGGGGCTGGCACATGATGGGGGACACGTAGCTTTCCAGAATCCTTTGGAGAAAAGTAGGACATGTTGAACTTTTACACACATATTGGAAGATCAGGAAATAGATTTGAGCATTTTAAGACCCATTCACTTATATATCGTTAAAGATAATTCACAAATTAACTTTTGTAAAAATAATAACAGCATGTATTTATCTGGGATATAAAATTATGTGTTGATTGAGTAAACATGCAATGATATTTTTTATGCCAAATTGCTCTTCTCTTTCTATTTTTACTCATTAGTATGTTCAAAATCACAAATTTGATGCACTGAGGATACATTGGGAATGACACATGGGCACACACAGACTGGAGCAGCTTAGAAAAAATATTGGTGCCAAATATCAGCAAGAGTTTAATTACTAGACTAGAAAATATGTGTAAAATTACTCAGTATAGAAAAATATTATATCGACCATTCCTTTACATCACTATACTCAACCTTACCATCAGCTTGGTAATGAAGGCCCTTAATCTGTTCTGTTCTGGTAAACAGAACTATGAGTTTAAAGTGGAAGTGACTTCTCTTTTCTCTGATTACCATAGCGCCACATATTAAGTGGTATAACGAGTTGGATTGGAACTGAATATTGTTAAATGTTTGATCAAAAATATATGTTTGGTATTTTATTTCTTTCTGTGCAAAAGGCACTCATCCATGACTTATCTGTGCATCTCTGTGACTTGACTGTTGCAGTGGACGGGGTCCTTTAGCACAGTCGTTACGATAACCTCATCAAAAAAATGAACCTCCATAACCAAGTTACACAGCTCACAGGAACCAGCACATGCCAAAAGCACGTGTTTAGCTCACACTCACACACATATGTTCAGTATAATCTGGCAGAGGCAACACAACAAAAGGTCTGATACACACAACCCCCACCTTTGTGTGTTTGTGCAGCTTTTGCATGCCCCGCCATATGTGTCTTTGTGAGAGTGTGGTTTTGCGATTTTCTTTCTCATATCCTTCTTAAGCTTTCTGTCTGGTCCACACTTAGATTTTTTTATAATACTGTCAGAAAGGAGGGAAGGAGACGGAGGAGGAGAGTGAGAAAAAAACTGAGAGAAAGTCACGACTCTTGAGGCACGTGTTACAGTCTGATGCCCCGCTCAGCCAATTACAAATCCTCTCACAAACCCCCCCTCCCTCTCTCTATCTCTCCCTCTCCATCCCTCTCTTCATCCTGCAGTTGGGCAGCGGGGTACAGCCACATGTGTTGAGAAGGTGAAAAAATAAAAGAGATCATACAGGGAAGCATCTCCTCTGCTGTATTTTTCCCTTGATGTCAAGTTAAATCTATCTACCAATTAGACTAAGATACGCTGTTCAAATGATATAATCGCAAGAACAGTTTGTGTAATGTGCTGTTACTATACCACAAGGTGTAACATGTAAACTATGGCTTAAGGACTATATAATTAATATTTATTTTTTAAACCAAGATTAAGATTCAGTCATTTCTAATCGTCAATAATATGCTTGAGAGGGAGACACTGAAGGAAGAATTTGTACAATTTATTGGTTAAATGGCAATGATTTAAAAGTCTGCATTGTTTATAAATATTGCAAGACCAAAATAAAAGTTAATTAAAAAGTGTGCTTGTTCAATATAAGGGAAAACAACTCTTGAATATTTTTTGTTACATTACCACCTCTTATATGACTGACGCAATACTAAATTAGATAGAAATAACATGTCTACCTTAGTGACATATTTAGTTTACAAGAGTACTATTTCACTCTTTAAAGAATACCCTTGTTTGTAGTTGGACAGTGTTTAAACTTTCATTAAATGTCACATGTATTGTATGTCAGTGTTGGTTGAGAAGAAGGCTCTATCTCCCTCCTGGTCACATGTCCACACACCTCCTCACATGACACACAGGGCTATTTTTAGTTCATGGCTATAGGTGAGACAATACGCCAGGTAAGATTAACTTTATTCACATAATTTTTCAACTACTATTCAAATCAAATCAATAGGAATAGGGATAGACAGGAACAGGCTCTTGACATGAAACATAAAGGACTATATATATGTACTAATAATCTACATTTAAATTATCTCTGAAATGATTAAAAATAAAAGATCACAGTGAACACCATATAAAGTAATGCTTTTAGGACACTGGGTGTAACCAGAAAGTGCTTGAATAAATTACGGTAAAACGTTGTGTAAGCTTCTTTATGGCAGCTTTTAATTTGAGCATGAAGGTTAAAGTTCAAACAAGAACCGATCTCAAACTAAATGGACTGGAAACCCATTTTCAGGGGGGCATTTATTACTGCTCATACAGAGATTGGTTTTGGGCCCTGGGGGGCTTAGACAGGTGTCAGTGTTGCTTACCATCTGAGTCGATGCTGTTGAGCGCCGTGGGGGGAATGATGGAGACTTTACACTGACCCAAAGGACATTTGCGAGGGTATAGGTCCATGCAAGCTGTGTGCACCTAAAGTAATGATAAAATACTATCACAAACATTCAAAATTATGTTATTTTTTCTTTAATGATTTCAAACATGCCCAGGAGCATTCAATTATGAGAAAAGATTGAAATATAAATGGCTAAATTAAAATAAAAATTCCATCCATTTCAGAACATGTCTAAAAACTAAAGAAATAGCAGTTCTTATTTCTTTCAGTAACTAGCTTTTTTAGTAACTGGCTTTTTTTAAATACAGTGGACATTTTATTTTTATTATACCTAAATAATTACAGTCAAATTGCATATCCTTTATATATTTTCACATACCAAATGCACATATAGCTGATGTTAAACTGTACCTGCATAAATATAGGTACTGTGAAATCTAAGCACTTTAACAAAATAATGAGTCCATGAAGGCAATGAAGGTCTGAAGACCTGAATATTTTCTTTGACCTTATTATGTAGGCTTAAAACAGCAGCTTTTTGGGACATAAAAAGATGAGCCTTTGTCTAGACTTTTGATAGATGTGAGGTGAAGGTTAGGTAAGAAAACCTCAAATCTGAGAGAAAAGAGGACATTTAATCTCCCTCAGACAGAGATCATTTTCATGGCTTATTATAAATTAATGAACAAGTGTCGGCCAGGAAATCCTCAGTGAGGGTGAGTCTACCTATTTTTTTTATTTTAAAATCTTCATATTTCCTCATTTTCTTATCATTTGACATTTGACTCTTTGTTGTTAAGCCAATTTCAACAAAGTCTCAAAGATGTAAATCTACAAGAAATCTCGATAACAATGAGCTATTTGATTAATAAATATAGCCAGTGCTTTTGTAAATCTGTAGCAGCATACCATAAGTTTTGATTATGTCACCAAATAAAAGAGCTTGTTTTTGTTGAGAAAAACAAGCCCACGCAAAGCAAAACTACCATGCAATGAGTTCAATACACTGTTATTTCAGATCCTAACGATTCAACAAGAGCCTTTAAAGGTGGATTTTGAATGATTTGATGGATGGTTTGAAAACTCAAATCCAGCACCAATCCAGCTCACAGTAATGGATTGCCTGCCTACATTTTATTAGCATAAAAGCCCCAAGTTCCAGAAATAAACAGAAATCTTGAGTATCAGAGACTGATAATGAATAAAACATACATGTATTATATAATTATATAATTACACAGATTAGTCAGAGGAGTGAATTAAGATTTATGCACTGGTAACAGATGTCCTCCTACCATAGCTTTGCACCAGAGACAGCGCCAGTCCTGCAGCCTCAACACGCTGCCACACGTTTTATCACACACGGCACACTTGGCACTCACGGGTAGGTTCCCCTCTAACCACTGGTGAGGCATTGCAATCTATGGGTATGAAAAGTACTTTTAGCAAAAAATAAAATTAAATAAAAAAATTGCACACTCCACACTTCACATACCCCATCTTCGTCCTCGATAATATCTTTTCCTATGGAAGCCAGTGTTGTCCACTTGCAGTTGTTAATGGCTCGGACAGCACACCGTTTGTGGGCTTTAAATTTACACACTGAAAAAAAGAAATATATTGAAGTCACAATGCAGGTAAACAAATGTGAAAAGCTTCAATTATAAGAAAGACATATGGAAACAACCAGACTAACAATATAAATTGACAGTCCTGACCCACCCTGTAAAGTTCAGTGTTATAACAAAATTAAGCCTAATGATTTGTCAGTGTCATAGCTATCCCAAAGCTGACAGTGACAGCAGAGTCATGTGCTTTAAGACAAATAGTTAATCCAGTCGCATGTTCAGGCTATAGCACTGCAGTATACTGATCATAGATGTACTGAATAGGCCTGTCATAATAATTACTATATCGACTTATTGTTCAGCATATGGAAGCTAAGACAATCAATTTTGGGGCTCAATAGTTATCAATTTCTTTGGATTATTTTTGTTGAAGCACAATTAATTTTGGGCTATAAAAGTTTCTATGGTTAATTATTGACCATTAACAGTACATTTGGTTATTTATTTGTTGCAGCTCATGGCTTTAAATGATACTGTTTATTTAAAAATGTTTTACTTAATTATCTTGCTTTGTGTCAGTGGCATAAAGAAGTTTCAATACTATTGTTTATCGCAGTATATCTCTGTAGCATATCGTGTTTCAAAATCATGACTGGTACTGAAGTATCTTAGACTTAGCAAAGCACATAAGGTAACAGCAGTGGGCTTTTAGAGTAAGACTCTTGTCTTGATTTTCACTTGTGTGAAAATGACAAAATGTGATAATACAAAATGAATAATGATAATGAAAAAAGTTTTAATAAAAGAAAGTACAGAATCCACAATCAAGCACTTTTTAACTTCCTCGTACTCAAAAGTAGTTTTAACTTTTTTATGCCACTGTAAACTCCAAACACCCAGTATGTAAATGAAAGAGCAGCCCACATATGAAGCTATTATGTATAATTAATAACATGCATAAAACATCACATCTATGAGTGTGACAGAGTTCTTGTGCTTTTGCACTAGCAGCCCAGTAACTCATGAATAATGCAATAATCACATCTTCCTGCCACTTCACTCTCATGGACATCGCACAAAACACTATACAATGCTATTGGTGTGTTTCAGGCTAAACACTATTATGGTGCATTAGCAGAGCATTAGGCATGATACCACTGCCTCTTTATGGCTAGACTGGGAACATTTGCCAGCAAGGATGGCTAGACTGTGTTTTAGTGTTTGTGGGGAGGTGTATCATGAATCAATCAGAGCAGAGCGTCCGGAGCAGGAAATCGAAGGGGAAATTTAAGCCACGCTGATTGCTGTGAAACTGTTTGGCTGCTGGTTTAATACAGACATAGTTGTTCTATCTCTTTGGCTGTGTGTACTCCTCCCTTTCAGAGCATCTTTAGTTAACCGAATTGTCATTGATAATCCATTGCTTTTCTCTTCCTCACATCTGTCTCTGACTTATGTGTTTGACCTGATGGTGCTAAACAGAGCTGTGATCGTGAGCCTGAGTCTGAAGGAAAGAGTTTATAGACTAAAAGACTCTGAAAGCAGGTGTAATATTATCACTACCTGGGTTTTGACCTCTTGAAATACACAGCAAACTGAGATGCATTGGCAGTTCACTAAATCTAAATTTGAGCTACTGTGAGTTGGCTGTTGGATCAGATCACATAAGCTAGTTCTCCATATGACATTGTCAGTTTGACCAATATGCGTGGTGTATACATTTTTCCATGTTCCAGCTTCTTCTTCATATATCATTATCAACAAATTAATATAAAGAAATTCATTTGTTTCAGCTGTTTTATACAACAAAAATCATGTCACAATTATATATATATATATATATATACACATACATATATATATCCAATGGTCAGATCTTTTTATTCTCCTCTTAGCATCCTTTGCCTCACTGATACCATCATCTATCAGATAGTATTGGTTAAAGGTGACCAGCAGTCTCTCACTTTTGCTTTTCTATTGATTCACCCCGTATTAATCCACATATTGATGCGCTGAAAATGGCCTCCTATTTGTGCGATTGTGAGTATAAGAGTGTCTGGTGAGGAGATTATTGCTGATAATAGGATTCAGATGCCTCTTTAACGAGATGGTCTTTTCTCTTGTCTATAGCGCTTTCTTTGGCCTCCCACTCACCGTACAAGAGGGCCTAATTGTAGTGGGTAATGAGCTCTGAGTGGAGAGATCGAGGCTTTCACACGGACACCTAACCCAGCGCTCAAAACACAAGGGAACGCTGGGTAAATTAGGACAGGGTGCTACTGCAGCTTATTTCGACCTGCTGCCTGTAGCTGACACTTCACACCATCAGCCTCTTCTTTCAATTGCCCGCTGTTCTATCACAGATGAGGTGAGAAGATGTAGCGTCATTGGCAAGTTTTTTTTTTTCATATTTGCTTCGTTGGTTAAATGGAGAGATGCAAATGCAAAATGAAAATTTAAATAGCTGCTATATGGGGGCTTTATGTAACATATGACATACATGAGTGGGTCTCCAGGGAACTACAGCTCAGAGCTCTATTTTTACAGGTTTCAGTGAAAGATTGATTTACTCTGACCCATTTTATAAGAATGACAGATGAATTTTGGCTTCCCTTGACATTATGGCTACAAAGAACCACTTTTCAACTTCAAATAATGTTTTTACAATTTTAAAATTTCTAAATTGATTTTAATAGAAAAGACAATTTCAGTACAATTTTCAATACACAATAGAATGTAAATTTCAGCACAAAATAGTAGTTTCATTAATATCACTATTCAGTCTCACATTAGTTCTGATAGAGATGATTAAAAAATTATTCAAGGTCCAACTTTATCTGATATGTGATTTTTATTTTTATTTTTTTTTCCTCAAATCATTATGTTGTTTCAATACTAGTTTTAGAATCAGTATCTGGGGAGAGTTTTTTTGACCACTGTCCATAAAACAAAAATACATTTGCTATTTAATAATTGCTATTTATTTAAAGTGCAATGTCAAAAACATGACTTACCTTCGCAGGAGAGGCCATGAGATGTCACCCCTGATAAGCTGTCTTTACAAACATTGCAGAAGGTGGGCCGTGCATGAGAGCAGGCATACCAGTTATGCATCCCTGAGAAATGTTCCACATTGAACTGCGCTGTCTGCCAAAAAATACAAAAAATATAACTTAATATTAACTAATAAGCACACCTTTATTTAGTTTTGCCTCAAAAAGGGTCTACATTCAATGATAAGTTGGTTTAGTTTTGTCATAAGAAGTGGCTGCAGGAATGTGGTACAGTGTGTTCGCTCATTAAAGAAATTATTGGGAAATTGTCTGTACTTTTTAAAGGTCTTTGCAGTAAAAGATAACTGCTTTCTTGAGCCATTTAGAAGATTGCCGTCACTGTAAATACCGAGTCCTCGGGCCACTCTGGTGTAAAGATGTGATCTTGAACAACTTGCTGACTGCAGCAGTGTAAAAGTTGGTAATTGAATCTTCTCACATAATTGGGCTGCTCCTCTGAGATGCAGCAGCTAACCTGAGGTTAGAACCCAGTGTGGGAGTCTGCAGTGACTGGTGCAGTCCTACATAAAAGGCCTTGTATAAATCCATTTGTAACAGGTGCCTCAGAAGTGGGTCTAACAGACTGTTACTGGGCACAGACCGCCTCAGCAGGGGTGCCACATGCACGACTGTGCAACATATGTGTGTATGTGTGGTGCCCTGGAGTGACAGCTATGGGGTACTGCTGCATTGCAGTGCAATAAAGGGGTGTGGGATAGGGTCTTATATAAGATTCCCTCCCAAATCAAAGCCATTAACATGCATGGTGCAGTTTTTGCTGTGCTCGCCACAAGCGCCTCACTGTCAACACATTGCCAAGATTTAGCACATCTTGTGCTGACAGAATATATTAGAATTTTACTGGCACTTTTCTCAAAATACACTCCATTCAGCGCCTTTGCTTTTAGTAACTCTATTGTGCATTATTCTCTGCCTTTTTATTTTGGAGAAATCTCTCTGTGTACAATACTGATGGTGAGTGTGGTGAGATGACATGCTATAAGGTCTGTCCATTTGTATTAATTAAAACAACGGCGGTTTATTCCATATAAAATGTAATGTACTATTATTTCAGCAATATATTATCTAATATAAGTTTCATTTTCTATATCTGTATATCATACTATGCGCCTCTGAACAGTAAGCCTGCCAATGCACCTATGCATGCCTGGTTATAGGTTATAACTCATTACAGCACATGGTAAGTTTACTTTTACATAAACATAGGCCCACCCAATAAAACACTTTTATTATAGAAGATTAGTAAAGCAATTTTGACATTTTTATGTAAGTTCAACTTGTACAAGAGTCCCTTAAGGATTAAGTTGTGAATATAAAAATGCCTCAACATAAATCTCTTGTTCTTCAAACACTCCTCTCTTGCACTCTCTCCCTCGCAACCACACACCCATACACCCACACACATATACACACACTTAAGTCCAAACCGTGCACATAAACATCAGTAAAAGGGACATACCTCATAGTGCTCTCTGGACTGGACAGACTTGAGTGAACTGATCCAGTCCTCCATCTCTTTCCTGTTTTCGGCACAGAGGATAAGCCTACGAAACGGAGTGATCACCTGGACACAGTGGAAGACAGGAGCCTCTGGTTAGACAATCCAGGAAAACAATGACTTTTTGTGGGGAGGAGAGACTTTATTAGCTGTGTTGCCGAGCCTGCTGTACCACTGCGAGTCCGTAAGCATCCGCTCTGTCTTTAAGAGCACCCCTCCCTCCTTTTGCTACTCTCTCTCCCTCATTATCTCTAGCTCGCTCGTCCCTTCACACCTTCCTCCAGTTAGACTTCTCTTTCACCTCTTGTGTTTTCTCCCTGACTCCGAGCTTAGACCACGGAGCTTTGAGGAATATTGGTGCTGACAGGAGAAGTGCCTCGGAAAAGGCTAAGAGCGTGTGTAGCCCCCTCCCCTCCTGTGTCCTCTGGATGGTGTGTGTTGGTGTGGTAAAAACTAAGCACTGTCAGTGGACAACCCTACAGACATACAGCAAGGCTTTCAATGGTGCATCATTTATTCATCCTCTCTCATCTACTCTTTCTAACTGGGCTTGTCCTAATGTTATCTCTATGCATGACAAGTCCTGATGGATAGATCTACTAAAACATGCATAAACATGAGGTAAACTGTATCAATGCATACACTTAAATATACATGCGGTTGTTATGTAAGCCACTGTAAATATGCATGGAAAAAGATCATGAATAAATGCTTGGAGGTGATTGGAAGAGCAGAGTGTAAAATTGTATGCCTCAGCAAAAATGTAATTTACAGGCATGGCAGGTGTTAATGAGCCCCATCTGATGCTGCAGTGAAAATAGCCTTCCTGTGATACAGAGGAATATGGATTTTTTCCCTCTCTCCAGAAGAGACTATATTGTCATGCAGTACAATCACTACTTCAATACAATATTAACCTTATAAACATGACAACATAGAGGCTCTGTGCTGGCTTCAAGGTTTTCAGACCGAATCCCAGCTCTGACAAATAGCTGAATGTCTCTCCACACTCTTTCACTCTTTCTGGCCAAGAAAAAGGTGTTATCAAACAAACATTCTTGCTAAATATATTAACTTATATATATTTCTTACATATTTCTTTTCAAATCCCCCCTCCCCACACAGCCATTAATGCGATATAGGTTTTACTTTAAATATCCCTCTGATGGACTCTGAAGTTTTTTGATCCCATACCTTCATGTAAGCCTGTAGGGCAAAAAACTGCTGTCCAAATGTGCTGATGTATCTTTTTTTTCTGCAGTCATCTCTCTAGTCTTACCCACAATACAAGGATTAGACTCTTTGCCTGTCCACGTGCACGAATCAGAACACTCACGCTCACTAATGTGTATTCACGTGCACAGCTGCCAATTGATTCCTTTGGACACAGATCATCCTGTCTTTGTGCTGGAGGAGTGTGTCCGTGCGGGCTTTGGTTTGTGTGTGTGTTGTGATAAGATTGGTTGCCAGGGGAAACAAGAACGACGTTTCCAAAAGTGGCTCTCGGCATCCCTCAAGAGTGGAAAACCTCCCTTGATTGCTGACCTTCAATATACATTCATCAGCTGTGTGTATCTGATAAACTGTGACACTATGCATCGGACGAGCGAGTGAGTAAAAGGCAAGAGAGAGCAGAGATCTATGATAATGGAATATAAAATAACAATATCACCAATAATAACTGAATTGAAATGAATTGAACTGAATGATTATGACTGTATTATTTTTCAGCTTTTACCAAGTCCTCATCAGCTGTCATCAGCTGCAGATTGTTCAGAACAGTTGGTGGCTTTTGACATCTTATGGAGGAAGATAGACATATGGATGGATAGTCACATTTCAACTATGTGTGTGCAAAAATATCGAAATATCGTGATACTAAATTTGGTGGTACAGGTATTGTTATCATGGCTGCTGTATCAATATATTGCCATGAGGATTTTTTGGTTCTTTATCAATTTTTATTTGTGACCACACTATAAATGTGTTGCTTATTTAGTGGAAGGAAATGTGTTTATGCAATACACTTGACATATTCACTGTTTGGATGATTAAAATAGATGTATTTCATATTAACTTTGCAAAAGTTGTGGTTTAACAAAGAAATATTGTTGCTAAAATGTATATGGTTCTTAAAAACCAGCAATATTTCACAGAGTATCATGTGTTATGTATATCAGTTATCTCATGTATCGCCATGTTGTGATAGTATTGTATCAATTATCTCATGTATCGTATCGAATCGTGACGTACCCTGCGATTTCCAGTCCTTATTTAAAAATAGAGATAAAAATGACCAAAGATACTTCTAAGCTCTCATGTGACTATTCAGCAGGGCATCTGCGATAATTTTCTGTATATTATTATATTATTACCTGATATATAGTTTAGATTGCACTTAGATAGTGTGATATACATTTCCCCATTAAAAAGACACTTCCTGCTGTTGACGGTATATCAGTATTTTATGCACACAGTCGCCACAAGGGGATTGCACTGTACTGATCCTGCGTCTAATGGGACCTGCTTTGACAGATGCAGGCTGCCTCTCGCACATGGACTATTATACACAAATAACAGCATCACAATTGACTTTCAAATTACCTCTACAATCGTTTCCCAACACAAATACACCCACAATTCAAAACTCATCACAGATTGCCAGATTTGATGAACTTGAAGAGGCCAGTTATAATGAGTCCATTGCAATAAACACAATTGAGGTGATGACAGTTACCACAATAGGAAATGGATTCATGGGTTTGGGTAGGGCTTGAGCTACAAATAACATGGACTGGAGGGTGCGCAGTGCTAGAAGATCCTGTATTGCAAAAAAAAAAAAAAAAGTTGGGAGAAAACCAAACAATTTCAGTACAAATAATTTTTGTTATGGTCTAAACTACAGAGTTAGTTCATTTGAAACCACATTCTATCACATTGTGGTTAATCTCATAGCCCCTTTATGCAAATTGGTCAGCTAATACTGTAACAAGAAGGGGTGTGATGCCAAATTGAATTACTTCTTTCATTCATACATGGAGTCCTGCAGCTATCCTACAAACAACTACACAAATGTGACTCTGGTGACCAGTTTATGAAGCACACCTGTTTTTGTGTGAGTGTGTGTATTCATGCATAAGACAACCTGCATGATTATACATACAATTATAATGAAAAAGATGTGGCATGAATCAGTCTAAATATTCTTTTCAACTTTTACACCTAATGATTAAAGTTGTATTGTGTTCTTATATACAAGGTGTGCCCTGACATGACTGGTTATAAGATTGCTTGAAGCTATCCCTCCTTCTATGAATGTCTTGTCTGGTTCAAAACAAAACAAAACAAACAAACAAAAAAACAACCCAGCGAGCTATATAAGCAAAATCTCCAATAGAGGAAGATATGAAGTGCAACATTCAATACAAGCATATCTCTGTAAAGAATTTTGAAATCTAAAAAACGTAAATTGTAAGAGGTTACATAACCAGCACTATTTTGGTCACATCTGAAGGAGAAACATAAGGATTTTTAAAAACTAATTCTGCTCTTTTAGTCTTGACAAAGCAATAAAAAATAGCTACAATATAATTACAGCATATATGAGCACGCTTACATCGCAGCTAATACATTCATTGTCATGGCAATGCACGTGCACAACCAGCACTATTTTGGTCACATAAGGATTTTTGACATCATGCCTCTCCTTTACTAACAAATCAATAAAAAATGTACAATTGGGTACACTATAATTAGAGCACAGATGAGCATGCTTACATCACTGCTAATACATTAATTATAATTACAATACATGAACACATTATCAACACTAAGCAGTCTATGGTTTGAGTTAAACAGTAACACCAAGCCCCCGCATCGCCTCCTCTGCAGTGTTCTCTTTCTTTCACTCATGATCACATAATCGAGCTTAGTGACTCCCCCCATTGGTATGCCTCACGCCCACACCATAGGACAACATATGCTCAGGTGCCGCAAATCAAATTACCTCTTGGATGTTAAATCTTCCTTTGCTTCTGTCAGTCCAGCCTAGTCTTCATGATGTGTGTGTCTGCTGGCTCCAGCCCGCTCCTACCGCTCCTGTCTCTCGCTCTACCCCGTGCCTCTCTCTTCCCCTGGGATGTGTGTGTGTGAGTGCGATCGGCTGTGGCTCTGACATCACTCTAGGATTTCCTCTATTCCTCTCCCTTACTGTTGTCTTTCTCTCAATACAGATTCAAATCAAAGTCAAACTGGCCAGTGCAGTTCTTTAACCTTTGTATAAGATTACAAAAACATGTACATCCAGTGAAGCTTAAGATCTCAAAAACTATGTGCCTTCTGTATTTTGATCACCTGAATAGTGTGGAGTTGAAAATCATGTATTAAGACAGCACCACAGCCATATGCGGCCAACAGTCATTGTGCTATACCAGTCAGAATAGGTAGGTAATACAGCTTGTACTCAATTTGGTGTCATTCTTATCTACAGTATCAGATTGAAGGCTGGTAAAAAATTCAATTTCAGATAAGATCTACAGAGTGTGTCACGCACACATTAATATTAGCCTCCATCAGTGTGAAAATAGCTGGTTGCTTGATTAAAATAGAAAGAACAACAATTTGATGATTTAAGGTGGACTCTTTTGGGTGTGGACAGAGATGTGTGGGTATGGGAGGGTTAGTTAGCTAGTTGTTTTTGTTTTTAATCTGTTGTTTATTTTTGTTATACTAAATAATAATAATAATAACAATAATAATAAAAGATTTAAGGTCTACAATGTTACATTTCTTATATTTAGTCAATTGCAGAATTTTATTGCTAAAAGTATTAACAAAATATGCCTTCTAATTATTGAGAGTAGGCTCATCTCTCCACAGACCTGGCTTTCGAGAAAGCAATAACATTTCCATATATACTACTATAAGCAGCAGGTGAATAAAGTTCATCTTTAATTTTTTGTAGTATATGCTTATCATTTCATTTCTTGATGTTAAAATTATTAAAACAATTGAAATGAAGGAAATGATATCGGTGGTGCATATTCACAGCCAACATAATAATTGTCCTTAGGCATTGAATAATCTCATCTATTTTGAACACAGATTCAAAACGTTAATTAATCCATTAAATGATCTCTTTTCTTGGACTTTAATTATTGGTAAAGATGAAGGGCTGTATCTTCACCTACCACAGGCACACTGTGGAGCACGTGCTACACACATGTACTACCAGTCCGGCTCATATAATCTTATTTATGAATATGACAGTTGTAAGACATTGCAAGCAGTCCATAGAGCGTTTGGTTGTGTTGCTAAAAATAACTCAGCTCGGTTCAAGGCACTGTTCTCCTGCTTCCTCCTCCTACTCCTTTCTTAATATAGCAACAGCGCGGGAGAGCAGAAGCATTTATAGAAAGGACAAGACACTAGTAGCTCTGGTGATGTCTGCTTGGATCCTCCGAGCACATCACGCTCAATAAGCTTCACTCCCACACCTAACTGTCAGTAACACTGCTTATTACAGAATCTACAAATAGAGCTGCCACACAGATCTGAATCAAACAGAGACACGAGTGCTGCTGATAAACATAGTAATTTATAGATTTACCCATGATTCATCTGAGGTTTATAAGTTCTATTTAATAACTGTGTATGCCATTTTTGACACCATGATAAGATCGGTGTGTCATTTATTCACTCCTCGGCCACATCACCAACAGTTATACTGACACATTAAAGGTGCATGTAGTATCTTGCCAGAGAACACAAGTGTTTGATCGTAGCAAGGATTGTACAGTCAAGTGTTGGATTAAGGGGCATGGACCATCCCCATTATCATTCAAAATTTAGCAAGCAAAATATTAGCATTAAAATAAGTGAATAAAATTGACATTTCTTGGGGATACCAGTGAAATGTGAATGTATTTTGTTTGACAACAGTATATGTGTGTAATATATAAAATTTAAAAGGCACTCACTGTGAAGCTGTTGTTAACATTCTTAGTGCTGGATTCAGCAACACTGGCGTCTGACAGGTCCACTTCATCAAAGATAAGCGACTGAACAGAGGAAGGACACAAGAAGAGAAATCCAACAAAAAGAATGAGTATATAAACATATCACACATAGAATCTTATGTTAGGAATGAAGTGATTAATACATAACAACCTGATCAAATATTCCTACATCAATTAATTTGAATAGAAAAATAAATGTTATTATTGATTGGTGTACATGGCACAAAATATAAACTTTTAAAAATTTTGTTTATCTGTAACTGAAATCAATTATCACAATTTACAACTTGAAAATATTTCATTTTTTAAACTAGGTAATTTACTATGTAATGTTATAATCTACTATATACACTCAAATTTTGATGTAGGATTGCAGCATTGTAAGTAGTCTATTATATAATAGCCATTTAAATTGCAATGAGTGTGACTTCCCCAATACTTCTTGTAACTACAAAAATAGACACCAAGAGTCATTAATTTTGGGAAGCAGCTTTCGTCTGATGGGACATGCACAGAGCTCATTTGCAAACAGGAAGCTGATACGCTCTGATCTCTGTTATGTGTACGGCATTTAGGCGCTTGAGCTGCTAAAGGGCAACAGGCCAAACCCCGCTGCCGTCACTCACAGGAATACCCTTCACCCCAGAGTACGAGTGTAAGAAGTGAGCACTGCAGCTGTCAGAGGAAAGCCCAGATAATGACGCTTTCCCCGGCCACACTGAAGGGACCTCAGCCAATACTGTGTGTGCATGGTTCAGGCATGCTGCTTAGGCCAAGTGTGAATGACTACAAGTGTATGTCATGAGCAAGTTAGCAGGAGGAGCATACCAACACTGGCCAGTGACTGGTCTCTTCGCTGCTTGGCTCATGTGTGTGGAAAGTATGTTTTCACGCATGCATGAATGCCCACTTATTACAGGCTTTTGGTTTGGTCTGTAATATGACGGAAGGAAAAAGTCATCTTGACCTTTAGCTACAGATCCAGAGCTCTCAGCTTAAAAACACCATTTCAACGACAATGTGAAGGAAAAAATAATAAAAAGTTTTGCATTAATTTCAACCATTTTTGCAATTTGTAATAGAAAAGAAATTCAAATGTTTGAATAGAAATAAGCACATTAATCAGATTTGTATTTGTTGTTGAAATGTGTAGTTGGATCATTGAGGAGCTTCTTAAGAATAGGGCAGCACAGCTCTTAAATAGGTGATCTGAATGGTTAGCATTATATAAGCACAAGCAAAACACAATGTATTGTTTTTATTACCGGTATATACATAATGTGATTTGCTGTCCAACCTTAACAAATGCACTATGCTTCCTTATATTTTACATTCTTGCCACATGAAAATATTCTGTTTATAATTTGACTTTGCAGTCAGATATGATTATGTTAAAATACAAATTGAATAAATGATTGTAGAAATGTAATCCAACTAGGGGTAGATTAAGAAGTATTGATATATGAAGATGATGGTGTTACTCTTGCCAAATGAATAGTGAAACTAGGAAGTGAATGATTTATGGGAAAAGCCGTTAGCGAAATAAAGCATACAGTGCCTGTATCTTCGTATGGCATGAATGCAGCGCTTATGCGTTTATAAAGAGACTATGGTTGGTCTACTGGGGTCTCGCCCCTGACCCTTGACTCTGACTGAGCTGTGCTGACCCGAACTCCCACAAGGCCTTCCTCAGATCCGCTGGCACCCATGGATGTGGGGGAGTGGCGCGCCCCTGTCCAGCACACTGACAGCACCCGCCAGCACACACGGCTTCGGGACACTCTACGCAGCGCCCGCTCCTGCCAGTGTGCCACAGCACTGCCCGACTGGTGCACGTGCACAAACACATGCATAGAGCAAAATCAAAGATTAGGTTAAGGGACTCAACCTAAATTCTCAGAATCAAAGTGGATGTATTTTTAGTTTAATATTTTTAGTCCCAAAGATGGCAGCTTGAATGTTTATTTCTTAAATAAATACAGTTTCAAGATAAGGGAAGTCTACCTTGGCGTCTTTGGCGTAGTAAAGAGTTCGTCCTCTCAATTTGAAGTAACGCTTTTTCCACCTCTGGAAGGAGCTGGTCTGTTTGAGCAACAATCCCTCTTTTATACTTGTCTGGTAAAAAAAAAAAAAAAAGAGATTGATCATAATCAGCTTTAACATTCATTTAACATACATAAATAATGAAAAAAAAAAGATATTTTTGGTGACATACATGTCAAGACAATCATTATTACTCACATTTTTCATGTAAGTATGGTTTATTAGTCTTATTTTCTTCCAGTAATATACTTTAATCAGACCTTTTTCTGACCATAAAATATTACATTTTACCCTATAAAATACAATAACAAAATATGTTGTTTTATAGAAAAGAGAGAGTGTACGCAACATTGTTGAAAGATGAAACAACTAATTACACAAATCCTCAACAAAGTTACCTACATATAGACACAGTGTTTTTATATATAGCTGTGGAAGGCTTGTTTCTAAGGGGAGAACTGCACAGGGTGACACAGGCTGAAGCTGACATCCTGCCCACCAGCTGTGTCAACTTAAACAGCAAAATACACCACCACAGGACAAAGCACGCCATGGACGCACACCACTGTGGGTAGCATCTAGGGACATACAGCTAATGAAATATTGAAAATGGTCGTTTAAGAACATCACAGTTCCATTTCTACAAAGTAACCACTAAAGACAAAACATCTCTTTTATGTATTCCAATTACTTTCTTATATATCTCTTATACGTGTGCTTCTTTAGTAGAGAGATAAACAAAACTCAGCCGTCCACTATACATTTTATCATCCCTTGTTGAAGGTAGCGCTTAAAGACTGAATTCCTGCGGTGGATTAAGGTGAAATACCTCAACGCTCACTTCCCTATAAGGACTTTGCTGCTTGCCGCCAAGCACAATCAAACTAAGTCTGAAAAACAGACATGGCAGATGAAGTCATGTCCTCATTTAAAGTCAGGACACTACTAAGAGTATAATCCATATGTGTTTTTTTCAGGTAAATATTCGTATCCTTTTGTGTTCTTAGGAGCAGAATTACATTACCGTACAGTTTGACTGCTATAACTCCTATTATCCCTAATGCTACTCTCATTAAGAATAACAAGAGTTCAATATTACAATTCTTTATTTTTTCCATTAATCATAACACTGAATAACTGTAATAAGTATAAATAATGGAATGAATGAATTAGTATGGGAAAGTCATGGACTTTACCTTGTCAAACTGTATAGCTGATACAGCATGCCTGGCACTTGCATCTCTGAGCTTTTCTCTCAATACCAAATTGCACATTTGTCCAAAAGTAAAAAATAAAGTTTACCTTCAATTTGATATTTTTTCAGCATGGGCACAACCAGAACAGACTTTGCTCTAGTTGGATGTTCCACTTTCTATATTTTGTCCCTCCATGGCCTCCATAGTTCCTTTCCTTGTCTTCATCTCCTTCCTGTTGCCAAGTAGGCCAGAAGTGATCTATAAATAGTTCGCCTCTGCTGCTAAATAGTGAGACAGAAAGCTAGTCCTGTGCCATGGAGAAATGAGTAACCTGAGCTCCACGCACCTCTCCCGACAGTCTGCACGGACAGGGAAATGCAAACTCTCCTTCTACAATGGACAATAGTCACAGCAGCAGCAGCCTCTTGTCTTGGTTCTGGCTGATATTAAGCAGACAGTGGCCACAGAACCTGCCCATGTATGAACTTAGAGAGCTTCCCATTTATTCCTATGGTCTGGTCTCTTTACAAGCATACTTGAGCATTTTAAACATTCTCAGTGAAGTTAGTACCTACAGCTGTCAAGCATAGGCCAATAAGGAAGAGTAAATACATGTCAAAAATTTTATTGTAAAAATAATGATTCTATTGTGAAAAACAGACATGGTAATGATAAAAACCAAACCATGATCTCATCCATGTGACATTATCTTTTGTTGATGTTGTGAGATATTGACTCTGTGGTTCTCTGTTTAATCCCGCACTATGATCAAACACTGGGACAAACAGAATGACTACTCATAGTGAAATTGTGGCATACATTTTTGGGCATATCTTCATCATGTGCATTAATACTGAATCAACTAGGGCTGCGCAATTAATCAAATGAATTTGATTAATGAAATTTATGAATTTAATTAATCGAATTAATTCATTTGAAAATTTTAATCAAAGATTATTATGAAACAGGTTTACTCCTGACTTTCTTACTTGCAAAGCAGGGTTATTGTGCAAATAAAAAATTGGCATGGTAAAAACTCTTCTAAATTCTAATATAAACTATTAAAATTGGTTACATATCTATACATACATAATGTAATAAAAGGCAGTTAGAATATGGAATTTCACTTGAAAGACAAGCAGTTCCTATGATTTCAATTAAAATAAATTAAAATCATAATTGTCCAGTGTATGCAAAAAAATAAAAAATAAAAATAAATAAATAAATAAAATCTTTTGCCTTATTGCTCGGCTCTGTACCCAAATATAGAATAGGGCTGAACAATTAATTGAATGGACACAATTGGCAAAACTCAATCTTTGAAGTACCAGTTTCTCCACAAACAATCAAATATCCTGTCTTAATCTGCAAAAAACTGCTAACCCCTGTAGTTAAGATCTGTTCAGTCATGTTCTGTAATGTGATTCTTGTAGGGTTTGTCAATTCTTGTGGCACGCTTAAATTGTGAACTTAGAACAGAATCCTATTATTAAAACATAAATCACAAATCAAATTGCAATCACAAGACTTGACAGAAAAATCACAATGAGATATTTTTCATAAATAGTTCAGTCCTACTATAGGACATAGGCATGCTTTACATACAAATATTAATTTAGACATTTCTCACTTATTTGTCATTTGCTCGAGTCAGGAATACAAATACAATCAATTCTTTGACAGACAGGTGCTGAATCACAGTGAATCTCACTCCACCCCCTCCTCTCTACCTCTCTGTGCATTCTTCATTTTCTCAGTTGGATTTAATTATGATTTGCTACATTTCTACTTCGACCTCCCACCACATGCTAAATCTCACCACAGTGATGAGAAAATTACAAAGCAGGAGATGGGAAGGGGCGATTCCCATGTCTTGGGTCTGTCTCCGGTTCGGGTACAGCACAGAGCAACAGTGTTATTAATATGTATGTCTCTGAGGTGGTACAGGGGATATTTAGAGAGCTTTAAGTGGGAGTGGGAGACATACAGATGAATTCAGTGAACAAGAGAAGAATGCGGAACTTTTTATCTGTTAAAGCAATTTGTACAGCATTATCTGTCTCTATCTATCCTCTATCCTTTTCTGATTGGTCTTCATTTAGGTCTCCCTGCTTAATTATATGTTCCCTTTCTTTCATTTATTTACTGTATGCAGTCCATTTCCTCTATGTCTCAACTCTGTTACCTCCAATTCTGTCAGTTTAAACAAAAATTCATGTTTGCACTGATATTTTTGCACTATTGTTCTGCCCATATGGCATATTACAGTATATTACACGCTGAAATTTTGCATTTGTATATCAAAATCTATTTTTAATTTACATTGTTTTAATGTATGCCCTTATTTTATTTCATAGTTTATATATTCTATACAATATATACTGTACCTCCGAAGCAAATTCCTAGTTTGTAAATTTTGTTCACAAATTAACTTTTGTTTTTTCCAGCAAAGTCACAACCACTACTGCTGACAAACACCTTTGCATACTGAATGCATTATTTCATTTCAAATCAGTAAGATTATTTAAGTTAATACAATAGTTTGCCTTTTACATAGTGCATATACCAAGATGATATCAGTAACAACTACAAGCCTATTCCCATATTGTCTTGTGTGCATCATCAGCAGAGCCCTAGAGACCAATTCAAACTCCCAAAACAGCAGTAGCAAGCTCCTGTGCACTCTTAGCTCTGCTTTCAATCACCCTGATACAGAATTAGCAACAAGTTTACAGGCTATGTCCCCATACAACCAACCAAAAAACAGAAAGACAAAGTGCTGCTAATGTGCAGTCTATGGCTACAGTCGACTAAAGATATTCTTGGTCAAAACATGTTAGATAAATCGACTAAACGGGGGTGTGGCAAAAGCTCTCAAAACAATTGCATATCTCTATGCACTCACAACTGCATGGGAGTTCATGGAAAGACAGCCATTTATACAGAAAGAAGTACTAGGAAACAATGTATTTATATAAAGACAGATTAATAAAAATACACATTTTGGTCGACTAAGACACCATCTACCATTTAACTGACATGAACACTTCAATTCAAGGCTTCAACAGCATCTGTAATGTCTGCTTACCTTAATAACTTCTGCTTATATAAACTGAACTACATTCCTACAACACTCAATGATGGATAACTGACAGTCTTTAATGGCTATGTGAAGGGGTATTAAGTTCCATTAATGTTTTGTCAAATTCTATTAAGGCCTGGCCCGCTGAGTGAAATCCTGGAACAATGTCTGCATGGTGGAAAAATGATACCAGATAACGCATGACTGTAGTAGTAGACCATTTAAAAAGCATTCAAAGTTGTCGATATATTGATTTTACTTGAGGGGTTTAAAAGTGGCTACTCAGCCATGGTGCACATCAGCAGATATACACACCCAATGAAATACAAGCAATAATAGCAGATTGAATGAATAAAGTTATAATATTTTGATAGCACGGTATGAAGAATATTGCATACAATAGTAATGTTTAGATTTTTGGTTGTTTAAAATGTGTCAAACACAACAATCAGCAAGCAAAATATAGTTCAAATGTTATTTGTTATTATATATTTTTGTTATAAAGATTTAGTAGGATAAAGTAAAAAAAAATAATAATAATAATATGTTACAAGAAAATGCAATTACAAGCTTAAAGAAATGGGGTGTATCAGCAAAAGGTAAAAAAGCCACATAAAAACTATTTTACATAATTAACTATAACTGCATCTTAAACGACAATTCAAAATAAAGTGATTTCTTACAATTAAAAAATATAAGAAACTACTACCTTAGCTTTTCCCATTCAATAAACTGCTGTCAATTGTTTACAACGTTATATCTCTGAAGACGCCAAGCCAACAATAAAATAATGAAATCTTAGGAAACTCAAGCGGGACTGCAGAGGTATAGAGAAGTGTGGACAGAGACAGTGATGAGTAACATGCATGTACACACACACAGAGCTGCGCAAACAAGCCAATGGAACAACACTCTGGGTCCAACCTGCATGATCCATTAGTAACATCATCACAAGGTAAAATGACTCGCTGACCCACACCACTGCATCCCTCACACCGGGGCCAGAGTAAACATGTGACGATCACTTTATGTTGCCTATTCTCTATACCATGGCCAGTTTTAGAAATCGTTGCAAACTTAAGATACAAAATTTTTTGCCTTTGCCTGAAAATTTGCCTTTATTACCCTTTGCAGGTTTTAAGAATAATGCCTTTAGCAAATTAAAATTAAATTAAAAATAAATTATTGTTGCTTTATAACAGATGTGTCCTGTGCACATATAAAGCTGAAATATTACTGATTTACTAAACTTTTCTTATAGGTGTAATTTATTTATAGAAGATAAGTCAAAGCTTGTCCTGTCATCTATACTGACAGGTGAGTAGGTGTAGGATTAGCATAACGAGGGTATCACCTGATTCGGAGTCCCTAAATATATCCCATTGTGAATAATGTAGGTAAGGGTGGAGTGGAGCGGTCAATAATTAAGTGGATCCATTGGTGTGAGAGGACAGCACTCATTTACAGTGCAAAAGATAAGTGGGCCAAGAAAGCTTAGATGTCACAGTTAGAAATAGTGTGTACTTAGGTATGCACAGGGACAACACAAAAGCTTGAACTGAATGATAAAACTGTTGAATTATAAAGGCAATTTAGGAATGGTTAAAGTTAAAAGTGTTTTTCAATGTTATGTCTAAAAATAACATTGTAACTTTCTATAACACTTTAATAAAACATGATGTAAAAAGTTTCTCTTTGCTCATACCAAATTATAATTACAAATAGACTATGTATCAATATAACAGAATGCAAACATGGACACCAAGATCGCTATTATAGTTGCACGTTGAAAACCCTGACACTGAACATTCAACAGTTGCCATAACAACAAGTCTCAAAAGTCTTGTCTTGGCTATTTTCTATAGTCGGTTTGAGCTGGGACTTTCATTTAAAAATCATATTAGTAATATCAGGGTAATCAACAACTTAGTAGCTTTCAATAACAAGACTTCACACAAATTAATAGACTGCATTAAATCTTGCATACAGTATACATATGTTATATACATCAAGAGAGACAGCACTAACCTTGCTTCTGATTTGTCCTGATGTGGACACTTTCCGGATGAGTTTCTGGGGGCCTTCCTGCTCCGCGTCGCTGTCTGACGACTCGTCTGCGGCTCCAGAGCCGCCGGTGGTGCCCACCACATGGGCATGGATGCCCACGGCGGACGCAGCTCCTTTCTCGGGCTCCTGTCGGGGGATGGAACATAAACATTCGGGATTAGTCCTGTCTCGATCCACTCCCTTTCGAGAGCTACAAAGCGGCTGCGAGGCGTCTCTCCTCGCTGTCATCTCTCACTGGCTCCACGATAAAGACGCCCGGGTTTTCTGGAGTGTGTGTGGGCTGCATAGGGGATGGAGCATGTCGCTGCTCGACACTGCCAGTGTAGGGCTGGACTCAGAGTATGGTTTAAAAGAACCAACAGGATCTCTTTTGTCCGGTGGAGATATGGCTCCAGTCATGAACAGCAGCCCACTGAGACCGCCTCACACACTCTGCGCTCCGTGGACATGTCCGTAGCATGGCAGACCCTAGTGGCTGCTTTACGCACACAACATGCTCTGGGGAGGTACAAAACAAAAAGACATTGACAACACTTGCAAAGTGCTGTAATGAGCGCATAAAAACTCGTGCATAGGCTTGTATTGACTGCCTGCATTTGGACGTCAGTTTTATACAAATATATAAAAAAACAAACACTTTATTCTAATAACGTATATGGACATGTGTAAGACTGGCAATCTGGCATAGGCATACAGATATTAGACCTCGAAGAGACCTAACAATACTCGAGGGGCAGAAATGACCACAAGCCTGGGTGGCAGAGCCAATAAAAGGTCTGCGTAAGGGTATGCTACTTCAGCAGAGTCCTAGAAGGAAAAAGCACAAAAAGCGGGTAGATGAAAGGATAACGCGTGAGGACTGCCAAATCTGACAATAACTGAAACTGAGAAAAATAGAGACACACTGATTGGGTGCGGGTGACCTGTCTATTATATGCAATGGCTTTAGTTAGCAACTGAGACAGCGTATGAGATTGAAGGCTCCATGTCCGTCGAAGGATGCAGTTATCTCCAGACCAATAATAACCAAACACAAGTTAAAAGTGATGCTTTGCTGTTCTTCAATGTTTCTTCAATAAATGCTTCAAAACTAAGAAATCTAGTTGAACATACACACCGATTTGGATTGATGGGACAGTAGACTCCTCCACAAATCTCACCAGACATGGACAAGAAAAAGGCACGACAAAAGGGACAGTAAATTATACAACTTTTCAAACATTTACTTTTAGTGGACAGACATATTTGAGGTATCAAAAACATGGGAAATAAAGGAGAATCCAGTGCTGAATGGTACTAACCAGTTCCTCCCAGGCAGGACTGCGGGTGTAGTGGTAGACATCCTCCATAGTCCCAGACCTCAGCGTCCGCTCCGGAGAGGAAACAAAAGAATCGGGAGAGTTTTGGAGCTGGTGGAGGAATTCACGAGCTGCTTCAGCGCCCTGGTTCCACCAGTCATATGCGTACTTGGTACATACTCCTTGCGCTGTCCTCTCTACTACTACTACACCGCGCGCTCCTTTTCGCGCCCCCACCCCTCTGTGCCCGTGTCTATCAAGGCTTTACTCCACGTGATAGACGTCAAATTCGTTTAGGGTAAATGGGCTTTAGGCTTTTACGCAGCAAGACTCAAATGTTTCCCCAGACTAGACACGGATGTTTACCCAGCTGTTTGTAGAATATTCACATCCAGACATTGTAGAACAGTGACTTATAAACACAGACTATATGATGATATGATAAATATAATATAGGCAGGCCTATAATTTACCAGAGATTAAAAAATTTAAATGATTTTTTATTATAATTTACAAAATGCAAAGGCATTTATGTGTCCATGATTTTTGTGGCTCCTTTTTACATTAACTTTGTATCCGGAACCTTTGCAAGAAACGACTAATTTTACAGGGAAGAATTATTTAACGCACCAAGTTGTCCCTCCACTGTTATTTTCCGACTATCCAACATGAGCTGACCATGGAGCTGATGACATAAGGCTGACCAAGCGTCAGCTACAATATTTATTTATCATTCTTGATGTATGCCCTTGGATTAACTAAAGCATGCAACCTTACCTTTTATCTCGCGGAACAGCTGCGGCTGTTGCTGCAAGGAGAATGCGGAATATTTTGGGATCTGTCGCGGGCAGCTGGATGTGGAGAACCCGAGAGGTCAAACTTATAAACACATCCTCAGGTATTAGCCACATTTTATGTTCACGTAGTACCACTGGCTTGTATTGAAGGAAGCCAGTTGTTGTTCGTAACAAATGACACGTGGAAACATACACCTAACTAATGCGTTTTAATAAAGTATGCTGCACTACTATAGCTAACCAACAGTGGAGTGAATTGGAGCCTAAAGGCAGGCATAGAGTTGATCAGCCTATTGGGATGATATGGTATAGTTTTAAACATTAGTAAAATAGAGACATAAATTAGTATTATACACTAAATGTAATGTTGATTTTTTTTATATATAATAATAATTCTTAATGCCCTTTAAGCATTAACTTTTGTCAAATATAATTAAATTACACTTGAAAAAAGCTGCTAACTTAAACTATTTGGAATAAAAATTTGTGTTTTTTTTTTTTTTTTTCAGGTGACACTGTGACAATAGGTGACATCTCTTACAAACTGAAAACACCAGAAAACCCAGAGCTTGTCCCTGTCAAACACAGTATGTGATTTAAGTTTACTTTTATTTTGTTTTGTGTATTAAGTAAAATATAGACTACAGCCTCATGTCATGGGTGGATGTATGCTAGTTTCAGAATCGCCTTCACAGACAGTGGCTCAGCATTTACGATGGATTATGCAGAAAGATCTATTAGGACAAGATATGTTTCTGATTGGACCCCCAGGGCCCTTAAGACGTTCTATAGCCATGCAGTACTTGGTGAGTAGTGCTTTATGTTTAGCAATTCTTCTTTTTAACATGTCAGTTAGAAAAATAGCAACAAAAGTTATCGTTCAGACTAATAGTTATTATCATTCTTTCCAGGAGCTGACAAAGCGTGAAGTAGAATATGTGGCCCTGTCCAGAGACACAACAGAGACTGACCTTAAACAAAGAAGAGAGATTCGCTCAGGGACAGCCTTCTACATTGACCAGGTAAATGGCGTCACATAAAACATACATGACATAAGGATGGCCTGAATTGCAGCCATTCTAAGGGGGAGAGTGTCTCTGTATAAGCATTTGTTCAGTTCAATTCAATTCAGTCACTTTATTTATCCCAGAGGGGCAATTAAAAGGCACGTAGAGTTGCAGAGATACATAACAAAATATAATATTTAACTTTTTTGTTTGTTTTTTTCATGACTGTGTACCATATGATTCCCTTATGATTCCCTTGATTTTAAGTGAAAAAGCCAAGCCTGAACATCAGAGTACTTTCAATGTTTTCATTCTGCTCTATACTATGCTGCCATCTGATCAATCAAGCCTTATTACACCCCCACAGTCCGCTGACTCCTTAAATAAAGTAACCATGGAAAACAGTTCTTCATTATCTGGTGTGGACTCGCTGAGGAGAACTTTCTGTCGTCTGTTTTTTTCTTCAAACGAATTTTTGAATAAAACTTATCATTAAACTCTGTCAGAGTTTTATTGGCACTAAAAGACACTCGGATAAGAAAATGTTTTTATTTGGTTATATTTATTATATTGTTATTGTTTTGTAACTATCCCTAAATAATATTTTCTTCATACAATATATATGCTGTTATATCTAATGATATGTGCTTTTACTCAAAACCTGTGCACTGAAATAATTCAAGATGTTATACTTGCTTTAATTCTTCTTTATCTATATGTCAGTGCAATGAAAAGGCTCAAACAAGTTGCATTCAAAGCCCCATTCAGCAGTACAAAAGATGATAATTCTGGTCAGTTGTCACACAGTAACCATTAAACAATCAATAAGAGGACATTTGATTTTGATTACCACTAAGCTGCTGTTGAGTATTAGAGCTCCAACACAAGAGGAAATGATAATCACAGGGTACATATATATATATATATTTGTAGATAGTAACACATAGGAATATTACCTATGTAATTAAAGGAAAAAGGGTGCAGTCCTAGTCGGCCAGACAAGTTGGCATTATTTTGCATTACCACGTTAACATGCTTTTCGAAAATAAATACACATGGATTGTTTTGTCTTCAACATGGGCAGCTAAGAAAAAGCCTGAGGTGCTTCTTCCTCCTACCTTCAACAGGAAGAAGTTAATTCAATGTAACGGTTCATACATTTACTGAAAAGTATACATAATATAAACTATTTATTCCTCATATTCTTTTATATATTATAACACTTATTAGTAGGACTGTGTCAATCAAATAGTGCTGTTTTTAACTTTACAGTACATGTGCATTGTTTGGGTTTTTGTTTTGAAAAGTCTTCATAAGAAGAAAGAAAGAGAGGTACCATATGTGATATGCATTTGAGCCAGAACATTGAAATCCTTAGGGCTCTGTGCTGATTTGCAGTCCTATATTCAGATAATGGTCCCAGTCCTATCTTCTTATCCCATTGCAGTACTTATAATAGCATTCTATTTGTGCTCATTTGGCTTTTTGTTCTTGGCCTTTTTCATTGAGAGTTTAAATGGCTTGAAACCCTGCCCCCTAACATAGATACAATCACTGTTATCTTTCTGACATCGGCAATTACCTCTCTCCCACTTAGCTGTTATGTAAGCAGCCTACCTGGAAAGTTCACAACATAAGGAGGACTAAAAGAGCTTCCAACCTCTGCCAAAGCTGAACGTACACAAAATATAGTTGTCTTTAGTGTCTTTTTTTTTTTTAAAATATATATATATTTAGACTGTATTTAGAGGTAATAATTCATAATAAAGTAAAAGTAAATGGAGTCATAGGAAATTTTCTAATCAGGGACTTTTGTGCATTAGTGTTTTTGGGTATATTTATAAATAGGCAGACGTATCTCTGGCTCATGTCAAATAAAACATTTAAATAAATAACAAGAGATCCATGTACTATTACGGGATACTTGTCATTAGTGAAAAACATTACAAACAGGATGCCAGAGTTACTTTTTATATGTTTTAATAAACAGTAGATTTTTGTGAATTTAACATTAAAATATATTTACATGAAAATACTGTAATACATCCATCAGGCTTGACATTTATCACTGTGCATTTTGACAAATTTTTATGTCGGATGCCCTTTTGGTTGTAATTAGCCACATCACTGTGACTGCAGACAACAATAAGAGTCAACCCAGATGTGCTTAGGCTTGGCTTGAATCAAGGATCTTCAGATTCACATAATTTTATATTGCAGTAAATCATTTGACCCAAAACAAAATACAGCTAAATGTGTAAAATGTATAACGCCATATAAGACCATGTAAACACAACATAGATTAAGTGTCATTTGGGACAGTCAGAACACATGGCCTCCGTGTGGTTCCCCATTCACTCTGAATCCTGCGTCACCAGATTCTTTGAACAATTATCTGATTATAGCGTTGGTGCTGAAAAGGGATCTGGGGTTAAAAATAGAACATCTGTTTCTCACTATAGTTTTATGGCTGTGCTTCCCACACAAGCTGGCACATATTTACATGTTAACCTAATTACATGGTCACTCACTTTGTGGTCCACACAGACAGCTAAAATTTCCTGCCTCTTGACGTCACATGTTCCTTTTCTGCAGAAGACTGTGTCAAAAACAAGAACGGACAAAATGTTTCTATTTAATTTTGGGTAAAAATAAAGGCTTAGCTAAAGGAGTTAAATGGAATTGAAGAGGAAGTTGTAACACAATATACTAAGGACATCCTCAGGAAAAGAGTCTCACAAGCTGCCACTAAGTACTGGCACTTAGTAATGGCAACAATGTGGTGAGAGAAATTTATGGTTTTAATACTGGGAGTATTAAGAGAATCAGTATGGTTTCATATTTGGCGACTAGCACAATGTAAATAATGGGATAATTATATATTACTACTATATTACTTATGCAAATAAATGCCAGACTTGTTCTTTTATATGTACCACTTAGTATTAGATGTAGATGGGTAATTAATCAATCAATTACGCTTTACAGTTGCCAAAACAAAATCCAGACCAAGCCCCTTGTGTTTATAGTGTGCAGTTCGGGCAGCGACCCAGGGCCGTGTGCTGGTGTTGGAGGGGCTGGAGAAGGCTGAGAGGAACGTGCTGCCGGTGCTCAACAACCTATTGGAGAACAGAGAGATGCAACTGGAGGACGGACGATTCCTCATGGCGGCCGAGCGCTACGACAAACTGCTGCAGGTCCATACAGTGACGTGCACACAATTTAGATAGATGAGAAAATGCTTTAGTTTAGAATTTGTTACTTTTGTCATCAGTGGGTCAAGAGCATAATAATTTAGTTAAAGGAGCACAATGTAACTTTTCTGGATGTTCGCATCACTGCTCATCTCCATGGAGGTGTGAAGGTTTAGCCAGGAATGTTCCACAGTATTCCTTTAAAAATATGCATTCCTCCGCACCTTTCCACATATTCACCTGCTAATCTCCATAGAGCCAGATGAGTATAATGCCATCCTGTGGAACATTCCAGGCAAAGAAATCACATCACCTTGGACACACGCAGGTGGTGGACCCTCCACCATAAAGGTTACATAGTGCCCTTAAAGATTCAGTCAGATTCATAGTGCAAAGTGAACAATAACATTCATGTCAGTTTTTAAAACATGATTCTGATTTCTGTTCAGAACTGCACAACTCTGTGAAAGAAACTGTGACTTAAAATATTTTAACAAAATGTGAATGGTTCTGTGCCATCTAGGAGCACACTAAAGAGGAGTTGGACAGCTGGAAGATTGTCCGTGTGAGCGAGGACTTCCGGGTCATTGCTCTTGGTATTCCTGTTCCCAAGTACAAGGGCAATCCTCTGGACCCGCCCCTCCGCTCGCGTTTTCAAGCCCGAGACATTTATTACCTACCTTTTAAGGTCAGCACACAGAATAACTGTAAAACTGATTTACAGTAGTTTTAGCCTTTGACTAAAACAACTAAAATAATTGGTTTTCCACAATGAATGCATTTATTTTTATTTGAACTTTATAATAGACAATAGAAACACAAGAAAATATGATATTTCTTTCTTAAATATTTTAGGACCAGTTGGAGGTGTTGTACACAGCTGGGCCAAACATTGGTGCAGAAAGGTAATTTCAAATGGCTTGGTAATATTTGTAAAATGCTGTTTTAACTTTCCTGATGTTATTTCAGGGTATCCCAGTTGTTGTCATTGGCCACTACTCTGTGCTCCCAGGAGTCATCCAGCCTGGGCCTTCCTGACTTTCCAGTGGACAACCTGCCTTCAGCTCTGGAAGTGCTGGTATGAAGAGAAATGCTAAAATAATTGCTTCCATCAGATTGTTTAAATCATTACACTGACCTTTTTTTTTTCTTGACTGATGTCTTCTGTTACAGAACATGTTTCCCATGTTGTCATCACAACAGCTTGTTCAGAGACTTTATCCTTATAAAAGCATTTTGGGCAAGGAGGGGTGTACTGCAGTGGAGAATGTCCTTAGTGTAAGAAAAAGAATACAAACGAATACCATAGTTTCAAAGCTTATCTTTTTGTAAATACTAAACTATGTGTATTTGTAGAGATTTGAACTCCTGGATAGTCGCCGGCAACAAGCACCTACTATGATTCTGAATGTGTCAGCTGTCAAAGATACGAAGAACCACGCAAATGTGACTTTAGATGCTGCTGGAAAAGAAGTTACATTTGAGGTACAGAAGTGCTCTAATGAAATGTCAAAATGCATTGTTGAACTGGGTCTGAGTAATATGTTTGAGTGGTTCCCTTCGCTTTCAGGGTAGGCCATACACCAACAAATGGAACATTATATTATTAGTCTTATCACTGTGGGACGCTTGTGGATGCCTTTCACATCTTACACTTGGTTTCTTTGTGTGAATGAGTCACTGTGTGGGTTTGAAAGATAAGCCATTGTTCCAATAATAGAGAACTACATTTTCTAGCCAAACAAATGAAACAACTCTCTCAGTGATATAATACCTCTCCTCTAAATGAGCAAAATGTGCTGTTTATTTTTATTTTGGTGTATTGATGTACAAAATATAAATTAGAGAGAGCCATGATATATATGTGTGTGTGTGTGTGTATGTGTATATATATATATATATATACACACACACACACACACATATATATATATATACACACACACACACACACACACACACACACACACACATATATATATATATATATATATATATATATATAAAAATGTGTTTTTCTCACCTTCCACGGTGGTAGGTCTCTCTCACCCTCATTGAGCTCGGGTCCTCTACCAGAGGCCTGGGAGCTTGAGAGTTCTGCGCAGTATCTTTGCTGTTCCCAGTACTGCACTTTTCTGGACTGAGATGTCCGTTGTTTTTCCCGGTATCTGTTGTAGCCACTCTTCCAGTTTGGGGGTTACAGCCCCGAGTGCTCCGACTATATATATATATATATATATATATATATATATATATATATATATACATACATATATATATACATACATTCATACATACATACATATATACATATATTTTAAAAAAAATAAATAAATAAATGTTTTTCTCACCTTCCACGGTGGTAGGTCTCTCTCACCCTCATTGAGCTCGGGTCCTCTACCAGAGGCCTGGGAGCTTGAGAGTTCTGCGCAGTATCTTTGCTGTTCCCAGTACTGCACTTTTCTGGACTGAGATGTCCGTTGTTTTTCCCGGTATCTGTTGTAGCCACTCTTCCAGTTTGGGGGTTACAGCCCCGAGTGTCCGATCACCACAGGCACCACTGATGCCTTTACTTTTCAGGCTCTCTCCAGCTCTTCCTTGAGCCCCTGGTATTTCTCTAGCTTCTCGTGTTCCTTTTTCCTGATATTACCATCGCTTGGTATTGCGATGTCCACCACCACGGCTCTGCTCTGTTTCTTATCCACCACCACTATGTCTGGTTGGTTCGCCATCACCATTCTGTCAGTCTGTATCTGGAAGTCCCACAGGATCTTGGCTCGGTCATTCTCCACAACCTTTGGAGGTGTTTCCCACCTTGATCCTGGGGTCTCCAGCCCATACTCTGCACAGATGTTTCTGTACACTATGCCCGCCACTTGGTTATGTCGCTCCATGTATGCTTTCCCTGCCAGCATCTTACACCCCGCAGTTATGTGCTGGACTGTCTCAGGAGCCTCTTTGCACAGTCTACACCGTGGGTCTTGTCTGGTGTGGTAGATCTGGGCCTCTATTGCTCGAGTGCCCAGGGCCTGCTCCTGAGCAGCCAGGATCAGTGCCTCTGTGCTGTCCTTCAGACCAGCCCTCTCAAGCCATTGGTAGGATTTCTTGATATCAGCCACTTCAGTTATGTTCCGGTGGTACGCCCCATGTAGGGGTTTGTCCTGCCATGATGGTCCCTCCAGCACCTCTTCCTCTGGACCCCACTGTCTGAGACATTCTCTGAGCACCTCATCTGCCGGGGCCTTGTCCTTGATGTACTCAAGGAGCTTGGATGTTTCATCCTGGACAGTGGTTCCCACACTCACTAGTCCTCGGCCCCCTTCCTTCCGGCCTGCGTACAGTCTCAGGGTGCTGGATTTGGGATGGAACCCAATATATATATATATATATATACATATATATATATATATATATATATATATATATATATATATATATATATATATATATATATATACACACACACACATATTTCAAAGCTTTGTTGATAAATTCTTAAGGTTTTCTCTTTGCAGGTACAGTCTGGCATCAGTGAAGTGCGTCAACCCAACCACAGTCCATTCTTCATCAGCACACGCAGCCAATCCCAGCTGATCGCAGAGATGATGCAGTCACACATGGTCAAGGACATATGTCTTATTGGAGCTAAGGTTTTTACTCAGTCCTTTCCAGATTATCCATATGTTGTTTTTTACACACAAATCAACACTGCTGTTTCTCTCAGGGTTGTGGCAAGTCAGCGATCGCTAGAGAGTTTGCTGAAATCTTGGGATACAGTATTGAACCAGTGATGTTATACCAGGTAAATTCTTTTAAAGTTTTGAGAAATTGAGAAATAGCTAAAATCAACACTGATAGAGGTTATACGGACTTGCAATAAAAGTAGAAACTGGAGCTACCAGAAAAAGCCTTTTTTACTGTAGGTCACACCTCATGCAATATTCATGATGTGATGCCTCTGACCATCTGTTCATCTCTGGACCAATATTGTGAAAAAGCAAGTGCCAGCTTTTATTTATGCCTCAGGCTCTTCTCATTTTATATGTTTTGACATATTAGTGCAATAGTATTATATGTAAAATTACTTTCTTTACCATCCACAATGCAGTGCAGGAATTTAGTAAATTGGCACACACACAAACCTTTCAATTTAAAGGTGCACTGCACAACTTTTCTAGTGGATGGTCCGCTACTTACTTGTCTCTTGTCTTTGGTTTGAATGTTCCATGGTATGACATTAAATATATCCATCTAGAATTTATTCATTATGAGTGTATTTATTACTCAAAGATAATATATAATAATTCCCTCTGTGAATGGAGGCAACTCTCCACAGATCTGAATTGTAATGTAGTGTTATAACCTGCTTGTCTCCCTTGTCATAGATAGGTTTAATCTGTATTGTATTGTGGAACATTCTTGACAAAGCAATAACATTTCCATGGAGATAAGCAGGTGGTGGACCCTCTACTAGAAACTATATGCAGCACACCATTAACTTCACCTGCATTTTCAAGCACCTACATGTTTTATCACATTTTATATAATGATGCCTAAAATAATAAACAAATATTTTAAAGAAGAAGTAAAGAGGCATTTGTCAAACACAATGTTTCTAACAAAGACTCTGAAAGCATGAAATATTTGAGTTACCTAAGCCTTGTTTTCTTTACTCAGCCCTGGGCACTGCATTTAGAGGACAGCTTTCACATTATTGCAGTTTTGTGTGTGATTCTGAGGAATGCTGTCATTTGGGTCATGATAGCACAGGAAGCGGGTGTGCATAAGCCATATGTATTTATGCATCATGCTCACATTATTTTTAGCCCACTGGGGTTAGGGGGTGACTTGCTCTGCGGGAATTGCAGAATCCACAGTAGTTCATTTTGTCAACTCTCAAACCCCATTTTTGGAAAGGAGACATGGAAGACCTTTTTTTTTTTTATTATGTAAGAAATTACACTTTTTCTGGTCTTTCATTTTGCTTGCTTCAGAATATTACAACATGAGTTTATCAAGAAGCATTTAAATGAGGTACAATCATAGACTGTATAAATGAACAGAGCTAACCCGCCAGCCGACTTGTTACAAATAGGACGTGTTCATGGGCGCATTTGACTCTGTTTCCAATTGACTTTACATTTAAAATTGTCACTCCCCTCTTTGTAACTGCTGCGGTGAGCCTCATCATTTTGGTTTTAAAATGGTTGTATTAACCTGCTGTTTTTTATTCGTTAGTTTATACAGAAATAAATTCCTATTCCTAATATGGATCATGACTCCAAATTCACCCCTATAACTGCTAACCTTGTGAGTGTCCTTTGACTGGGTGACGTCAAACTCCCTTAATCCAGTTTTTTATACAGTCTATGGGTACAACATTATTTTATACGGTAGCAGACCTACACTGATTTATTTTTCTTAGGACATGACAGCCAGGGATCTACTCCAGCAAAGGTACACTCTTCCTAATGGTGACACAGCGTGGAGACCATCTCCCCTCGTCATTGCTGCCATGGAGGGCAAGCTTCTGCTGCTGGACGGCATACACAGGGTCAATTTAGGAACTCTAGCTGTATTATCGAGGTATCACACTCATCCTTATTATCTGCATTATATTACTAAATTACAGACCTAGTAGTGTTTTACTTATTACTGTTTTATATTCAAGGTTACTACATGATAGGGAGCTGGACCTATATGACGGAACCAGGCTGTTAAGATGGGATAGATACCAAACACTGAAAGAAGAACTGCAGTTTACTGACCAGCAACTGCAAGAAAGGTATATTAACAAATATACATTTACAAATGCTTTTAGTGATAAAGAGGTCTGTTGAGGCTTCAGACCTCAAGTTGTATCTGTTAAATATGTTAAATGTGATCCAACAACAGTAAGACCGTAAGGAAGAAAAATAAATGTTTTTGAAGAAGACTTGGAGTTAAAATAAAAACACCACTATGTGTAATTCACAAGATGAAAGGAATTTTTGCTAAGACCAATTGTCAAATAATTTATCTAAATGTTCTGGCCTTAAATCTATTAGTGCAGACTCTTAAAAATGCCTTGTGTATTTTTGCACCTAGATAGTGTGTACTATATATGTCTGTATGTTTACAAGCACATGTGTGTGAAAACCACCTTAGTTGGCAGGAAGGATGTTTGTGGTAGGGCGTCTGGGTTGCAATAAACCTATTTCCCCTTCCTTTAGTCTGTGGCTCAGGCAAAATGTGTGAGTCGGCCAGAATTAAGATGTACTCTTAGGCGCTTCGAAACAGATACTATTTAGTAAGTATAAATGTGCTTATATAGAGAAAACTGCATGTTGCCAGGTAACAACAAAGTGTTATGTAAGGTTCCCATGTGTTCTGGTTGGTAGAGAAGTGATTCTAATTTTACTCTTCTGTGTGTAAGAGGTGTTGTTCCTCACTATTGTATTGTTGCAGTAGGAAAGTATTTCAATGTAACTACCAATTTATGCACTTAAGTTCACCATGTAATTTTTTTGGTAGAAGTGTCCATCGCTTGAAAATGTTTCATTTTCCCTGGAATGTTCCATTATAAAGTATTAGATTTATCAATTTCCATTGAAACAAGTACATTAGATAACCCCACCAGGTCAAGTTACAAGTCCGATCTGTGGAGAGCCACGCCCACTCACTGTAGAATGCTTGTTTTTTCTGTTCAAAAACTTTTGTTTTATTTAATACTGTGGAACATTCCAGGCACACCAGACTCTTAGGAGACAAGCAGAAAAGTTACAGAGTGCAATTTTTAAAATGAGATGTTTAAATGTATATTACCATAACATTGTGATATTGTGAAATCATTGTATAGTTTCAGCATTGTGCTTGTGTGCATGGTTGTTTTTAGCTTTTTCATACTAACAAAAAACAGTTAGGTGATGTCATGTTTCTTGAGACAAACGACAAAGAGAGACGTTGTAATAATAGCTTGTGCTGCCCACATTAGAGTAAATATATCCTGGTGCATGTGGGTGTTTCTGTGGAGATTCTGCTGTCCTCTCCAATCACAAGATTAGACAGCCAGCAGTCCGAAGATCTGCTTCAGTGGCTGACATGGATCAGTTTAGACACACAAACCCAACTGACACCTGCATGTCACACTTGTTTATATGAAGGAGGCGGTCCTATGGCTGATTATTCCTCTGAGCTGATTTCTTGGATTTGTATTTACAGGTCCATCTTTCCCATACACCCAGCTTTCCGGGTACTGGCCCTAGCAGAGCCCCCGGTGGTTGGTGCCAGTGGAGGCAGCAACAAAGGTCAGCAGTGGTTAGGTCCAGAACTGCTTACAATGTTTCTCTACCACACTGTCACACCAATGAGCAAGGCAGAAGAGATGGAGCTCATAGAGGGGCTGGTAAGCACAACAACACAGAATACCCACAGGCTTAACTATGTTTCATGATTGTTTTTGCTTGATTTTATTTTCAGCCAGATAACATAACATAGGGTAACTTGTGAAAATGCTGATTAATCTCAGTAAATCAACTTTAAATAGAACCTATAGTTATATTACATTAAGTTTTTATTTGTGATGTCTACCGCTATTTTTGGAATTTATTTATTAATTTTGGTGAGGAACCAGTGGCATTGAACAATCATGGGCCCCCATAATGATTATACAGTATTCATATTTTTCACACTATAGCAGCGGTCCTCCATCGCCATAGCAATTCAAAAATACTATTTTGTTTAAATGACAAGAGGTCCTCACAAAATTGCCCAAAGCAGTAAGGAATTATTTGCCTGTAACCTATGAATATTGGGTGTACCATACCTTTATGTTGTATGTTACTACCTTTTTTGCAGCTATACTTATATACTTATCATATCATTTTCATTGATGAGCATTTCTATACAACACAAAAGCATTGTAAAACTCTTCTTGTCCGTATTTTCTTCTTCTAGGCGCCCAATGTACCAAAGGAGGCAGTAGAACAGCTCCTAAACCTCACTCACAGCCTACGCAGCACGCATGACCCTACGGTGAGCGTGAATATGTCAGCCGCACTGAGCAATTTGTTTCTGCATGTTGAGTCTATCTAATTAATTTATGCATGGTATTTGTCCACAGGCGCAGTCTCTGGCCTCTTCTCTCTCCACTCGACAGCTGCTGAGGATCTGCCGACGTCTCTCTCAGTATCCTGAGGAGAGTATTGCTCATGCAGTCAACAAGGCCTGTCTCTCCAGGTACAAAAATGGCCTTGAACTCTTCAATCACAATTGTTTGTCTGTTATGACAGCCATGGTACCAGCACTGCTCTATGCACATCTAGTGGATCTTTGCTCTTTGGTTCTAGTCTTACTTTAGGCCCACTTTAGGCCATTAGAAACTAGTATTACATTTTATGGTCATTTTTAGCAACAGTAGCTCAGTGGGTAGAGCATTTGTCCACTGACTGGCAATTAGAATCCCGCTAGACATAAAACATCATTGGTTGAGTGGTCAGATCCACTGACCCACTGGTTGGTGGTGCGATTTCATCTCCCATTCTGTCATCGTGTCCTTTGGCAAGACATTTAGCCCACCTCGCCCCTAGTGTCTGCGTACACTGGTGTATGAGTGTGTGTGTGAATGGGTCAGTGGTTTCTTGATGTAAAGCGCTTTGAGTGAAGATGGAAATGCACTATATAAAAACTTTACCATTTACCATTTTAGCACAAATTAGACCTTATTTGCCCATGGTTTTTTTTTGTATTTATGTCATTTATGTCAACCCAAACTGGGTCTAGTTTAGACACACTTACAGTAAATCCTTCTTGGATTACTTGATTTCTATTGAACAAATTGTGTATTGTTTAATATGGTTCTTCTTAAAATGCTTCGAAACTGCTGGTACTTAGGATCCTCTGCTGTTCTATTGTTATAAATAAAACCACTTTAGCCATGATTTAAACCCGTATAGGCCTGGTGTAGTTAGGCATTCTTAAGTGTTGTTTAAACCTTGTTGGTTTTGGAGCAATAACCACTAATGTAATGCATTTGTATCTGCACTCAGGTTTTTGCCCAGTCTTGCACGTGCCTCCCTGCAAAAAAGTCTTGCCAACTCCTCTATAGAGAACAGTCCAGAACCCAGTGATGATTCTCACAGTTACAGTTGTAAGTATACAACCACCCACCTGTACCTTTCATCCACATAAGAAAACACTTGTTTGTAATTGTTTGACTCTCTAGGTATGGTAAAAGACGGTGTTTTGACTATTGGGAGTGTGTCAGCTCCAGTCTACAACCCTGATATGAAGATGAAAGTCCCAGATGTGCTTTTCTATGATAATCCACAGGTATTTTTTATAATAAACTAGAATACAAATCAAACAGCAACTTATTACAAGGCTGTACTTTAGAATTTCAGTTCTGGGTCAGATCTGTTTTCAGCCTCTAGTGAAACTATGGCGTCTTTGTTAATGATGGAAATTTGACCTGGTAGAGTGCTTGTGGGAGTGTTTTTATTGCAGTTATTTATGGGTTTTCTAAGAAAGAACTCTCTGTCTTTCAAGCAAATGTCTTTCGCATTGTCTTTTATAGGCATGCTTTCATATCTCTTGGCTCTAATTCTTACATACAGTGATTGACAAAGTCTTTATAGTCATTTTTTGTACTAAATTGGAAATTTGCTGATACTACTCTATTTTCATGTACATAGAGCCAACATTTCTACTAATATCATTCTGTCTCTATTCATAATAAGAGACTTGTACTTCTGGTTTTCAGCTGACACCTGTTTGTACAATGTTATTCTGCAGTTTATATATATATATATATATATATATATATATATATATATATATATATATATATATATATATATATATATATATATATAAAAGCATATTTATACTTACAATATTTTTTGGTAATTCAAATTTAAATTCTAGTTTCATATCCTTGAAAAGCATTTTTGACCCAGTAAAGACCATCTGCCTTGTATCTTGTTAAAAAAAAAAAAAGAACCCTTGTGTTGGTGTACACCGCATCACTGCAGGCCTGACCCCGTTCTGAAGATGCCTCTGTGATGTTGCCACACAACCTACATTTTTGAAGAACTGTCCTCATTCTGCCCTTTACACTGCCTGCTTCTCCAGCTCAAATAAGAGTTAAGATTGAAACATGGCCTACATTACATCTGACCTGTTTTTGGACTCCGTGGTTAATGTAGAATTGCATTGTACAATATATAATACATGTTTTATATTTTACATTTATTTTTACAGCATATGAAGGTGATGGAGGACATGTTGAAAGACTTTCTTCTAGGAGAACACCTTCTCTTAGTAGGCAACCAGGTGAGCCATATTTATGAATCTGAATTTAAGGAATAACTATTGAATTTAATCACACATATCCAGTAAGCAATTTCATAACTGTACATATTTAGGTGGAAGTCTGGGTGAAAAGCGTTGTTGAGTGCCTTCAAGGTGGAAAGAGCGATATAAAAATGTGACTATTTACTATTTAAATGCCTATAACTTAAATACACCTTGTATACCTTGTTTGACCTTCCTGACTCAAAATTGACTGGGAACTTCAAGAAGCTTAAAGTACTTCATTTGGGACAAGCCTTCTCCTCTGCCTTCTCAAACATCCACACACAAAGAAAAATCTACATGCTGCCCTCACATAAGTCTAATATGTTTTTTCTTGTATATTTTTTCTATTTGTGGCCATGGATGAAAAAAAATCTATTTGAGAAATGATGACCATGCACATCTGAAAAAGCTGTTGTAGCAGGCGGTGTTGTCTGCAGGAGTCCCAGAGAACAGCTCTTGTCGCAACATGGCACCATCAAACAAAAGCTCTCTGGCAGCACTGCATTTCCACATATGGACTCAATGCCATTTCATCTGTTTTAACAATCTGTTGTGAGAGATGTTGGTACATTATTTCCAGTGTTGAGGAGTAACGGATTACATGTACCGCCATTACGTAATCAGAGTACAAATTATGAATAACTGTATTCGGTTACAGTTACTGTTTCAGTGAGTGGTAATTGGAGTACACCTATTTTGCTGAAATAAGTAGATTACAAGACGGTATTTTCCTGTTTTCACATTTTGTGCTACATCCCATGTATTTATTTTTTTATTTTGGTAATTCCACTCATTGCCGGAAACCCAAACAGAACGTGGCAATAAGAGCGATGTAAACGTCATGTTAACGTTCGCTGCGTCAGTCACACATTGGACGAGGTCGAAGAGCCAGTAGAACAGAGCCGGCAGTGCACAGGTAAAAACACATTTATGTCTTGGAAATTCTTCTCCCGACGGGAAAAAAAAAAAATATATATATAATATATATATAAAAGTTAAATTTCAAACCGGAGCTACTGGCACTCGTGAAAACAACCTGCCTAGGCTCATGATATCTGCAGTACTGTCCTATAGTGACCTGCCACGTGAGGGAACACGCACACAAACACACACAAACACACACAAACACACACACCTTCATCATCGTCATCAACCTGAGAACACGCGGACCATGTCTCCTTCCGTAGCTACTGCGCGGACACCGACGTCCTCCTGTGCGTCGTGTGTGGACTGTGTTTTCTCGCGTACGCTGCGTAGACCGCGCTTCCTCCTGTGAGCCTCTAAACCAGAACTAACACCAGGACTAAAACCAGGACTAAACCAGTTCAGGACTAAACCAGGACTAAACCAGAACTAAACCAGGTCTAAACCAGGTCTAAAATCAGGACTAAACCAGGACTAAACCAGGACTAAACCCGGTCTAAAACCAGGACTAAAACCAGGACTAAAACCAGGACTAAACCAGGTCTAAAATCAGGACTAAACCAGGTCTATACAATATGACACCTAACAATAGGTTGGACATAATTTAATGTGATCTCATATAAAAATAATTTTTCTATCAATAATATTTTTTAATATGGTTAAGGAAAGACTGATCTTGTTATTGTCTTTTAGGAGACAAAACATTGTATGTTAACATCCTAGTCCTAATCCTAACAGATCCTAGTCTTTGCTTCTCTACAGCAAACAGTTGCTTATTCGTGGAGACTTTGGGTCAACAGACAATTTGAAGAGAACAAACAAGAATTTTCAGGATGCAGTTGCTACATTCATGTTGTTTTAAAAAGCATGACAATATCAAGTATTCCAAAGTGTTCAAATTACGTTACTCACTTTAAGTAATTAAATGGATTAAGTTACAAACTACATTTTGGGGTATGTAATCTGTAATCTGTAGGGGAATACATTTTAAAAGTAACCTTCCCAACATTGATTATTTCCAGCTAAATTACACACTTTGTCTTTACAGGGTGTTGGCAAGAATAAAATAGTAGACCGTTTTTTGCATCTTCTGAATAGACCCAGAGAATACCTACAACTTCACAGGTAAAGTGCTATTCTTTTATTTTAGTTTTTTAAACATACCTAGAGTTGTGTTTCATTCACATGTGTTTGAGTAACCCTTTGTAACCCATCTGACTACATCTCCAAAGCTCCAAATGCTCTGTTACACCTTGTGATGTCATCAAGTGTCAGTTTTCAAGTTAACGACTACCTTTTACCTTTAGTTCAGTAGAGACTGGCAATCCAGGGCGGAAATTATTAAAATTATTCTAGTGAAGTGTGTATGTGGAGTTTAAAAACACAGTGGAGCACTTCCTGTATTACCACCTGACATCACAAGGTGGGACAGAATCTTTTCTGCTTGAGAGAAGAACTCAGCCTAAATATGCATCATTTATGTGTTAAACATGTGTGAATGAAACGAAGCACGACTGCCGGTATATTTGTTATGATGAAACAACATTATAACCGATCAGAAAATAGCCTAATATGGGCCCTTTATTGTTTATTCCTTAAAGTCTCACACATGACAGTTAGGTCAAAGTTGTTAATAATATGAAAAAATTTATAATAATGCATCAGTTTTATACAGCGCTTTTCTGGACACTCAAAGACACTTTACAGAGCATTATTCATTCACTACATACTAGGTCATGGTAAACTACTATTCTAACAACAGCTGCCCTGGGGCAATCTGTCATAAACCTCTTCAACCACCACTAATAATCACACTTTCATACTCGGCAATGTGAGTGAAGTGTCTTGCTTAAGAAAACACCAACAGTTTTTTTGCGACAGGTGCCTCACTTTGGCACCAGATTTTCCCAGTGGTCTCCCATCCAAGTACTACCCAGACCTGGCCTTGCTTAGCTTCGGAGATCTGACGGGATCAGGCTTTGACAAGGCAGTATGGCCACATACATGGTTTTGCCCTTAAATCACTGTGGGATGTTAGCTCTGCTACTTAATGTGTCTTCAGTCGATGAGGGACATAGATTGGCCTTATATTGATCTGTGCACTAATAAGAAGTCAACGCTTTGTGGGTCAGTGTCTGTCAGTGAGGCAACAAATACCATGGACAGTTACATCATGCTTTAAAAGTTAAATTATCTTTTTATTATTAAGTTACTAATCAGCTGCATAAGGTTACTATGCATAACCATAAATGTATCATTTTTTTAAAATCTAAATGGAAAAAAGTTTCTTCATGGACAACTAATGCATGTTTTTGCCAATTTATTTTCAAGTTTTCAATATTTATTTATACTATATTGAAATTGTTGTCATTTGTTATTGTTTTTTGTGGGTTTGAAATGAAAATGGCTCAATATTTTCCTTAAATTGATTGTGCTCTTGGACTGTGTAGTTTGTCAAAGTCCTGTGAAAGTCAAAGAAGAGCTAAAAGTGGATTTGGCCTGGTTCGCTAATGTCCCAGCAGCTAATATTAGTGCAGAGCAGAGTCTAAGATCTATGCATGAAAATCTACTGAGATTTGGCTCAGAAATGCACTAGATGCCGACAGCTAACCAAGAAAGAAACTAGGACAGTCCCCTCGGTCAAACTATAGGCGGTCTGAGAGTGCAATAAAAGAAAACAGTTTAAATGCATTTTATCTGTGTTTGGGTTGTGAGTTTTGTTCATGTTTTTAGGGATACGACTGTACAGACTCTGACACTCCAACCTTCAGTTAGAGATGGGATTATTATCTATGAAGATTCACCTCTGGTCAGTTACAAAATATTCAATTACCCTTAGCATCAAACATTGCTTTTATAACCTCTGATTCTTTTGACACAGGTAAAAGCAGTTAAAATGGGGCATATATTAGTTATAGACGAGGCAGACAAAGCACCCACAAATGTCACCTGCATCCTTAAAACGCTGGTAGAAAGTGGCGAGATGATTCTGGCAGATGGACGAAGAATCGTTTCTGGTAACGACAGACTCACAGAAATAGGTTAACACTTCCCTTTAACACCAGGGACACAACATCTACCATGTGTTGTGTGAAGCACAAGAGGCTCAGTGCTAAATATAGGTCTAAAAATAAATGAGAACATCCACCACACACAGAAATGTTCTTGGGTATAATTCAGATGCTTTATTAACTTTTATACTTTTTCCTTTTAGATCCACGAGAACCAATGCACAGGCCAAACACAATATTCATGCATCCAGACTTCAGGATGCTGGTTCTGGCCAACCGACCTGGCTTCCCCTTTCTGGGCAATGACTTTTTTGGAGCTCTAGGTGACCTATAATATACTACAGTAACTCAATACAAATAAAATAACTTACAAAATGTAATTAGTGGAGGGGTATGGCTTTAATGTAAAATATTAATTTAAATATGTAGCCTGTGCTTTTACAGTTTAAAAAAAAAAATCTAAATCACAGCTCAACATCTCTTCAGTTTCCGGTGCCTAAAAATGCATAAAGAGAACACATTTTTCTCAGTATATGGACCAGCCATGCCTCATGTCACCCTCCAGAATTCACTCACTGAACTGCAGAGGCTGCACTAGCATTGATTAAGGATTTTTAGGTAGTGAGGATTTAGATCAGAGAGAGGCATTTTAAGTTTAAACCAACTGGCTTTCAGTATTTAAACTGGCAACTCAAATGAGAGACTCATGTGAGGCTCATTTTGCTTTCTGATTAGATAGTCGTCTTGAGAACCGAAATCAAAGCTTATAACATAAATGGAAATCATGTCAATTTTTTAAATAATTAATACATTTATATTTGCACATGATCAACTGAAATAACAATAATTAAATGGAATAATTTATCCACAATTTCTCTTTTGGTCTTCAGTCTAAAATGCCTGTTTGTGTTTAATCAACAAACAGTTTTACAGGGAAGTGTAAAACTGTGTAAAAAAGTGTCATATTGCTAAGTTTTCCTTTGTATACAGGTGATATCTTTAGCTGCCATGCTGTGGACAACCCAAAGCCTCAGGCCGAGCTGGCGATGCTCAAACAGTATGGTCCAGACGTGCCTGACTCCACTCTGCAAAAGTTGGTGTCTGCTTTTGGAGAGCTCAGGACTATGGCAGATCAGGGCACCATCACGTACCCCTACTCTACCAGGGAGGTTGTGAACATTGTCAGACACCTGCAGGTAAGACTATTGAAGGCCACCCATCCGTTTTATTTTACATTGTTCAAGGCCCTTAACCTTAAAACATAATGTGCAGAACAATGTTGAAAAGACTGAATACATTCTTTTGTGGCCTTCCCATTGTCCGCATCCTCCCACCTGTTTATTTACATTTTCAGCTGTCTTTTAACGATAACCAGCCAATACTTGACAATAGCAATTCACAAATGGGAGCAGCATTACAGTGGCTTTGTTTTGGCATAGTTTGCATAGACATGGTTGACAAGGACTAAAATAGTGTTAACGTTAAAATCTAAAATACTTTGTCTGTTGTTCTGTTGAGCTTTATCCTTAATTCAACCACACGATCCAGTAATTGGTGTTATACTCCTAGTAGCTTTGTTTTTTATGGATGTTGTAAACACTTTGAGATATAATTGCAAGAAACTAGACTATCTGACCTCAGGGAAAAGGTAAATATGGGTTTTGGCTTGTCCTATTGTTGATCAATAATTCAGTACACAAGGACTTGGTCTGATTTCCCCATAGGCTGCACTGTCCTGTCATCAATCACTGCTGCTATTGACATGGGGGAAAGCAGAGAAGAAGCTAGATTTTACAGGTCAAAACTGTCAATGTAGACTTTAATTGCTATTTCACATTTTGTCATAATTGTTAGTATTTGGAGTGAGATTTGAATCAGTACAGAACACTGCACATCTGTGCTTATTTTGAGATTGAGGATTAGTTTGCATTGATTTTTCCAGGCTCATCATGTGATTCTTTGAGTAAATAGATTGTTGAGAAACAGATCTTAAAGCACCTTTGCAGTAAGAGTTGACTGTTATTTAGGGCAATTAAGGCAATATGCCCCATATAACTGAGGTTTCACTCCAAGTTTATATAAAGTTCATAGTTATCTAGTTTTTACACAATTTTAGAACAATCTGGAGCACAAAATTTGAGAAATAAATACAGAAGATTATTGATTAGTTTTACCTAACTAGTCTTGGTTTTACCTAACTAGTCCTGGCTATCTAATCTGGTTAAAAGAGATAATTTATCAGTAATGGTTAATAATGTGCACTGTTTTTATAATACACACTTTCCCCCCCCATTTTTCTATTAGAAATTTCCAGAGGAGGGTTTGGCCAACGTGGTGCGAAACGTCTTTGACTTTGACTCCTACAACAAAGACATGAGGGAGGTTCTGATTGAGGCGCTGCATAAACATGGGATTCCCATTGGAGCCAAGCCCAGCTCTGTCAAACTGGCCAAGGAGTAAGCACCAGGGACACAGTGACACACACGTGACACACTCATAGTCCACTGTTACTATATGCAAAGTCTTATGGTAACATAAACTAAACTAATCATAGTTGATTAATTCACCCTTGTTTAACTTGTTTAACACAAATCCTGCATATTTAGGCTGAGTTTTTCTCTTAAACTGAAAACACTCTGTTCCACCTTGTGATGGTATGTCATAATATGGGAAGTGCCCCACTGTTTTTAAACCCCATATACATTTACTAGAATCATTTGGACGATTTGAGCTCTGGACTTGCCTATCATCACTGAACTGAAGGGAAAATGTAGCTGTTAACTTGAAAACTACTGCTTCATGACATGACAATGAGGAACAGAACATTTTGAGCTTTGAACGGTATGGTTTTGAGGAGATAACAACATCATAACATGCATTGAAGCTCACAAGAGTAAAATTTGCAAAACAAATAGGACCTTTGAATTATTATATTGTGTAGAAGTTAAATAGTCTCTCAGTTTTGAGTTTCATTAACAATTGACCATAAGCATCAAAAGTTGAACATACAAATGGAATCTAATAAATATTTTTCCTTAGTACTCTACTGCTACCACTATATCATGTTAAATTTTTTACCTTATTTTACAAATTACCTCATATTTTATAAATGTATGTATTTATAGGTTGAGTAATTATACCTCATCTTTCCTACATTGGAAGGTATACTTTTAATTTCAGAAGTGCAATTGCAATTTGTATAGTTGGCTTTAATAAAGGAAAATATTTGTTTCTTCTGTCTCCTGTGATTTTCTTATGAATCTTTATAAATCCATATATGTCCCTAACCCAGGGAGTGAGAAACAGGTATTTTCCTTCCGTAATATCCATGTTTACTGGGACTCATCTTAAACTGTTTAAAAAGGGCTCTGCTTTAACCACATAATTTAGCCACCACATCTTTAGCACATAAAAGCAAATATTTCTGCTCAGTTAGTTCCATTTTTAGACATAGCAAAAAAGAAACAGTTTTACTTAAGTGTCTTTTGTGTATACTGTCAAAGAAATATTTATCCATGCACAACTGACCACCCTGAAAATCTCTTCAGGTCCAGCTTCTTTGGTTTTTAGTTAAGTTGCATCTCACCACACCTGAAGGCAATAACAATGTAACCACAATCCAGCAATGATTCATGGGTAATCCAGTTCACTTTTGGTTAGACACAACAAACTTAGAGAAGATTTACACAAAATGCAAACTTCTCTCCCACGAACTGCCTCTAGTTTGGTTCAGAAAATTGACAAATTTTCTAATCTACTGTATTTTTCTTAACTGTGTTGCAATGACTGTAAAGATATTTAATTATATTATCATACTGTAAATATTACAAAATAAAATCAATTACAATACAACGGGTCACTGAAGAGAAACACAGCATACCTACTTAAAGTTTTAAGGGTTTGCTGGATTTGACTTTTGCAGTGATTTAGCAACTAAACACCATACTGTAGGTCCACATTTAAAACATTGCATAGCATTTCATGAAAATTAGCCATTCTCAAAAGGTTATGATTTCTTATTTGCAGGTTGCCCCTTCCTGAGGTAAAGATGACTGGATACTGGACCATTGGCCAGGGGATCAATGCTCGGCGCAAAATGCTCTGTCCTACAGAGACTCGTCCCATCGATATCAAGGTACCACCACAGTGCCAAACTAGAAGAGTGCAGCAGCTGCTAGTGAGTTCTAGAGTAGATCAAATGAGAGCAATTGCTATTAATTGTAACACAGAAATAACATGACAACAGGCTAGTGACCAGAAGATGAGAGATCAGCTCCCAGGTGGAGTGGCAGAAGACTGAATTTGCTCTTTGTTTGGTTCCATATATTATAGAAGGAAATGGTAAACATGTGCTTCATGTACCCCAGAGCCTCAGACAACCAGAGCTCAAAATGCTTTGTTTTTCCAGGGCCCCGCATTTTTGCGTGTTCAGGGTTATCCCTGCAACCGACAAGAAAGTCGAGCTTTGAGTTTTACAGAAGAAAAAGCCCACTGGCAACTTCCCATGAATGAAGTGAACATCATTTGTCACGTTACCTCCAGTGATGGTAAACACATGACACTGGATTATATTATATGTGTACTTTTTGCTTTGCTGCTACATGGTATAGTTGTACCTATTATTGCACTAATGATAATTGTAAAATTCCTTTCTATTACACTTTACAGATGTGCTTTATGTGGCCACGTGTAATCCAGTGTCACTGTACTCCATGAAGGAGAAGGGGGACACAATTCACTGCATGGAGCTCTTCGATGTTTTTCCCAGGACCATCAGTGGGGTCTGGCAGCCCTTTGTCACTGTTGCCCCTCTGGGCAGCCCTCTGGACGGACAAGTGGTTCTGCATGAGGAACAGGTCAGGACAACTTTAATTAATATTAATAGGCCCATCATCACAGCATTGTCATTTTGCAAAGGCTATTTCACCAGGTAAGCTGATCTTTCGTGGCATGCATTTGTTTAGTTTTTTTCTTAAATATCTCCATTCCATAACAATAATTCAGCCTACTCTCTGGCATTGACAAATATTGGTAGTTAGCAGCTGTTTGTCTCTAGAGTAATCCTTTTAACCCTTTACGACCTGAGGGTTTGGACTGCAAAGTGTAAGACAAGAACAATGAATGTTCACTATTCATCCAAACAAACTGTTGTACAGCTGGTGCATATTAGGCAAGAGGAGGATTTCTAAAAATACCTTTGTGATGGATCATATTACGTCGAGCACAAAATGAATGGAAAATGAAGAGGTCCAGACAATACAAGTTCATTCACAGTTCACAGGCCTTCCTGGGAAATTGCAGAATACAAGGCCACTGTATTTATAGAGCTTTAAACTATTTCCATTGATGTAAGCTGGAGGGACTCTTTAGTAAACATCACACTGAAATCAACACATCAGTCTCCATGCAGTAGACACGTGTCCTGACACATGTGCTGTCCTGCGCCTATGTGAGTTTATGTTTAGCATCAGGAAATGGGGTTTGCCTTCTACGAATAGTTTAAGTGGTATACAGGCACTAGTGTGTATGGCAGGAATGAGAAGCCATAAGGAAACCATTAGAGCAAAGGAGGGCAGTCGGGGCCGAGGCGAGCTCCCCTGTGGCTCTTTCTCATAAAACACAATCGGAGAAGAAGCTTTATACGTCAAAGAGCCTGACCATCCTTGGGTGCTGCGTACTCAACTAATGATTAGGGGACACGTGTAAAAAAACCCAGTAAAATCTTAAAATCACAGCAAATGGTTTTAACTTTACATTTCAGAGCAACACTGTGCTTCATGTTGACATGGTAACGGGTGCAGTGCGGAGACTTCTTTTGTATGCCGACAGTGAGCAGCCTAATGCCAGAGCTTCTTACTGGTGGAACACCAGTAAAGAGCAACAGGTTAGCACTGTTATTCTTGAAATGTAATAAATGAATATTATTATTATTATATTATATTACATATTCAATATATACAAATATATTGAATATATGACATTCTTAATATCTATAATTATATTATTTATAGTCTCTTGTTTGAACATTTCAGGGGGTGAATAAAATGTGTTGTGAGTTTGCCCATAAAAACTGGCTTCTGTTTTACAAGGAAGAAGGGTAGGAAACATGAGCTTCTAGTTTGCGTTCCTTAAACTCTTTTATGTGTCTATTTATTGTGTTTCTCTGTTCTTTAAAGTAACCAGCTTGATGTGCTGGACGTACTGGAGGGCCGCTTACACTCGATCTCTCTCCCTATTAACTTGAAGACCGTGCACTTGGTGGCAGAAGATCGCTGGCTACTGCTGGAGAGCAACACCAACAAGTGAGGCATCAGTCTGAGCTATTTCATCTTCAAAAGAATATATAAGATGTTTTATTTTCAATATATTGTAAAATTTTAAATACATTGAAATATAAAAATAATATGTAACATCTATTTTTAATTTAACAGAAAGTTTCTTCTGACCAAACCCATGCACATGGCAGCTGAAGACTCAGGCGTGTGTCAGCTCCACAGCATCAATGAGGAGGCCGTCAGCTCAGGCCACGGGGTCAGCTCAGGTAAACACTGTGCAAGTCATTAGAACTTGTATTTCTCTAATTTTGTAAACAATGTATGGCTGTTGTCTATTATTGTTTTCCATGTTGTTTAATCTTTCTAGCTGAGGTCTCTACACCTCAAATGCTTTCAAATGAGCAACTGCCCAATGAAAATCTCAGCACTGCTCTTGACCAGAAGATTGTTTCGCCCAATCGTTTACTGGCTGACACTGGCTCCTTTGCCCGGATCATTGTAGGATTCCCTGACTTAATGGTAAGTGATTTTTTTTATTGTGATACCATATTTTATGAACTGTTTTTGAGTGCATTCTTTCTGTTGTAGTCCCCAAATGAGGTGTACAGCTTTAACAGGCCCATGGACCTGTCTCTAATGAAAAGCAGTGACAGTGGAAGCCCCACGTTCTTCAGAGGAGGGCTTCGGTCCAGTTCCTCCAAAAGGAACAACTGTGTGAGCCTGCTCTCTCACAACCAAGTGGTCCGTGCACTGCCACCCAACAAAGTCCCACTAAAGGAAATCTACCCAAAAGGTTATGAATTAGATCAATAAACAGTGTATACGCTTGTGTAAATGTAACTCCCTCTTTAATTATCAACTTTTATTTTCTCTCACAGACGTCACACCACCATTGACAGCAGCTTATTTGGAGGTGACTGACTTGAACTCCAAAAAAGTAAAATACATTCCTGTGCCGAGGTAAAAACCATGTCTGTCTATGTCTGTATATGCAGTCTGTCTGTAGACTGTATGAGTGTCACATTGCGTTCCAGTTGAAGGACAATAGCACACCTTAGTGGAGAGAAATGTTACTGCAACAAAAGTTTCAGCAGAATAAGAACTACAAATTGTTTACTTGTTTTTTTGTGATTAACTATAAGACAATAACACATACTTTTCTTTAAGAGTTTGAAGTATAGCAAATTGACTTGATTGTGGCTTGTGCAGGTCAATGTCAGTGTCTCCATACACCAACTGGTTGTCCAAAGTTTCGGAGTCTGACGTGCTGCTTGCATCTCTGCATTCTGGAGGGGTCTTCACTGTGGACATGGGGGGATACGTGCGGCTCTGGGAGACGGGGTTAGACACTCTGCAGCGATCACTCATGGAATGGAGAAATATGATTGGTTCAGAGGACGGCAGGCCTTTACAGGTAAATTATGAATACATACTACTATTTACTATTATCCTGTAACTATTACAGGCAGGACATTTAGAACATGTATTTCTAATTTCTTAAACATGTTTTGTGTCTCCAGATTCAGGGTTAACAGGTTAAAATAACATATTGCTTGTAGTGATAACAACTGTGATGCCGATTTATTCTTAATTACAAAAACGTACATATACATGATGGCCATGTTGCTGATGTTGTCATTTGATGTTTTGGTTCTCTAAATAATTATCCAGTCAGAATGCAGAATGAGTCTCACATGAGTTTCTCCTTTGGGTTGCCAGTTCCCACAACTAAAACTAATTGGAAATAAATTTTAGCACTAACCTAAAGCACTCTGATCTGAATCCCCAGTACCCGCAGCCAGTCATTAATTCTGGAGATTCTGAACTTTCACATGTGGCATATGGCCTGTTCATATACTGAGAATGAAAATAAACATTTCTCCTCAGTGTACAGATTAAGTTACTTTCAACTCGGGTTCAATTGTGATTGTTTTTAACCAGTAAGATCACAGGTTATGTCCCCTGCCTTTTCTGTGAAAAATCCCTGAGGCGTTCCCTGCCATTTATTATTTTCATGGTATAACCGATGGTGATGCATATATAGACCACAAGGTGTCAGCATTGCCTTACCATAATTGTACTGTCAGTTGTATTTGGACTGTAATAAATTGAGCAGAAAATCTACATTTCCAGGCCCACATTTGACCCAGTGCTTCTCAGGGCAGCAGACTATGAACACAGAGGCATTGTGATGATGATGTCAGAGGTCTGAGTTGTGCAAAGGGCCCAACATACTGGATACTGAGACAGGATTGTTGAGGCACCCACATGCACTACACAATCAGCTAAATTCTTCAGATTTAACCTTCCAAGGAGGACATCTTATCAGGGCATCTGAAGACCAAAAAACTCAACATGCAACATTTTAACTGGAAAATGAAATTAAACCGAATATCAACTAACGTTTTTTAATGTTTACATATTTATAGATTTACTTTTCTATACTTTTAGACTCAATATTAGTTTCCTGGCACTTAAATCTGAAAACTGTGTTACATTTGATGAACAGTATGTTGGCTTTGGGCAAGGTCAGTATTTGTTAATTTTCCCTACTACTACACACCTGCACACCTGCAAAACATAGATCGCAGATCGTTTTTTGTGACCCAGATTCCTCAGTAGTCTGTTCTTCTTTGATGGGGCTCCTCGAGTGCACTGCAGGTCAAACTTAGACAGAGTCTCCCTGTGCTCTGTTTTAGCTCCCTGCAAATAACACTGACCCCTCTGTATAAAAAATATATAACACTCTCCTATAAGGCTCTATAGGCGCTATTAACAGTATGTAGCATTTCACTACTATCTTGGTCTTTTCACATTAGGCTTACTTTGGTGTGCTTACTGCACAAAATAAACCAAAATCACTTGCAAAAAAGTGTGTTACTGTGTATTTACAAATGTTTTATCTGATTTAGATTGGATGGTGCACTTTATCCCTGTTTTAATCCTGCCATAGTTCTAGTTTTATTCTAGTAATCCATAAATTCATAATCCAAAAATCTAATCAATTAAAAACACAGAAAAAAAGAACATGCATTTATTATTTTTATTTACCTTCACATTTTATAATAACTAGTTGATCAAAGATAAAGCCCCTCTAATTGATTAGTCAACTAAAAAGGGTTAGGTTATTAAGAATATGTATTTGACCCAAACTGCACCCAAGGTTACAACTGAATGCGAGCTCATGCAAAAACTTTTATACAGAACAAAGTACTGGGAAACTGTATATTTATATGTAAATTACTGATTAAACTCACTCCTTTCTGTTACTGTGCATAAAAGTTTGATAAATTAAATAAAATTATTTGTAAATTAATACAAATTTTGAGTGAACACACCGTCAACCAATTAATCAACTAGGCCCTACAACTTTAATATCTATACCTATTTAGTCTTAATAAAACATGCAGACTTTTCATAAATTCATAATTAATTCATTATTAAGAATTATTCAGGCTTATTAACTGACTGCTTCATTAATACACTGAAGTTAAGTCTTAACCCTAATTGCGCAGTGAAGTAGTTACTAAGCCTGAATCATTCATAACAAGCTATTATCAAACTTTGTTCATTATGAATTAAATCTTGATTATGATTTATTAAGATTATTTATTAAGGCAAAAATAAGATTCAGTTATTATAAAGTGTAACCCACAAACCTTGTCTCTGTTTACTGTGCATACATGCCATTGCTCTTCTGCACAGATTTAGACATTTCATGTGCACAGAGCTTGAAGGCAGATACTTGCTGTGGCCCGTTGAACAGTGCACTCAAAGCTCTTCTCATCCGTCATTGGCTTCAGTGTGAAATTGCTCCATTACAGCCCTGCTGACATGATCATGATCCACTCACAAAGACACATGTGGACAGGAGGCATCAGTCTTCAGTAATGAGACCATAGATATCCTGTTGAATTTAGCCTTGATACTATATGAGCGCTCTGTCATTCAGCTCACCTCTCCAATGTCACTTCAGTGGGAGTGCAATTGAAATGTATATTTGCAAGTTTTTGTTAGAGTGACACCTGAGTTTAGACAGTGAAGCTGAAAATAAATTTGGCTATTTTTTAAGGTATGTACACACTGCTTGTTTGCACTTAAATTTACACATTTAACAGTCTTATTATTCTCCTTTATAGATAGCAAATATTTAAGTGCTCTTGCACAGACTTGTATTGATTCATAGACACACGCACACCCTGAAGTTCATACTGGGGCACGCGCTGAGGCCTTCACTCCTAAATCATTGCACATCTGCCATCAACTTAAAGCCAGAATCACAAATTTATGAGCCTATTAATCCTGAAAGAAAGGGTGTGGGCTACAGATGAGGAGAGGGGGAACTCAGTGGTTGAATTCATACACTCAAACACAAATCTATTCTCAATTTCTCACAGTCATAAAGATGGAGTATTCCCTATAGACTCGTTTTCACAAGTTATTCCAATGCAATGCGGCTTCTAGTCTGTACCTCAAGTCATTCAAGAATAACATTTATATTATATGTTGGTTACTGTTATAATACATCCTGCAAACCTTTAGATGTTTACTTAATCTACTTCCAAAGTGTTAACCAAAATGATGTAATGGACCACTGTTAGTGAGTATTTACTGGTTATGTGTGTTAAGTGAGTAGGCAAGACAAACCGTGGTGACACCACCAAGACTGAAAAGGATACATAGCATAGAGGACATTCATAACTTACTCACACTTTTCGCATAAGTAATGAAATCGACACCGACCCTCCATATGCACATAAGAGAAGGTGCCGGTCATGATTTCTCTAAAACCTAATATTGGAGCATTACTCAGTCTTTTACTGGTCATGAGTAAGTAGTAAAGGGATGCAATATGTGTTTGTCACCAGTATTATCATTAGCATCATGACACGAAGATTAAGTGTAAGAAACGAGAGAGCTTAACTGGTGATAGAGGAGGAAACACTTTGTAATATAGGTACACTTGATACTACATTGCTTTATACATTATTAGATATTAGTGACATAGAACCACAGAATTACAAAAGTTGCTCTTGCCACAGTGAAGCTTGCAACATGCTTATTTAGGTCATATCAGTGTAGCAAATGTAGTTTTTGTTTGTTTAGGTTTATTTTTCATTAAAATTACATTACAATGAAATTGTTCTCAAGAGAAACATTAGAGACCTGTGTTCAAGTGGCAAAGATACTTTATAACCATATAAGGAGAACAGTAGAGCTGAGCAATATGGCAATAAAAGTTGTTTTATTTTTACCCCCAGTTTGATTAAAATTTATGATTATACAAATGAATTAATAAAATTGCTTTCAATGTTAATTTCCTCAGCAGGAACAGTATAGAATATTAATCATGGCCATTTAACACAAAAAAGAATACATCTCTCCCTCCAAAGTCTGACCTCTGCTCCAGATCACATGCTTTTGATTGAGGATTGGCCGTAGACCTCTCAATTTAAAAGACCAATTTAAAAGACCTGATGATTGACAATTCAAAATAACTGAATCTCAATGAGAATGTAATTTAATTGCACAGCCCACAGACAATCACTGAAGTTAAGCATTTGAATACTCCCCCCACACACACACACCACCACCCCCCTTCCTCAGGTGTCCCCCACGCAGCTCCCTAAATGTCCCAGCCATTTGTATTTGAGTGTAATGAGAGAGTAGAAGTCAGTTTCTGAAGGTGACGTAGATGGTACAAAAGCTCTGACCCTTTTACCTCAGCCCACAGCTATGGCACCGGCCTCTCTCCTGTTACTGGAGTTAACAGTGGATCATGTATTGGAACACACCATGAGGCAGACAGACCCCTGGGGAGCCTTAGTAACAGCACAGTAATGCAAAGACTGACTGCATATGTGCTTATCGGCTTTGGTGAATGGGACACTTTGTCTGTTTGTCATTTTAAATTAGCCTTGTAGGAATCCTTTAAATGGCCCCTCCCCCCTTATCATCACTTTTTGTCATGCAAGGGACGGCCAAAAGAGATTTCCGCTGCAGTCCACAGCCAACACAGCTGGACTTAGGAAAGATGGGAAGCAAGACATTTTACCAGCTGAATTTGTCAAATAGTGTATAAGACTTTAGAAGACCCATATTACACTTTTTCACACAAAATCTGTATATTAGTTTGAGTTCTTCTTTCATACAGAAAACACTCCCATATTGTTATATTATGTGGTAATACAGGAAGTGCTCCACTGTGTTTTTAAACTTCATTTTGGATAATTTCAGCCCTGCAGTTGTCAGTCATGAGCTTAATACACTGATGCAAACATTTCACATAAAACTATTACTGAAGGGGTTTAGACTGAAGTTAAACCACAAGGTGGAACAGAGCATTTTGAGGTTTAAAGAGGAAGACAGATTAATAATGCAATATTACTCAAACATGTGACTGAAACATGGTATTTTTTTTGAGGAGGCAACAACATTATAACATGGCTTAAAGCTCATAAGAATAAATGTTGCTTAATATAGAACCTTTAAATCAGATCCTGGATTGGGACTGGCAAAGACAGAATAGGCTGGCTTGTAAAATTGACTTTATTAAATGTTATTGTTTGCTTAAGTATTAAAGTTTAGTTTCTCTTCCTCTTCAATCTTCATGGGGTCTCAAGCTTCATCCTAAGTGACTGGAATATTCTAGTATTTTCTACCTAGACTAAAATATGTTGATTACATTTCATTTCATTGCCTTTGTCTTTGTTCTTTTAACCTTTTGTTATTTTTTGTTATTGTATGAGCTGGACAAATAGTGAATACTGTTTAGATCTTGTCACACATTCACTTCCTTCCATTATCCAGTGTGTAATATCTGAAGAGGTGCCTATCAAACTAACCAAACAAATCCACTCTACTGATGAGGTGCTGCTCATCTCACTCAGTGTACGACAGTTAAGGTGTGGACAGTGGTCAGCAGTGGCTGTATCTGATAGCCTCCTGCACTGTATAGATACGTACAAATAAGTGATATGAGTTTTGTTTGATTTCAGTAATTTAGGATAATGCCTTTCATTGTATTTTCATATTTAAATTTTTTATTTCCCAACCTAGAAAGTGACAAAAAGACGCAATTTAAATGTATTTGTATTTATTTATTTTAGATTACTATTCAGAGAGACAGTGGTATGGATGTCAAGGCCCCAAAGCATGGAAAAATCGATCCATTGAATGCGCCTCATGTTGGTGGGAACCAGTGGGCTGGTGGCACAGGTAACAAAAATTATTAATATTAGCATCTTTTTATGAAATTATCTTCAAGAGAGAGTGGGGTTATCTGAAAACTTGATTCCCAGATACTAACTACATCCTCATTTGAACATGAATGTATACCAAAAAAATGACATGAACCAGACAAAATTGTGTTATTATAATAAATGGTAAATGGTCACAGTTTATATAGCACTTTTCCACCTTCAAGGCACCCATTCACACTCAGATTCATACACCAGTGTACGCAGACTCTGGGAGTGAGGGGGGTTAAGTGTCTTGCCTAAGGACACAATAACAGCATTCACCTGTAGGAGCTGGAATGACTCTACCAGTGATATTTTATGTTGAGAGTGGGATATGAACCGCCACCCCTCAGATCACAAACACTCTACCAAATGAGCTACTGTCATGCATTATCATTGTGACATCAAAATCAACAGAACATGAGACAAATTGAAGCCTTTATTTCTATGCAGGTGGCAGGGACACAGCAGGTCTCGGTGGTAAAGGGGGCCCATACCGTCTTGATGCGGGACATAAAGTGTACCAGGTGTCTCAGGCCGAGAAGGATGCTGTGCCAGAGGAAGTCCGGAAAGCTGCTCGTGAAATGGCTGAAAAGGCCTTCAAAGACAGGTGGGAACTTCTCTGCTACTCACTGGCATCAGCTAAAACTATACAGATGTGATTTTCCACTTACCCAAGAGCAAGCTGTCTGCATAATACAGACCAGGTGTTGTTGTGTGTGGGCTTTAATATTGTCCATCTGCACCATTTCTGAGTGCAAACCTTATTCTCAAATTCACAACTCTTCTGACAAAAACAGGAAGAAGCAACCAATTCATCACACCCGGCTAAATGCAAGTGTCTATGCTCCCACAAATGTGAGAGTGAGGGGTGAAGAGGGCACCACTGTCCCTAGCTCCACCATAAAGGGCCCCTCTGTGCTTTTTATGTTCACACTGTCTGTTTTTCTCCACTTGCCCTTTTCCCAGAGTACCCAGGGCATCGTCCACTGACGCTTTCACAATACATTGACAACATCTACAATCCAAGTGTTTATCTTGTTAGTTCTGTCACCATAATTACAATATCGACTTATCGTTCAGTATATGAAAGCTGGAACAAGCGTGTACATTTTCTTTGCACTATTGTGGAATTTTTGGTAATTTTTTGGCTATAAGATCAAATTTGAGCCGTAAAAGGTTGAATTAATAACTTTTATGACTCATTACAGATACTAAGTACTTAAGACTGTCATTATGTTGTTAATTTATTGCAGCACATGATTTTTTAACAGTATTGTAAATTTTTATAATTTTTGTGTTTAAATCTGCTTTAGGTGTATTGTGTTAGTGGCTTAAATTAATTTCAGCATTACTGTTTATCATCTATTTACTTCAGCAATATATTCCACTTCAAAGTTTCTTATGACAGGCCAATATATTTTTCCAGTTTGTGAGATCATCTCCTGTTTGTTTACCTATATCTGTCATCTATGGTTTGTTCTGCTAAGTCTACTGAAAATCCTGCATGTGCATGTTGTATCTACTATACTCCTAACCCCTCATCACTGAGTTCATTTTTAGAAACAGACCCTGGCATGTTTGACTATTTTTATTTCACAGGTTGACATTTTCTTCTTACAAAATGTGTGAAGCATGCACAGTATTGACTTAGCTTTAGGTCAAGCATCAATCAAAGTGAGATTATTCCATAAGTCCTTGAACCTACAGGCACAGGCAAAAACAGGCTGAAGTATGTGTGAAGACAAGCTGCCACTGGCTTACTGTCCCTCAAATTTTCCTGCATTCTATCTAAAATTATAGACACTAAGAGATTACAAACTTTTGTAACAAAGCTGTAGCCATGCGCAGTGAGTGTAATAACTTAAACTAAATTGTATTTACTGTGTTGGTCTAAAATTTAACTATGTCATAAAAAGATTAATACCAAAAATCAGTACAGTATTTCTTATAAACAAAGACTGAATAAATTCATATTGAAAATGGCAGAAACATTTGCATTGCAATTTGCCAATAAGGGTCCACATCATTTATTTATTATTTATTTATTTAAAAGGCTCATTGCATATTAATGAATTTTGGGATCAATACGTATCTGTCTGAACATCTGTTACAATTACAATATAAATATTTGCTAATTTCCATCAGTTGTCCCTAGACAATAACAAAAGTTTTAGGATTAGTGTAACCTAAGATCTGTTTGATCTCGGGCTTAACCATGTATAAATCCTGCATTAACTAGCTGTGGTTTAAATCCTAAATTTAAATAAAAATAAAAAAAATCCCACTCCAAACTACATAAATCTGTTACACAAAGAAACCACCAAGTGTACTATCACAACATTTTAAGCCATTAATATAGAAAGCAGGGATATAGTAAAAAACCTTGTTAACAGTAGTTGTTTGTACAGTGTAATAAGTTTCAGGGAGTGGTGTACTCTTGTTTTTGTGGTTGTTTTGTGTGAAATCTCATTGTACTGTCTCCACCTCGATCGAAATCGCTCCCAGCCTCTCCCTGTGTGTTGTCCGTCATTCATGCCCTTTTTTCTCATTTAAGTAACAGTTGAGGAATTCAAAGGAAATAGCTGGAGTCACTGGCCGGTGCGTCCGCTGCCCACATGCTCTTTAGCACATCCTCACACATATACACAAACACACAAGGCATGCAGAGGAATGTGTGGGGCGACCTGTAAAACTCCACTGTGCTAACTGTATGGGAGCTGCACAAACATTCATAGAGTGTATGCTAGTCCATATAACTCATTATTTTTAGTAATTTTATATGTGTTCTGTGATTGCTATCATAAAATACTAAACTTTACTGTATGTATTTTAGCCTTAAACAAGGTATTAAAGGGCTCATTATGCTATTTTCTGATCTATGTTATAATGTTGTTTTCCTTATTACAAACTTTCCTGGACTGGTGTTATGTTTCATTCACACATGTTTAACACTTCTCTCAAACAGAAAACACCTTGTGATTTCATGTGGTGATACAGAAAGTACTTTACTATGTTTTCAAACTCCACACACCTTCACTAGAATCATTTGGATAATTTCAGTCCTAGAATTGCCATCTTTAGTCAACAACAGGTAAAAGGTAGCTGTTAACCTGAAAACTACCACTTCATGACAAGGTGGAACAGAGCATTTTGAGATTTAGAGATGTAGACAGACTAATTATAAATTATTAGTCCAACATGTGTGAATGAAACAAATCACAACTCTTGGTATGTTTTGTGAGAAGGTAACAGCATTATAACATACAAACTACGTGTTGGTAAACTGGCACTTGTCTCCAGAGTGAGGGAGTCCAGACCATGAGATTACACCATTGATACCACTGCAGCCTAAACAATGTGCTTTGAGCCAGCAGCCCTTGTACAAGCTGGTTTGTTACTAGACATGACACATTAAGTAAAAGCCTTTTTGAAGTCATTGTTATACAACTCAGCTGTGGTCAAGGTCTGGTTATTTCCTAGGAATTTGCACCTGGAATAGCAGCCTACACATATCCCCATCACACAGATAGGGGCCCTGTCGACCAGACCTGAGGGTGATAATGATAAGACACCTGTATTCATTCAGTTGTACTTTAAGATTAAAGATAAAAAGGCTTCACTTGTGGAGACATAATGACCTAAAAATGAACTTTTTTACTGTGTCTGTATGTTGATCTATGCTGGTGTATGTATGGGGAGGGGGTTTAAGCGCCTGTGTCTCTCAACAAGGAGATTAAACATTTGATCAGCAGGTTCTCTAGCTACAATGCATTTTAAGGCTCATATATACTGTATAACATTGCTATTATCCCAACCACAATCCCATATACATTGTAGCAGAAGATATTTGTTTTTGTTTTATTCCTCTCATTTCTTTCTCAGATTAAAAGAAATCAACATGAGTGAGTATGACGCCCAAACTTACGAGCGCTTCTCCAGTGCTGTCCAGCGCCAGGTGCAGTCTCTGCGCATCATACTGGACAGTTTACAGGTATACAATGCCACTCCATAACAACAAGTGAATGTGCTTGTGAATTTAACATATTGTATTTTGTTCACAATTTGAATTATTAATATTAATTGGAATTCTTTACTAAATTATTTCAACATTGTTACTTTATTATCCAAGACTTATTTTTGCTATAAAAATGACCAGACTGGCATCTATACATGAAATTTAGAGTGATGAAAATACAATTGTGTCTTTTGAATTGGAAAAGTCCTCAAAATGTCACCCATGTACAAGAACTCAAAATCCATGAATAACCTTTAGGCATTACAAATCACACTGTGCGCCTTGTTTCACCTTGTGTACATGTGTTGTGTCCCTCGAATGACTCCTGTGGGTTTTTTTTTTGTTTTGTTTTTTTGATGTTTTTCCTGCTTTTGTTTGGGGGTCTCGGGGGATGCGTGCACATTGTGTTTGTGTGTTCGTGAGAGAAAAATGATGCACACAAGAATGATTACAAAGCAGTGTCTCTGGGCTGTGCTCTTATATTGCCTCCCAGGTGTGAAGCCTTGTGTGTCAAGGTGTGTTGTTTTCTCATCCAGGTGTTTGCGCCCATGCCACAAGTGCTACTTTTAAACATGAAAATTTGACATTGTTTGTATGCGTCCCACAGTGGCCCCCGGGACATGCCTATACCGTCGACAGTGTTCTCTGAAGTCATGTTATTTTTTATCATACCTGAGGAGTGATTTAGGAAGCCCCCCGCCCACACACACGCACACACTTATAATCATAGCTGGCAGGCGTTCTGTAAAGTCACAGCTATTGTTTCGATCCACTTTACTCCAGCCTGAGGGAAAGCCCTCTCAATTTATCTTTCAACAATTGCCGGCGTTACTTGATATAAACAGTAGGGCCAGCTTTTATCAGGTGTTACTTTGGGAATTGGTCAGAAGTGCACTGAGGAAAGCACACAGGCAGGAAGAGCAAGACAATGATCTGATTTTAATATGCCTTTGTTTGTGGAGGAAAAATGTATTTTACAGTTACTGTTGACTATGTATCAAACAGAAAAAGTATATTTATATTACTCATGACAAAACTCATATTTTGGTTTGTGGTAATTTAGACAGCACTGTATATTCTTTTAAGGCTGTCCTAATATCAACTTATCATTCAATAAATACAACTAAATTTAAATTATATATATATATATATATATATATATATATATATATATATATATATATATATATATATATATATATATATATATATATATATATATATATATATATATATATATATATAGGGGGCTCATTATTGTTTATACACTACAATATATCACACTCCAAATTTCAATTCAGTGGTGCAATGCTATAATGCTCCACGCTGTAGTATTTAATAAGCATCTTGTTGGCAGTCCCACCCCATGTAGATATCAGTTATAATTTTCTGTGCAAAATACTTTTATTTTATTCTTTATTTTTGACACAAATATTATTCAGTCAGTTAAAAAAAGAAAGAACAAGGTACAAAACATATACAAGGCAACCAATTACTCCTGCCACATGCCTTGTTTAATCTTCAGTCCGATGTTTAGTCTAAACACGTCATTGATGTCTTAAGGGAAATGTCTACCTCACTACAGTAGTAACAAGTGGACATTGTTGTATTTGGTGCACTTAGCGGTGGGTGTGGCAGAGGGCAGATGAGTTCCTTCTTTTGTTTTGTTTGTAGTCTATGTAATGAGATAGGCTTCCTCTGCTTTTCAGCGTAAAGATGAAGGGAAAGTGATCTATTACTGTCTGAACCTGAGGCTATTTGAGGACAGAAATACAGACGCAGTGAAATGCATGAACATGAAGTTGTGAATAAGCTTTGTTTTTGTTCTCATGGTGGTGATCTAACTTGTGAACTTATGTAACACATTTCTGCCCCACCAAAATGAAATCATGTTCTCTAGACAGAGCAGAGTTTTGCTTATTGTAAAATAAAGACTTTCCAGACAATGGTAACTTTTGTGTTTTGGTTTTAGGCAAAAGGCAAAGAGCGCCAGTGGCTAAAGAACCAGGCTCTGGGCGAACTGGACGACGCTAAGATCATTGATGGCCTGACTGGAGAGAAAGCTATATATAAACGCAGAGGAGAGCAAGACCCAGAGGTTGTGGCTGTGAACTTACTTGATGTATTTTTTCTTTTTTTTGCCCCGCCCACAAACACACTACTCCCAGGCTCAATGCATAATTCTGACCTCAACAGTCAGACAGAACATTCCAGTGGTCTTTAGGATTGCCATTTTCTCACACACGCATGCTTTTTTCTGTCATATGGCCTTCCATTCTAATCATACACACCAAGCATAACATTTAGCTTTACCTTTTTAGCTCCAAGCATTGCATATTTTTGGTCTGACCCGACGCTCTACTATGAAATCAAAATACTGTCAAAATAATACTTTATTTAATAGCCAACTATTACATTTTACAATTTTGTTCATAAAAATGTGTTGCTATAACTGCTGTTTGTGCTTGTGTCCTCATTTGCCTTCAAAAGCCTGGAACTCCTCAGCAGAAGCCCAAACGATTACGCGTTTTAGCCGATGTGTCCGGCAGCATGTACCGCTTCAATGGAGTGGATGGACGGTTAGAGCGCTCCATGGAGGCTGTGTGTATGGTCATGGAGGCCCTGGAGAGTTATGAACACAAGTTCAAGGTAAAAATGCAACATATACTTGTAAAGCATCACCAAATATTAAACTAGGTCACTCTATCTTTTCTGACTGTAGTTCTAAAGAATGTACATTGCCCTAAGATTCAAAAGATTGTAGAGCAAATAGAACGGGGTTGGTGAGACGAGAGAGTGTGTCTAAAAAGCTGAAGGAGACAGACATCCTGGCCCCTGACACTTAAGCCAATCAAGTATCAGTATCACACACGAGCATGGAATGGCTTTTTCTGCACAAGTCTCTCAAGTCAAGTTTCTGCTCAAAGGGTCTCTAGACAAACTGACTTTCACCTGTGCACTGGCAGTGGTTAAACATTCACTAACTTTGAAGAACCACACTCTTAACAGGTCAGACACTGAAACTAGGAGATTGGAAGGGCCAATCCTCAATCATATATTAAAAATATATAGAGAAATATTATATATTTCTTGCTTGATTTTTGTATGTCACCTGAAATATTCCTACCCAGCAACAGTGATGTGAACAGAGCCACACTGTCACATACCATTTACAACCACAGTCATAGCTGGCTCTATTAGAAATAGCCCATATACATAATATGTGTGTCCTGATATAGCTGGGCTCACGGAGACAGCCTGACGGAGCCTGGCTTATGTAAGAAGTGGGATTGACAGTATGGATGGCATGCTCACTGACTAACACTGTGCAGTGTAACTGATTCACAAATTACACTTACAGTCATTCATAGAGATGTAATGATGTCCAAACTTATTTTCACAATATGCATCTCACCATATTGATTGCAATATTTTCTAAAAGCTAACAAAATTGACAAAAAAGCATTTTTTTTTCCTTTTAAAATTCTTTGACAAGCCTGACAAGTATTAAGAATTGAAAGAGCTTATTTTTTCATGTAATCTGCGCTGAAACAGTAACAGTGTGTGGTTTATGTTATTTCCCAAGTTTTTTAGCTATAGCTGCCCCATAGCAATGCATTTAAGCAAAGACACTTGTAATTCGATAAGTTGTGATAGGCTACGATATTCTTGTGAGACTTTTGCCAATACGATATCATAATATTTTGGTTATTGTTACATCTCTAGTCATTTATAACCTAGTCTAAAAACCTCATGCAAACAATTTCAATAAATATAACATTTGAGTCTATACCTTAGCATACTGTCTATATGTGCCGTTTTATGTTTACACGTTTTGGACTGTGGCACTCACTTAAGCTTGTACAAACATGGCTGGTGGCAGGACATTAAGTCTTATGAGCATTAGTATTTATTTGAATGGTATTTAAGATTTTCAGTAGCAGTTCCACTATGTAAAAAAATATGTGGTTTCCAGTTTCTGTCCCTCCTTGTTTGCAGTATGACATCATGGGTCACTCGGGTGATGGCTATGACATTGAGCTGGTTAGAGCTGACAAAGTCCCTAAGAATAACAAGGAAAGACTAAAGGTCCTAAAGGTACAAACTCCAATATCCTTCCATACGCCTACTTTCTCCAGTAATTTAAATGAATTTGTCTAATATTGTACCCACAGACAATGCACGCCCATGCACAGTTTTGCATGAGTGGGGACTACACTCTGGAAGGGACTGAGGCCAGTATTAAGGAGCTGTCCCGGGAGGAGGCAGACGAGTACTTTGTGGTGGTGCTGAGCGATGCCAACTTGGAGCGTTACGGGATCCGACCCGAGCGCTTTTCTAGTGTCCTGACCTCAGACCCTCAGGTCAATGCCTTTGCAATATTTATTGGGTCCCTGGGCGACCAGGCAGAAAGGTGAGAAGCTGTTGATGTAGGTACAAGTACAGTGCTACTCAAACTCCTTTAAGTGTTTGGATCAAAGAAAGGCAGATTCAGAATTTTCTTGTTGAAGTGATTCATCAGAAATCATTCATCATACCCTCAGTTCTGCCTGATACACATCTTTGTTATGCTTTGTGGACTCAGTGTTCTTTCTCTCTGGTTTAAACATGGTCATGAGCTCAACAGTGTGATAATGACAATCATCTGCTTCTGACATTCTGTTACGTACATCTACAGGGAGAGACATAACTGTAGGATGGATGTGTGTGTGTGAAAAACACGCAACATACAGGAATATGAACAGTTGCATAATGCACACTATATTATCATGAGCTATTAGCTATTTCTTTAATTCTGCAAAAAAAGACAAAAATTATTTTAGTGCTATCTCAAAATGAATAATTTCACCATATCAGTTCATTTTAGTTGTCCAATTGAGAGAAGAAATTCATGTGATTTGTTACCAGAAGATAAATAAAAAATGAGAGCCTACAGTTGGCCTAAACTTTCAAATTGTAGGGAAGAAGTTATTTTTCCCACTTCTTTTCCATGCACTTTTTAACCAATTGTGACTGTACATGATGTAAATACACCATGTTACTATTTTGTATTTCAGGCTACAAAAGACCCTTCCAGCCGGCAGATCCTTCGTTGCCATGGACACGAAGCAGATCCCCCAAATCCTGCAGCAGATCTTCACGTCCACCATGTTGTCCAGTGCTTGACACAAAGAGACACTTGTCCTCTCCTCACTCACTCAACAACTCAAGTATTGTTACTTCGTGCCCTTAACCATTTTCAGTGTCAGATTATGTAACACTCTGGGTATTATCAGGTCTACAGAGAACAAGTAGTGGGTATATAATTTTCTCTCTCTTTATGGCAGTGCTTCTCAAACTGAGGTATGTGTACCAGGTTTGTACTAAATACATTGCACTTTTCATGTGGAAATATTTTGGTTCGTGGTAGCACAATGATTAAAACTCTTGCCTTGTAGCAAGAAGATAAGTTCAATCCCTGGATCCTTTTCAGTTATGGCTTTCACCTTGTGCTCCTCCTGTTTTTCCCACAACTTCAAAACCTACAACAAGGTTTGCCCTATTTTGGGACCATCTCGATCAGACTAAGAAAATGAAATTGTCAATGTAAAATCCAGAGTTTTGTGCTCATCCTGGTCTTTCCTCCATGGTTTAGACCTGGATCAGTATTGTGATTCATTACACTGAAAAAATGCCATTAACAAATTGCTTTGTCCTTCAGTTAGAGCCTTTTTACAACTCATGTGGGCTTCAGACAATCTCTTTGATCGTACTTAGGACTTGGACACTGGCGAACAGCATATCCTGTTATATGGTCAGAGGAAACAAGTTGTAAACTTGACAGTCCCGTACATATTTGGACTTCCTGCTTATTTATTGTGCATCATGCCAAAAGCCCTCAGACGAAAGGTGAAAGGTGCCTCGGACACTCCGGTGGGCCGGCAGTTGGACGTGTACGGTTGCTCCTTTGGAATGCTGTCCTACTCCTCAAGCAGGGAATGTTCCACCTGACTGCCCTTTCAAGAGTCCTGCCAGACCGTACCCCCCAGTAGCTTTTTACGTGCGCATGTGACTCTGTGTATTCTGCCTCAGCATCTTTGTCAACATCCATCCTCCTGGTCACGGGGACCTAGTGACGCCACGCCACTCAAAATCCTCCATGGAATCTTAGATCAACTTTCATGACAAGAACTTCACAGCCTCCTTTAACAAACATGGAGTCACCTTTGACACGTCCATGCAAAAATAGACCAATACTGAGTGATGAAAATGTGGAAATTCTACCATGTAGCTACTGGTGCTAAGGTACACTACTAGACAAATGGGCAGAAAGTT